AGCTACGTCAGTGACTATTTACAACCCGCGAGCAACAGCCAAAGACTCTCGAGGAAGACGAAGAAGAAGAAAAGAAGAAGACGGAAAGTCGAAGTCGTCAAAATTGCCCGAAAAAGAAACATTTTTTTCCTTCGCTGACTTTCTACAAGTTGGTCCGTGCGTTAGTTATTCATCTTTTTTTTTTCTTTTCAGCGAGTTTTTTTAGACGTCGAAGAAGCAGAAGAAGCAGAAGAAGAAGAAGAAGCGAAGAAGAAACGCGAGTCGACAGGGACAGACAGAGACGGGCTCAGAGAGATACAGGCGGCGCTGGGAAATAAAAGGCAGCTGCAGAAAAGCGCGAGAGCAGGCGTGGGAAGGAGGACTTTGGAGCTGGAGCTCGAGGGAGCGCAGAAAAGCTGAAGGACAGGCAATATGGCGGACGAAGACTACTCCAGGGCGTCTGATGAGGCAGACCGTGAGATGACGAGACTCTGGCGTACGTGGAGGACGGTGTTTGAGCTCTTGCTGGACCGGGTACGGCTTGATTCTGCGCCGCTGAGCTGCTCTCTGTAGCTGTCTACACTAGGGGAGAACCATCATTTACTGACAGGATAATACAGGGCTACGAAGTCACAGAAGAGGAAGTCAAGATCTCTCTGGGCGACTTCAAACAGAGGTACTCTGATGCTCTTGGATTTCCAGAGTAAGTTAGCCCTGGTGTTCTTGGATGGAGAGAGGCCTCTCGCATTCTTAGGCAATTCTAACGTGATATCAGCCGAAACAAGATGCGCATCAGTGCTCGTCCATCTCAGGCGATGATGGAGCGATACACTCCCTTGCCCACTCCCTCAAAACCCAACACAGTCCCCGAATGCGGTACAATCCACGTTGAATTCTGCAGCGAGACCCAGAGCGTAGGCACCAAGCATATCCGAGCCTTCAACCAGTTCATCGACCAACAAAACTACCATGCTGGCATATTCATTACCCAGTCACCCATCTCGCCGTCGGCCATTAGACTGTTGACTGCTATCCCCGGACGGTTCTGCGAACATTTCCTCGAACAGGAGCTACTGGTCAACATCACTCACCACGAGCTCGTGCCCAAACATATACTCCTCAGCGCAGAGGAGAAGAAGAAGCTGCTGCAGCGCTATCGGTTGAAGGAGTCACAGCTTCCTAGGATCCAGAGCGGTGATCCTGTTGCGAAGTACCTGGGCCTCAGAAGAGGGCAGGTTGTCAAGATTATCAGAAAGAGTGAGACCGCTGGAAGATATGCCAGCTACAGATGGGTCACTTAGTCGGGTTGTATCCAAGATTCGGTTTCCAGGGTGTCTTCCTTTTTGTGCCTCATTTCTATATGGTGCCAGGTGTAACGGTGGATTTGTTCTATTATTCATATTTTTTCTTCTTCCACTCCGCTGGATTTGAACAGAGACATGGTTTATGGGTATGTGGCTGGCACCTTCTTCATCTGGAAACAGAGAACTAAATCGGTCTTATCTGGTAGTATTCAAAAGCTAAAAAAAGAGACCAGCGCTTTGGTGCTTGGGAAGGGATTAATCATTGCCTATTTGGCGGATGGTGCAGGAGATGGCTGTTCCAGCATTTTCTACATGCAGCTTGGAATATTAGGAATCAAATGCCAATGTTATTTATGATCGATCAATGTCTCCTCCGACTTCTTCTCAGATTGCCAATCACGACTAGTCGTCTCCTGGTAAATATCCTGATACCAAACGTGGTATGGAGTGTGACATGTTCGCTCAAACCCCTGAAACCAAACGAACCCACAGAACTCCCAGTTTCATACCCGAATTTCAGAAGAGATGAAACTCCTGCTTCGTTTGTGAGATTGGTTTACTGTCTACGGAATACATGACTACAAACTGACCCACCCTGTCGTTCATCCGCTGTTCATCTGAGTAATTCAACGCTGCTGAAAGGGCTGAAAGTGAAAGGGACGGCTGGGTGTTTCATCAAGGCTTTCTCGATATTAAACGACAAAACTCCGGAGCCTATCGTTCCCGTTAACTGCAGGCTGATATGACTAGAAAAATACATGTAAAAAAAGACAGTTTTAATGACGTATTTGGCATTTGCGATTTTTATTTATTGTTTTAAGAATAAATATGTAGGTAGGCTATGTAGATACACACACACATACATATATGTACATGCAGGTAAGTAAGTAACATGCAGACGGCCTGCGCGTCTCGGCCAATATTACCCTTCCATCGAGTGATTGAGATAGACATTCAAGGAGATGAGCGATGCACATAAGAACGGAGTACAACGGCTTGCATTATCACCACTACCCTTTCCCTGTCCTGCGTTCTTGGTATATATGTAGAGACATACTCCGTATGCAATATCGTATTGCATATTATAATGCCAGCATGGATGACAACCCCTGTCTGCATCCAAGAAAACGATTTGTCATGAACGAGCATAAGATGCAGCGAGGCTCCGTCGTAAGAAGGACGGACGAGTCACGGAACGCTGATAAATCACGGGAAGCAGCGGGTAGCAGGGATGAAGGGAGTTCGGCGGGGAAGAAAATGCAGACGAGGATGTTGGTAGAGGTTCGAAGGTAGACAGATAGCCGAAGAATGCGGCGGTAGGGGAGGGATTTGGGCATATAATACTTATGTGCTGGAGGTGGAGGATGATGATGATGGTGGTGGTGGTGGTGGGTATGCAACAAGGGTGGGTGAAATTACAGCACGCAGGCAAGGGGTATAAAAAATGGAAGCAAGCAAGATAGTTATACAGGTAACCTTCAAACTCCTCCATAGACATAAACGGGTAAAAGAGATATAAAAGCGAAAAAGCATTTCCGCTAAGCCAAAAACATAAGTAAGCGTAAAGAGGTATAAATAGGGGACCAAAGAATCGAAGGAGACGAGACTGAAGGAAATCCGTTAAAAGGCGTGAAAGGGTCGTTAACAAGGTACTCGTAAAAGACGTGGGAGGTTCATGGAGGAGGAGGTAAACATATATCAGGGTTCTTTTGAGTAGCGCATATCACTTTCGATATCGCGATTTAATAGGCCACCGAGGTCCTGTAGCTCGGGGACATCCGGGTCGCCTGGTGAGCCGGTTCGAGGGTTAATCTCACCCGGCGATATTCCGGGAGAAGACGGCCTTCTCTCATGGTTTGGTGCTGCCCGAGCTCCACTAGCTAGGTATGCGGTATTGAGCGTGGGCCGTGAGAAATTTGGTAATATCCGTGGAGAGGTGTTTGGCGATGGGGAGGATTGGCTGGGAGAGCTTCCACTGCTTGATGGGGAGAGGAATCCAGCCACGGTGCGGAAGAGATGGCTCCGGGTACGAGATGGCTCTGGGGCTTCGGGGAGGGCGTTGGGAGGAGTGGTGTGCGCCGCAGGAGGGGGAGGGATGGGCTCGTCCTTGGCCTTGGGGGGATCGAGGAGTCCGCCGACGTCGTTGAGGGAGACCTTGGAAAGGGACATGTATTTGGACGGGGTGCCGCTGTTGGACCTACGGGCCGGTGGGCGGGTGTTTGTTTCTATATACTCGTAAGGATGGACTTTCAGGCCGCTCAGGCTATCAGAGGTGGACGTACGGTCGTCATCTGCAACCTGCTGTGAGGATGGGAACTGCCAGTTGCGATCCACGGAGCCGCGTTTTGATACCACCGCATGAGGGACGGCTACGGGAGCAGGCCGGATCTTCTGGTAGCTCAGCGGTCGCAGGCTGGGATCAAGCCGGATACCTAGGTCACTGACAAGGTCTGCATCTGAACCCCAGTGGTGGTGAGTGATGGTGGCCCGGCGGGAGGTAGTCTGTTCCAAACTCTCACTAAAGGAGGCAGCCTTGAACTTTTGCTTCTTTAAGCCGCGGTCCCGGACAAAGGATCCAATAACGATGGCATTTGATACGGCAGTGGCAGCGAGGATCTCGAGGGAGGCCAGCAAGGAACGGTACTGTTGAGATCCTTTATGGGAGATAACGGACGGTATCCTATAACATGTAATGGCAACTAGGGCCAGAGGAAGCGTGAAGAGCAGAGTCAATGAGATCTTGCGGCCCGTAGGCATGGCAGATAGCTGGATGATGGGGATGGGGAACATGACCAGGAGCAGATCAGTGACGACATTGCAAGTGCCCATGGTGATGAGCTGCGCATAGCCCTGGCGACACTGCGGCCCCGGGTCTGGGGAGACCTGCCAGTAGTGGTCGAACGGCTGGCACTCGGTCAGGGTGGTGATGACCACGGCGACGAAGGTGACTGCGAGGAAGAAGCGGATGATCTGAAGAACATACTGGAAGGAACGCCTCCATATCTGCGCGGTGATGCGTCCAAGGAACTCTGCTATGGTGAACTTGGCCGTCCATATACTGTCATATCAACGTTAGAAGCTTTCTTGTTTCCCTATTATAAGTGACAAAAACGGCTTACAAGATGGCGTAGAAGATCCTCGCACCGAGCACCATGCGACTTCCTATCTCCCGCCTATGGATCTCCTCCGCCGTGAATTGATGATGGTACTGCGAGGCGTTGTTGGTGCCGAATAGCAGGACAACATGGGTAAACCCCATGCGGACAAGCAGCGGGATGATGCTGAGCGCCATCACCCAGTCCTCGGTGAAGAGCCTCTCCGTTCGAATGTACCGGCCGCAGACACGGACGAGGATGATGGCGAGTGAGAAGCCCGTAGCCCACCAGCTCACCAGCAGCGTCGGGTTGACCTCCATCCTCGTCTGGGCCTTGGGCGGCCGGGAGTAGAGCTTCGAGGTGAAGCCGGAGACGAGGCTGTCGTCCATGTCCATGGTGACGAGAGCAGACGTCCTAGGCTCCTAGCTGCAGTCTTTGACCCAGGATCATCGCAGAGAATGACCCCTTGCTTATGTTCAATATATGCCGTTGATGTTGATGTTGGTGAAGGTATTGGTGAATGCTGCTGTGTAGTAGTAGTATATCCGGAGTATACCAGGCTGATGATATCTGCTGGCTAATCTGACTTCGGAGTCCATCAACACACGCCAGGCACCATCTTCTGCTGGGTCGTAGCTCATAGACACGCCAGCTTGAGAAAGAGAAAAAGTCCGGGGAAAGCTGCGAGCGAGAAGCGCCGGGTGTATATAGCAGACAAGATATAGCAGCAGGAGTAATATATAACAGCCACTACTGCTGCTGCTACTTCTTAGCTCGTTATGGGCTTGCTCCGTGCCCTTTTAGCCGTTGGTTTCTGGTCGTTTCTTTTTCTGCGTAAAACCACACGTGGAATCTGACGTATTCTTGGTGATACAGGCCATATAAGGATGTAGTAAGATGCAGTACGAGCCGGAGAAGAAGGAGATGAAGAAGGAGAAGGACAAGAAGGGACAAGAAGGTGGCGGAGAGGAAGACGAGGAGAGAAGCAGCCTCCGCCGTACAGGGAAGCCCCGAGACGAGCAAGGCACGCAGGGGGGAAAGACAGCTTCGGCAAAGCGAGGGACAAGAAGAGGGACGAAGGGACAGGCGGGAACGATCGTCCTGGGGGGTTTAAAGAGAGCAGGCAAGCGTCAAGCAGGCAGGTCAAGAAGAGCCAGAAAGGGTCAAGCGGGCCAGGGACCAGGGTGCGAAAGCAGAGGGACCAGTCTGTGGAGAAACGGACGTAAGAGCACGGTGTGGCCATTGGATACGAGCAAGGGTCCTTCGCGGGTGTCTCTGTTTAATCCAGTTGGCCTGGTTTAATGCAGTTGGCGCCGGTGATGCGAGTACTTAGTCCTGGTATTCCTTGTAGTCCTTGTAGTCGTCGTAGAACACTGGCTGCTGGTTGATGCTGCTGGTCAGGGGCTGATTTTGGCATACTTTGATATCTGATATCTGATATCCGTTGACATTCGACATCAGATATCAGACGAAAGCGCCAGCAACACCAGGCTGAGACCACCCCTGGCGCCGTCTCGCCGTCTCGCCTTCGTCCTCGCCTTGGTCCTCGCCATCTTCTCAGCTTCTCCCGTCGAGTCCTCGCGCCAGGAGAACCGATATCTGGTTGGCGGAACACCTGTGACCTCCGACCAAATCTTACGTCAAGCCGAATCCCAGCTTTTCACGAGACCAGCAGCGGCCGTTCGGGCATGATTGGATCTTCGCACCTCCCAAGGGCCCACCTGTCTCTCTGTCTTCTGTGCAGGTTGGGCTTTTTTTGCTTCTTCGCCGTCGTTGCTTTTTCGTCACTGTCGAAGTATCCTCCTTTATACTCCGTACTTAACTTATATATGGAGCCTTCTTAGCTAAAATGGCGGGTTTGCTGCTCCAAAACGGCGCCAGTCGACCCGCTAAGAAAATCACCACGGAGACAGACGGTGAGGATAAGAATAAGAATAAGAATACGGAGTACGCACAGAAAGGCCCAAGAGAGATGCGCAGACGCTCAGAAGCAGAGGCGATGATCGCGAGAAACAAGCGAGGCGAGGCAGAAGAAGCAACCTGGACAGCGCGAGGAGCGAGGAGAAGCAGAAGCAGAAGCAAGCAAGAACAGGGACAGGACAGGCCATGCGCGAGCGAGCTCTAAGGGGGCTGGTCGTCTGGAGCCGAGCAAGCCATCCTCGTCCCTTAATAGATGCTAATATAAGACTAAAACAGTCTGATGCTGGTTGGCCGCTCCCCCAGGATGTGGATGGACGACCTCGCCTACCCAGTCCAACCCAGGACTTGGTTAGAAGATGAAATACTGGACTGGACGACAGGAGGGCTGGCCTAGCCATCGAGTAGCCGAGCGAGCCACGTCTTTGTTGCTCGTGTGATGCCTGTGATGCTGCTTGTCCCCGTAACTAAGGGACGGAGTGTATATACTTCCTGCTGCAGTACTCTGCTACTACGCTAGCTCGGCCAGGGATTCTCCAGCCGTCCTGTCCCCATCGCGAGACGGGGCTTGCATCCAACCAGGAGCGAAAGAATTAGTTACAGAAGTCACAAGCAATCAGTCACTATCATAGTGCTGCTGGAGAAACTTGATTTACTTGCTCTCAATGCTCAAAGGGCCTTCCAGCCACCGACTTTGCGGGAGTTGCTTGTGATACACCCCGACTTCGTCCTTCGGCTGGCACTAGTTAACCACCAGATAACTAGGAGAGAATTGCAGGGATGGAGAACGAGATGACGAGACGTTACAGAGTATCTACGTACGAGGGGTACATGCTCATAGTCGCTTCACAGAAGATGTACAATGTACAATGTACATGTGTACGGAGTACATGAAGCAGCCGTCGAGAGCGTCGTCGTCTTATGGGCTGCCCTTCGTACCGCCCAACAGCCAAACACAGCCTTGCCCGTACACGAAGACACCATCCTCTCTCTCGGACGACTTCGCGTTAGAAGGGATCGGCGTCAAGGGCGTCGTTCTCGAAGCTGACTTCGCGATGGTGGTCGGCCAGGGTGTGAATCTTGATCGTGAGTTTCGCCTCCTGCCAGCTACCTTTTGGCCAGAGAAAAGTATATCGGGACCATTTTGCGATGTTGATTAGCTGGCTGGATGATCAGCTAGGTTATTTTTCTAGCATTCTCCCGATACAGAACAACTAACTCTTAGAGCAACTATATATTCGGAATATATTACTGCCACTTATTGATAACCAGTCTGGTGGCTGACCCTGAGCCTCCCGCGCAACTCCACAGATACACGAGGGTTTCTATTTTAAAATTAAACAGTGTGAATCGACACGGTACGGCCACGGCGGAGATGGCTTGGGAGGCTTTCCCGTGTGAGTTTGAGCATGGCGGCTGAAGAGAGCAGCGCAAAGACCCCAACAGGCAGGTAGGTAGCTGGACGAGATGTTGGATGGACGGCCTGAGCGATAGAGATGAGACTGACTGCCTGAACGGTTTAACTATGACTAACTAGTCAGTTATTCGACTCTTTCTCATCTCGCTTTAATATGGCCATTCAAGGTTGATATCTTTCAGGGGCCGATCTAGAACTCCAGCAAGTTAATCATCGAATGACCAACTGACTACACAGTAATCGCAATCAAATGAATAATCAAGATACAGGCCGCGATATGGACTTCTTACACATGCTTTTGGACCGAAAAAAACACACCCGTCAGACTGGATTATCTTGTCCACTCACTACCATGTCTTCTGGTATGTGCGCTGCATATGCGAAGGGGGGCCTCCCGCGATTCCACCCAGCGGCCGGAGAAGATGTCCCTATCGATCGCTCGATCCTTCTCCTTGCTCCCATCTCCCGTGCCCTCCCTGGTCTCTTTGGCGCCGCTCAGGATGCATATCATTCTCAACTAAGAAGTTATCAACAAGCATGCTAGACTCGCTTTAGTAATTGCATGAACGCATGTTGAACAAGGTCTCTTTTCATGGGATGACGTCTCGCCCTGCCCTGCCCTGCTCGTCGACCTGGGATATTCAACGCGAGGGCGTGAGCGCATCTCGGGCATATCGGGGACTTGTCTGCCCGATGATGTCCTGCTTACCTGCTTACCTTACTTCTTTGATCTCGAGGCCAGCGGAATAGCTGATTGAGTGGCGTGGACAGCTCCCTTTAGTAGACTTTTATCCATGTTCTAGCGAGACTTAATAGTAAAGTTGGATGGCTTAATTACAAAGTCGAACATGATACCCCTAAAAAGCCTTCTAGAAAGATTCTATCTGATAACCAGTCAACTTACTCCTCGGCAAGAGAAGTCCGTTGCAAGATGCCCAGTTGTTTCTAAGCGCTATATCTAACTCAACGGCTTTACTGAAGTTCTAGCATCACTTCTATCCCTGTATGTGGCCTATATGCTATCCCACGGCAGCTTCTTTCTATAACTACCCCCTGCTGCGGAGTCCGGAGACTGATCAAGCGTGAACTAGCACCTTGTCATCACAGCTTAGCCTTGGGTTGAGCCTCGAGCTCGCAAAACTGTTCATAAAATTCCAGTGATTTTGGGTTCATCACCGTGGCGCTGACTTGCACCTTGTTCCCACTGATAATCTTCTTAACAGCAATCTCGACTTTCTTCCCATTGATAGTCACCGGTATTTCCGGGACTTGGAAAATGAACCTGGGGACATGGCGTGGTGACAGACTGGTTCGTATGGCCAGTCTTAATCGCTGCTCTAGTTCAGGGGTCAGGTTGTTCTGGGTTTGATTCCTCATCTTGACGAAAAGGAAGACGTCCTCGTCCTTGTCGTTTCTGCGGCGTCTTCCAACACAAAGGGTATCTTCGATCTCCGTGTTGAATTGTGGCCCTTCAGATATCGCATATATCTCGGCGCTACCAAAGCGGATCCCTGATGGATTCAAGACGCCATCACTTTCAAGTCTTATTAGCGACAGCTACCTAATGTTTCTGCATCAGAACTCATGAAATACCTTCTTCCGTGCATTGATATACCCTTGGTGGCTGGGTTCACACTGATCCAGTCGTGCTGAGCCCAAACACAGATATGTTCGTACCGTTCAAAGTACGAAGAGTTATACTTCTTATTATTCTTATCACCCCAGAGAAACACTGGCATCGAAGGAAAGGGTGTCCTGCATATCAGTTCTCCGGACTGGCCAGTCTATCCAGGACAAGATATTAGATCCGCATCATCCAAAAAACTATCACATAATTTGGAGGCTTACATGCGTAATTGAAACTCCTGTATCGCTATCTGCAACCTCAACGTTCATTCCCAGGGCAAAAATTTGCATCTCCCCGGCATACACCGGACTAGATGGATCACTCGCAATCCCTATATTGCAACCATGTTAGGATAACTTTCGTCATACAGGCATAATGAGAAGAAATATCAAGGACTTACAGGATGTTGCTATGTCTGTCCCTCCTGCTACACTACTTAGATGGACATACGGAAAGACCTTATAAAACCACCGGAACTGATCTGCCGTCAGTGTTGCTCCAGTGGTCGTCACCATCCTGAGAGCGCCAAGGTCGAACTTCTCGCGTGGAATGACCCCAGATGCTTCGAGTTCGAGACAATAGCGTGGAGAAGTTCCCCAATATGTTACCCTGAAGAGACTGTCAGATACACACAAGCACTGCCGGCGTATTATGCATACATACCTGAATTTTTCCAATATCTTCAACATAGTGGTCGCATCCGGCCATAGTGGTGAACCATCATAGCATAATAGCGTTGCTCCTGCACCAAGGTGCCCGTTCATGATGTTGAACAGTACCCATGAAGTGCTTGTATATTGGAAAACGATATCCTTCGGTCCAAGAGAGTTATGGAGAAGAGATACTTTGAGCAATTGCAGAATAACACCGTGTTGGTGGACGAGACATTTTGGTGGCCCAGTGGTACCGCTTGAATAAAGAATATAGAGGGGGTATGAAAACGGGACTCGTGTGAATTCAAGGGCATCTGTATCTCGAGCCTTTGCTAGAAAGGTTTCGACTAGCGGGAAAGATGACGTGCTCTCGGTACCGATCAGGTTTACAAAGATGAGAGATCTGGGTAATCTGTGCATGACAGCTTTGATCTTCTCGTCGAGAGGGGTCCTTTTCCCCTTGTATGACATATCACTATCTGCAAAGATAATGGAAGGTTCTATCTGCTGGAAGCGAGATATACAGCCCTGTTTTGAATGTTAATAATACCAGTAACGATACACCATTATATCTCCTGCGAGCTTTCGCTTACCTCGACCCCCATGTCCGGTGATATGGATGAAAATATAGCACCAATCGAAGCAGAGGCCAATAGAAGTACCACACTCCAGATAGAAGTTGACACTATAGCACCGACTCTGTCTCCTTGCTTAATCCCATGTTGCAGCAAGGCACTGCGTACAACCCGTATCCGTTCATTGAGCAGACTCCAGGTCACAGACTCCCCATTCAGAGGGTCGGACTCCCGTATGCCAATAAGAGCGACTGCCTCAGGATCTTTTCCTTTTAGTATATTCTCCGTGTAGTTCAGCTTTATGTCTTTAAAAAATGGCGGGATTGCGTTGAGCGCGAGCGAGTCATCGTATGCCCTCGTGGTATCAGGGGGGAGCTCTGGAACAATCCCAATGTACCTGTACAAGTCGATCCAGAAATCATGAGGCTGTTTCACACTCCATTGCTGAAGCTGATGAGAATTTTGAAGGCTGAGATTGAACTTCTCGTTTACCCGTTGCCGATACTTGTCAATTGGGTGGTTTCCAGCGTTTGGGGATAGCCAAAGTGGTGTCTGTGAGGCCGATGCCATTTCTGGGTCAAGATCTTCCCGGATTTTATAGTTACTTGTTCGACGGCGGGTTGGGTATTCATAAAAGATATCCTTTTAGGGTGCAAGCAGAACCATGAAGGTATGGCTAGTTATTGGATTAGCTATCTTAGGTGTTGGGCTGTTGATCGTCAGCCATCGGCTAAGGTGGACATTGTTAGCCTCGGCCTTTTCATCCAAGTTAAACGAGTCGACTAGACGGGCTGATGCTGTTCGCCCAGCATATGCAGTTATGGCCTGCAGGTAATAGATCATTTAATTTGAACCAAATTGTATATGTGATTACTCTAGTATATATTTCTCTTAAGCTTGATGGCAGATGTTTCATTTACATGTGAAACTATGATTAGGCGTCTCTGATAACATTCAGAGCCATACGGAGTATATAAGTATCGACCTCAAAACCATCAGATATCGATTCACAGGAAAGAAGAAAGTGTGCATTAAGTCAGACATTACACATTGTGATTGATAAAGAATCTCCAAAGAAGAGCAATTAGGCCAAGTAAAGCGCCAGCAAAGAGAACTAGACGGGTGGCATATTAGTACATGCTCCGGCAACAATGTGATCAGGGAACTGCTTTAAGAACTGACCTCGATTCTCAATGTATATACCCCCCCGACTCAGTATTAACATTAGTCGCTTCCCCTTCAATAACTGCTGGGCCGATAACCCGCCGCAGCTTGATCCTTCAACCACCCGACAGCCGGCACGCCCTCGTTTGCACTCAAGGTGCCACCGCCTCCTCTCCATGATCTGATTGACCTCGCTGTTGCAGAACAGTTCATCCGTACGGAGCACACAGTTTTTTCTAGGAACTGCGAGACCCTTCTCGTGGCGTTCGATAATCCAGTCGACCCGTAGAGGTAAGTTGGTTCGAACTAGCGAGTAGAGGTAGCTGTTGGTATGCTTTAAAGCTAAGGCATCTGGGTATGATAGGAGCGATGCAATGTGCATATGTATCTCTGTTGGTAGACGGATAAACGACCGCTTGTTTGGTATTGATATGGCTGGTTTCGTTCTTGACAACGATGAGAGTGTGCCAACAAGAGGCTTCATCAATTGATTTTGTTCCATTGTGGAGGTCAATTGGGAAGGACGGGTGTAAGGGTATTAGGAAATAGAATATATTAATATAGGTATTAATCGTGTGAGGTCGAATGATGTAAATATATAGTGAACTGGCCTGGCTTCAAGGCAGTATTTTTGCTGCCTGCTGTGTCTCGTAAACCGCAGCCGAGTCACAGCCACAAGGCAGACGCATAAATCAGACGCACCATACACCTAGCTCGACTTCCGAGTAGCTGTATCAAACAAACACCTTCATGGAGACATGGAGGTGCCCAATGAAAGGAAAAAGATGGAATATGATGTTTCCTACAGCTTGTAAGGATCGTTGCCCTTGACCTTCCTTCCTTCGTCCTGGCAGCATCTGGGGCGGATGGAGCATTCACGTGACACATTCTGGCCTCGAACAAGCTTCAAGCAGCTTCCATGATAACCTTGATATTTCAACTTCAAACAAGCAACACCCACGAAGAGAACCTTCAGTTTAATATACTACCTGCAGATCACTCTGACAGAGCTTATCCAATATTATATTCACATTATTTTGTATATTAGCTGCCGCCATGAGTGATAAGAAGTCGTTCTACAACAAACCCGTGTCAGACACCTCGTTCCGCAAGACCTGGGACCGCGAAGCCTACACCGAAAAGGCTGCAGCAGACGAAGCCAAGTCCAAGGAAGAAGCCAAAGCACGCTACGAGGCCAAACTACAGGGCAAAAAATACCATGCTCCCGTCGACTTTAGCTCTCTCGAGGCCACTACCTCCCGCGCAAACCGGCTTGATGTCGCCAGCTTGGTGGGAAAGACAACACTGGTACCCGCCGGTGCGGCGGTAGGGAAACGAGGTCGTGGTGCAGGATTCTATTGTTCAGACTGCGACTTGACGTTTAAGGACAATATACAGCTTGTCGAGCATTTAAATAGCAAACAGCATTTGTATGCAACGGGTCAAAGTGGAGAAGTTGTGAGAGCCGGAGTTGTGGAGGTCAGAACTCGTTTAAGGTGGTTGGCACATAAGAAGAGGGTGCAGGAGGAGGAAGATCGGAAAGCAGGACAGCTAGATCTTGACCTGAGGATCAAGACGAGGGAAGAAGAGGAGGCGAAGGAACGGGAAGAGAAGAGAAGGAAGAGGAACGAGAAGCGGAGAAAATCTGGCAAGGACGGTGTCAAGCAGGAAGATGCTTGGGAGGGCCGACTTGGTATCATATCTTGACGTAGTCCCTTTCAACGAGCGGGCTACGACGATATAACTGGGAGTGGGCGTTCCTGAAAGGCATTCCCAGAGAAACACCACCATCTACATCTATGTATAAGGGATGTATAGGATGCACAGGATCACAGGTATCAAGGGCAATATGCTTTGAATGCTTATGCGCTAAACCCATCCCTAAAGTTACCCGGACCGACGCCCCTCAACCGCATTATATACATCATCATGGATCAGACATTAAAAAGTCTGGTTAATCTATGCATTCGATCCCGTTTAGCGCCTGCATTGCACGTCCGCCTTCCCTTTCAAAAATACCAACGACTCTCTCGCATTCATTGCGCAATTTCTCCTCGCCCTTTTCTGCGTTCCAGAATACCCACTCCTCAATATTCATTCGCTTCTCAGGGCTGGTAATCCCGTCCTTTGCCGCGTGCAAAATTTCTGTTAGAGACACATTCTCCTTTTCTGTCGGGTCAGGGAGGAGTGCTTCATCCGGGTCAATGGGATCCCAAGGTTCAGCGGTGGTAAGCTGCCTTGAGCTCAGCTCCCCCTTCGACGGAGATATAATAAGAGCCTTTGTGGCTAAAAGTTCCCTGACGTGAGATGCTGCATCGGGCTTTGTTTTGGACATGGTCGATGGCTTACTCGAAGGTGGTCGGTTTTCTGCGTCTGAAGCTTGAGGAGATGGGGACGGGGTATTTTCATGGGGCGATTGGTGTGCTGATGGCCTCATTTCAGAGGGAGTTTCTTGGACTTGCTGTACTTGTTTAGAGGGTCGACGACCATCAGGTTCATTACCAGGCACCTGTCTGCTTGAACCACGCTTCTTTTGAGGCAGTGACTCGGTTTCTAGCTGTTGGGCTGCTGGGGCCCCGGCTCCTTGTCTTTTTGGTGGCGTCTAGCTCATTATCATTCTTACTTCTCCGGCTCTTAGACAACCGAGGCATTGGTGGTTCCTCCCTATTTGATGCCACATTTTCGCTTTGCTCAGTAGCACCGAGAGTGTCGATGTCATTGACACTATCGCTGTCTGCGCTTTTCTTTCGTGATTTCGCAGCGTTTGACATAGTTTTCGTCTTCTTGCTTTGCTTGACCTTCTTGGGCGGCGAAGTCAGTTCCTCGCTAGGTGCTTTGATATCTTCTTGGGTCTGGGTTGGTATAGATACAACCGGCTCGTCCATGTCCACATCCGCTTCCGAGTGCAGTTGTGGGGGCTGATCAAGTTTACTCGTGGGAAATTTGTCCACGGATGAAGTAGATGTTTGCTTCTTCCTTGTAGTTTTTGTTGTATTTTTCTTTTGCTGTTCCTGCTTAGGTGGTTCATCCAAACCTTCATCTTTCAGGCTAGATTTTTGACGCCGTTGGCTAGGGGCTTTTTTGGCTGTGTTGCTGGCCATATCCTCCATTGGAAGCTCTTTGTCAAGGTCGGCCTCCAGCTGCGCATCAAGCTCCTCATCATTGGGTATCTGAGACTTTGACGGGGCAGCCGGGGCATTGGATGCAATAGATGACTTACGTGTCTTGCTAGTGCTCCCTTTCTTACGGCCTCTCTTCGGTTTTGACGCAACCTCCAAGCCTAATTCATCATCCGTAGGCTCTGCATAATCGATCACAGAACTTGTTGTACTCCTTGCCCTCTTTGTCCGTGTTGATGTGACGCGTTTCTTCTTGGTCTTTGGCTCTGGCTCTGGCTGGTTATCGTCTAGGTTATTCCCTTCTAACCCGCTGATTGCCGCGCTCTTTCTTTTTGTGCCCCTCGAAGGGCTTTCAAGTAAAGCGGATGTTTCTTTACCCGAATAGTCAATGTTCTCCCGCAGACTAGAAATATCTGCGTCCTCTTCCGTCCTCGCCTTCGTGTTTCTCGCCTTTGACTTGGTTGTCTTCTTCGAAGCCTTAGAAGCACGGGTTCCCCCCTGGGACATGATGCTTTGGTCCATGGTATCGTCGAAATCAATTGACGCTGCCTCTGAAACGGTCGTAGCATTCGATTGTGTAGAGAGTCGTGAAGCCTTTGAGCCGCGCACTGTCTTTGCACGTGTTGATTTGCTAGACTTCTTTGGTTGCTTTGCAAATTCGAAGAAAGAACAGTCGGAAGAGCGACGATAATGTTCGTCACTATTTCAGAGTTAGTCTACTAGTGAATCAACCATCATAAACAGAGTAGGGCATACAATGGGTGGTCCTTTGGCTCCCATCCATCCAGAGAGAGCTTGCAGTACGGGCAGCTGACCAAATCGTCACTTTCTTCATTCGGGCAGAAATACCAACCTGCTTCCACCATCTGTCCATCGCAGTTAGATTTAAGAGCACAGAATGGTGGGATACAAGAAATTCACACCTTCTCCGTCTTGCAAAGCCACCCTCGCTTCCCATCATGTGGCCACGAGAAGAAGGTAGCCCTTCGAGCATCAGCAATTTTTGAGCTGGTCGGGTCCTCAATCTGCGAAGGGTCTGAGGTCTTCCGCGTAATAGCCATCATAATGGCCCATCCGCATTCGGGGGAGAAGTGTAAGTGTTCTGTAAAAGGATCATCTCCCTCTTCCCATCCATCAAGAGATCGTTCGCAAAGAAAGCAGGTTGTGTTGTCCGGGCTAAGCGCGGTTGGAGTGTAATAAAATCCGGCATGGGCAAGCTAGTCGTTAAAGGTCAGATCGATGTAGATATATTGGTGGTAGGGGCTAGCGTACCTCATCTGGTGAGGGAGAAGCGTATGACCAGGTCAAGTCTTCACCAGAACTCGACTGGTGCGCGACATCGAAAGTTGCCCGGCGACCAGCGACTCTCTGGAGGTCGTTAGAGACGGGCATGGTTGCGGTATTCCCAGGCGCAGGTGTTCATTCAGTGAAATTCACCCTTAACGGAGTCGTAATTCATCGATAGCTTCGTACGATTTGAGAGGGATGTTTGTGGTGGAGTTGAAGACGTCCAACTTTTTGCTTGTATGTTTACCCATTTCCTAACTCGGCCAGGCCAATCTTTAGTCATGTGATTTGTTTTTTTTTGCTTATGTCAGTAATAAATAATAAGCTTGTTATTTGCCAAGTCTCAGTCCCCACCGCCTTCTCGTAAATTACATAAGCTGAGATTCTGCCGGGTGTTACTTAATCCTTGTGAAAGCGAAAGCCGCAAGCAAGTTACAACAACTTCAAACATCAAACATCAACCATCCGCAACCCGCGGCTTGACACAGTGTGCCCATGCGAGTTAGCTATATACACCGTCACAGCCGTTGCTGTGTGCCCTGGATATCGCCTAATCTCTACTCGCCATGCACTACCTTTATGTATGTGCTGGCTCTCCTGCACCCTCCTTACCGGAACCCAAGTTTGTCTGGTCCGTAATCAGCTGGCTGACGTTATTTTGATACCAAGCAGACCTTGAGGCCCAAGTTGGCCCTCACTTGCAGCCGCTCCTCAGCCATTCCCTTGACCTCGCTCGCTCTCGCTTCCAATTCATCCTACGTACGGCTTTTGTCTACGGAACAGACATCCAACCAGCTAAGCTCTAATTCCGGCCCTCCGCCTGGTTTCAACATCAGCGATCATAGAAACACACCACTGCCCTCAAGTTCGTCTCAATCGTCTACATCTGCGCCCCCTGATTTAGATAAGTCTAGCGGGTCATCTACGCCACGTACCGAGTTTGATTGGGAGGATAATCCTAATTTCTTAATCAAGAACTTTTCTGAGCTCCCTTCCAAAAATTTTGGAGTCAACCAGCATATGATTATCAATGAAGAGTTCAAAGAGGCTCTAAGACAGATTCTTTGGCAGTTCAAAGCACCAATTCGATATGCCTTTGCTTACGGGTCTGGCGTTTTCCCACAAAGCGGGGCGTCAGGGGGGAGTTGTCATCCGTCGCCTCCGCAAGCAATCCAAGCAGTGCAGCAAGGCGGCGGGAAGATGATCGATTTTATCTTTGGAGTCTCACACAGCCAGCACTGGCATTCTCTAAACTTGAATCAACACCGCCATCATTATTCTGGCCTGGGCTCTATGGGATCATATGTTGTCTCCCAGGTACAAGAGAAGATGGGGGCCGGAGTCTACTTCAACCCATACATAACCGTGAATGGAACTTTGATTAAATATGGGGTTGTCAATATCGATACCCTTTGCAAAGACTTGAGCCAATGGGACTCACTATACCTTGCCGGACGACTCCATAAACCAGTCAAGATTCTGCGGGACCATCCAAGCGTGCGTCTGGCCAACCAGGTCAACCTACTATCCGCTGTGCGCGTTGCGCTTCTGCTACTACCACCAAAATTCACTGAACAAGACCTATACCGAAAGATTGCTGGTATAAGCTATCAAGGCGATCCGCGCATGTCCTTTGGCTCCGAGGACCCTAAGAAAATCCATAATATTGTCTCTGCCCAGATCACAAATTTCCGTCGGTTATATGCACCATTAATCGAAAATTTACCCAACGTATCCTTTAATGACTTCCACTGCAATGATCCCGACTGGCTTGACAACCCGGACATAAACGTTGCTCTAGATCAAGACATGGATCCTATCAAACGAGGTAACATGGTTCGACGATTACCTAAATCATTCCGTGAAAAGCTCTACTTCCAGTATCAAAGTCGATTTAAGATCCCGCGAGGGGAGTTTGAGATTATGATGGAGAAGACTGCCGACGAAGACCCTGAGCGCTTCCACCGCCGAGAAGGAAGTGACTTTGATCGAAGAATCGCTGCTGAGGGTAATTTGAAGGACGAAGTAACGCTATCTATAAAGAACACCATATCTTGGCCCAGCACCAGCCAGTCGATGAAGGGTGTTCTTACAGCCGGAATCTCCAAGTCAATGCGCTACCTTCAGGAGAAGCGCCAGAAGTACAAGGCATCTAGGCGATCGAGTTCCGAGTCATCGGAAACCAGTTCTGAAAACAAGAGCAAGAGTGATTGAGGGCATGTATATCTATATAAATTCTCTGGGGCGGTGGTACAGGAGTTTAACCCTCTTGTCTTTCGTGAGAACCGAGCATTTGGTGGTTTGGCGTTTAGTATACTGATGTTTACCTAACATCTTTCTTTTTTTTTTGGAGACTACTTCCCTTTGTTTTTGGCCCTTATTCTAGAGGTGCGTGTGTGAGATCACCACTGGCGTTTTTGAGTGTACATTGATCCAAGGCACTCCCATGGTTATCTAGCCGGGAGTATATTATTTATACCAAGATAATACCACCATGCTATTTGTTGACATATTTACATTGCTACTTATTGAAGTAGTAATTATATTAAGGACTAAATATTGGATACACTTAATATTGGACCGCTAGACAGTGCATCGTCTAATCTCATTTCACGTCATAAAAGGTCATTTTATCTCCATCTCTTCTTCAAGTGTACTTGCAAGCAACTGGCTTCGTCTTCATGGTGTGAGCAGTGAATGGGAGACAGCCCGTGTTTCCACCTGGAGTGGCGATACCGATATCTGCCCAGACTGTCCAGGACTTGATCTTGGGATCAGAGCTGGGACAGGCGATCACCCCGTTGCCCTTGAACTTTAGGTTTCCTGCACCATCAATAGTCCAGCCCTCGACTTCCCAGCGTGAAGGAAGAGGGCCATTGCCACTCAAATATCCGATCTTCCCCTGGCCTGTGTTTGCAAGTTTAGCAACTACTTCGACAGGAACATCAAGAGAAAAGATGGAACATACCGAAGCCAGAGCGGTCTAGGAAGACCTTTTGTACCTGGTTGGAAGGTCCAGTATGGAGGTAGAGGATGGAGTCCTTGAGATAGAAGACGGCGTCCTTGGGCTTTGGGCAGCCAGGCTTGACATCACATACAGCGCCCGAGTCCCCGTAATTGAGGAAGATATTGCTCTGGGAGGCATCAAATCGAGCGGAAGGAACCTTGGGGTTGCCTTTGGCCTTGATGGTAAAGGTCTTGGGTGGCGGAGTTGCCGTGGTGAAGCCGGTGAGGGCGAGGGAGGCGCAGATGACAGCAAGGAGCTTCATGATGAACGATAGTATAATTCACAGCAGGTGAGAGGGTATAGCTGAATGATTGAGCGAATGGTACGAGGAAGAGAAGCTAGAGAACGTGTTGGGGATGTCCCTTTTATATTCCATTCCGCCAATCTATAGCTAAATGCGTACATCTTGCACCCGAGCTGATGTCTCTTAAAATGTCTTACTTTTAGAGCATCTTCCAGCCGTCAGTATTACTTCAGCTTCCTGGTTTCCACGCCTCCAACGAAAGCTGCCTATAGGCGCCTGCTGTTAAACGAGAGGCGAGGTGGGCTTGATAGCGCCAGGAACTTGGCCTGCTGCGGGTGGTTTCTTGACCTTAAATCGTTCCTTAAAATAGCTGCCATCAGCTCTCAGCGAGCTTTGTGGAAAAAGCAATAACTAGTTATCAGGTAACTAGTTAATGGAGTTACCTAGGTAACTAGCTGGCCAGCTAGCAGTCTCTGAACTGCGGATCGCTTAGATCGAGATGCCGAATCTCGAAGATTGCTGTCCTCTGCCGAAGTGTCACACCGGAAGAGCCGACGTTGTGTAGCCGTGTACTCTGTAGATAGACAGCCTTAATATATTTAACTAACTTATGGGCGATGTTGCAGGCATCCCCACTAACTAACTGCCGTCACTCAGTATGTTACATCCGGATGCGAGAACCCCAGCTCGATCGAACTATGACTCAGGTCGATTGGAACAAATCAGTTTCCTTAAGAGATTCTCTTGCGTTAAAATTGGTCTAATATAAGACTGAAAAATCAGTGTTATTCATCGACAAAGCTTAAAATTGCGGTGGGAGCAAAAGCATCACCACCTTTTTCGACAGCCAGCAGCAGAAGACAGCGACGACGACATGGCGAGAGCATCTCCCTTTGACCTGTCCAAGTGCGCGCGACCAAATATTCTTCAATTGCAGCCATACCGATGCGCAAGAGAGTAGGCATATCATCCTTGTTCAACTAGTTGGGACATGGCAATCTGACTGAGTCAGTGACTACAAGGACGACGGCACAAACGTCCTTCTTGATGCCAACGAGAACGCATACGGTCCCAGTCTCAGTCTAGAGTCCATCAAGAAGTCTGCAGGTGCTCAAGATGACTCCAGTCCTGGCGACATCGATTTCCTGGGCTTGCACAGATACCCTGACCCGTAAGCAATTCTGCCCCCACCACCCCTCCCTACTGCATACAGAAGGCAGCCATTCGATCTAACGGGTGAATACGGTTACGGATATAGACACCAGGTTGAGCTCAAACAACTATTCTGCAATCTACGCAATACTAGAGTCCATACGCAAAAGGAGCTGAAGCCGGAGAATCTCTTCGTTGGCGTGGGCTCTGATGAGTCAATCGATGCCCTACTTCGATGCTTCTGCACGCCTGGAAAGGACAAGATCCTGACATGCCCTCCTACATACGGCATGTATGGTGTTTCTGCTCAGGTCAATGACGTTGAAGTTGTCAAGGTGCCGCTAGACGTTGAGCGGGGATTCCAGCTTCGCCCAGATGCCATAAACGAAGCTCTATCCGCTGACCCCTCTATTAAGATCGTATACATCTGCTCACCAGGAAACCCGACTGGGAACCTCATCAAAAAGGAAGACATACAAAAAGTTCTCGAGCATGAGACGTGGAATGGAGTGGTCATCGTTGACGAAGCTTATATCGATTTTGCTCCTGAAGGGGCCAGTCTGGCGGAATGGGTCACCGAGTGGCCGAACCTCGCTGTCATGCAGACTCTCAGTAAAGCTTTCGGCCTGGCAGGTATCCGACTGGGAGCCACGTTTACCAGTCCAGAGATTGCCCTCATGCTAAATAGCATGAAAGCTCCATATAGCATATCTACCCCTACCAAATCTCTTGCTATTGCTGGTCTTACCCCTGAAAATCTTGCATTGATGCACAAGAACAGAGAGAAACTGCTCGCCCAGCGTACGAGGATACTTGAGGAATTACCCAAAGTTCCCGGCGTTGGTCAATTTTTGGGTGGCACTGACTCAAACTTCCTCCTAGTAGAGATGCTAGACAAACCATCAAGTGAGGGCGGGAAGCCTTGCAACAAGGTTGCCTTATCTGTGTATCGGACCCTGGCCGAAAATAAGGGAGTAGTTGTTCGGTTTAGAGGTAAAGAGTACGGTTGTGAAGGCTGCCTGAGGATTACGGTTGGGACAGAAGAAGAGGTTACAAGATTCCTATCAGACCTGAAGACAGTTTTGGCAGACGTTCTTGCCAAATGAAGGCGAATATTTAACTTTAAACAATAACTATTACCGTTTGAATAACATTATTTGGACACCAACGCATCCCCAACACCTTATGAGTACATACCTGATCAGGATATCCACCCCGAACAGGCCGGCCAAAAAAAAAAAAAACAAGGATTAATATAAATGACACCCAGTGAATCAAACCGCTCACATGATTAACCCAGCCCAACGCCGTCTGAAAATAGTCAAACACCCTATTAAAGCTTCTAGATCTATTGGCACGTTAGTAATCCCCCCACTGATAGTAGCAGCTTCAAGAGGTAACTCACTAGGCGTAAGGGGGTCCTTATAGGAGCACGTCCACCATGAAGGAACATTGCAACTGCCTTACTTGGCGTGGCCTGAAGCTTTCGATAAGCTTCATGGACATGTCTCGCCTCGATTGGTGTTCGTCCTTCTTCCGGAGGGTCAAAGAGTCCAGTCTCCCGTTTTCTCTTCTTCTTCTCCCCGGACCCATCCTCAGAGGCGCCAAGTCCCTTCTTGCCGCGGTCTTCCTGCTCCTTCACTTTCAAAGCTTCCTCAGTTAATGTCTGGACAATCTCAAAAGTAAGGAAGCCAAGGATATCAACAATATCATCATTTGGCTTAAAATCTGTGACAATACCAAACCCAGCCCATTCTCGGAATCGTTTGGCTTTCCGAAAAGTAAAGGATGCCTGCCGGCAGTCTGACCAGAAGACGTATTCTTCACGAGTCATATTCTTCGTACGTTCATCCGCAGTAGCGAGGCGTTGAAGGGTGGCATAATTCTGTTCCTCTTCTTCTTCGTCCTCCTCATCTTCTCTTTCGGGTACCTGAATGGAATATAAACTGTTCAAATCCCAAGGAAGGCCAATTTTAGCCCTTTTGTTCTTGGGTTTGGCTGCGATTTCCTGGGGTCCGGCAACACCAGCTCCTACGAGGGCATCATCTCCAGCTCCAAAGTCAGCGGTATCACCACCACCTTTATCATCAGAGTCTTTAACGTTCTTTCGAACATCCTTCCAGGAAAGAAAAGTTTTCAGCCGAGAAACCTTAGCTTTGTCATGCCGTATTAAGAAGAATAGGTCGTCTGTCGATATTGATCTTACACCTCGCCTGGCAGCTAGCGTGGTGCTCCGTGAGAGCTAGAACCTGTCAGTAAAGTGAAACGAACTTCAAGTGCTGGTTGCGAGACTTGCCATTTCTATGACTTGCTGTCGTACGATTTCTTCAATCAGAGTGGTAGTTTCTACTGATGCTTCTGCGGATTCACCAGACACAAACATCATCTATAGCTGTTGTTAGCGCGAATTCATCATATCTGGAACATTTAGCCCGACATAAGATGTAGCTCGTCAAGGTATGACCGTGGGTATAACGGTACGAATCAGCCAAGCAGAGCTTTTCTACAGGGGTGCTCTTCACTGACGATCCTGAAACACCCCATACATATCACTTTTATTGTTGATATGTTGCTCTTTAGAAGCCCAGGAGCGGAATTCATAACCCGGGTGCATGTAACAGCCCCATAGAGCAATGAAAGACGCCGAAACGGGAGGACTGACCTGCTGGATTTCCTGCCGGTATTTTGGTGTTCGCTCCATGTTGGGTAGATAATTCCACAAGAAGGGGTATTTGAAGTGGAATATAGCAGATTCCGGTTATTAAAAATTAAAAGTGTCTCGATGGATAGTGGAAGACGCATACACATTCAATATCCAGACAGAGAAGAAGTTGGCGATCGAGAAAAAGCGAAGGTCAAAAGTAGCCGCAGCTTAGTCAGCATGTCTATTTCTACTTCCAATCTATACGAAGACGTCTCACCATTGAGGCAGGCTGGTGATGATGCAACAGACAAGGCCCCAGTGAGTCGCGTTTCCGCAGAAGAATTTTGTTATTTGTCACTCTTTTTAAGCCGGCTTTTCTACCTATATATGACTTCTCCAGTGCAGATATTGTACGTCACGTGATGGCTGTTTTCTAGAGTTCTTAGATTCCCTCCTGCTTGCTCCGCGAGTGAGTTCAAAATGGAAGCTATATGCTCCAAATACTGAGTACATGGTCTAGACAGGTTTGAACATGCCATATACTGTCCGCCGGACCCAAATACTGATATCAGTCCACAAAGTAAGAAAAATGCTTGGCATGGATAGATAATGCCAAGACTTGAAACATCCCGCCGCCGCCGCAAGTTAATCTCGATAAGAAGAAAATTGAACGGGTAGAAAGGAAGATAAAAAAAGTTGACACAGCAGCAACTACACTAACCATACATAAAGATGCTTTACCTCGTGGGACTGGGTCTCGCTGACGAGACTGACATCACTGTTAAAGGTCTAGAAATTGTCAAGAAAGCCGAGAGAGTATATCTCGAAGCATACACAAGTATTTTACTCGTTGATACATCTAAGCTGGTATGTGATTCTGAGCTGAACCCCCACCTTGTGAATTAAAACCACGTTTTTTAACTAACTTGTTGGGCTTGAAGGAAGAATTCTATGGCAGACCGGTGATTGTAGCCGACCGCGAAATGGTCGAATCAAGCAGTGATGAAATCCTGCACAATGCAGACAAAGTAGACGTTGCTTTCCTCGTTGTTGGTGATCCTTTTGGGTGCGTGAAACACTTCACATTGCCTTCCTTATATATTTGTCCTAACTTTTCAGCTAACGACAAGATGATTCGTTCCATAGCGCCACTACCCATACCGACCTTGTCCTCCGTGCCCGCGAACTAGGGATCGAAATGAGAAATATCCCGAATGCCTCTATAATGTCCGCTATCGGTTGCACAGGCCTTCAGCTTTATAGTTTTGGCCAGACCGTTAGCATGGTCTTTTTTACCGACACCTGGAAACCATCTTCTTACTACGATCGAGTCAAACAAAATGCCGAGCACGGCCTGCACACCCTAGTGCTTTTGGATATCAAAGTGAAGGAACAATCACTAGAGAATATGGCGAGAGGGAGAAAGGTATACGAACCTCCGAGATACATGACGGTTGCACAATGTGCCGAGCAAATGCTTGAGACGGAGGCCGAGAGAAAAGAAGGTATCTGTGGCCCCGAAAGCTTAGCTATAGGTGCCGCCCGGGTTGGCGCTGTAGACCAGCAGCTTGTCGTTGGAACTCTCGAAGAGCTAACAAAGGTTGACCTGGGAAAACCTTTGCACTCGTTGGTCCTTTTGGGAACAAAAACCCACGAGTTAGAGCGGGACTATATCCGCCGGTTTGCTGTTGACACAGCTACATTCGACAACATCTGGAAGAAGCATTATGAAGCTAAACCATAAATCTCAGGCCGATCCCCCAACGTATACTCCCCAACCTATTGACGTCAATCTGCAGGAAGAGAAAAGCAAATGCGCTCTCAACTTCCCCTGAAGCCTCCTTAAGTGTAAAACAGTAGCCCACGTGACAATCACAAGGGAGTAAACAGGCCGCATTCCAGACTCTCCAATTGCATGTAGCTGCGACTAATATCTGCCTATCGGGTTTCGTTGCCCGTCATCTTTCTCCTCCTGCATCGACAGGAGCTGAAAGCTGGTGGCTGAAAGGAAATTATTTAAGCCTTCGATCTATTGCAACCGAGTATCCTCAATGTTTGGTTCTGCTCTCTTGGATATGTTCGTTCTTCATATACGCCTAGAACTTTCCAGATAACTTCAAGCATGGTAGTATATATCGTTTACGGGTTCCGGTGGTCGAGAGTTGGTACACTCACGGCACCAGGGATTCGTCCACATATTGTGATAAACGACCTTCTAGACGCTGCCTCCGACTATATCCAAGAGCCACGCACAGCGAAAGAGGTAATACAATCGTTTGAACGAATCGACGCCAACATACCATCTCATATCCCGGATCTAGCCTTGATAGAGCAATATGATCCGGAAGATACCAGGACATCTACTCTCTGTCAACCGTACGCTTTTGTCTGCTCGAAAGTGGTCCCAATTGGAGATGGCTCGGAACCACAGTTCAATTCCTTCCTAAGCCTTGACCTAGAAGATTTCATAAGTAAAGGCCCTGGCTTATCGGCAGAAGCATTGGCCACATTTGCGAACCTAAGGGAGGTCCTAGCTCCTGGCGAGAAAATTGGATGGTGGATAGTATATAACGGGAACCCTGAGAGGTTTTCTTCGGACGGCGATGAAGGGTCGGATTCGGACGCTGAGGGAGGCAATGAGCCAGAAGAAATGAGCCACAAAAGTGGTCAACCTGTACGTATATTCGATAAACTCCTTTTATTTCGTTCCCGCAGCTGCTGATAATCTTGTTAGCCCATTAGATCTCCCAAACCTCCAGTTGTTCCGCCAAAACCCAAGCTTAATCTTCCGATGAGGGCTAAAAAGTAATCGAGGACAAATTCCAGGAGCTTGCTGTGAAATAGTTTAATGACCCTAAGAATGTTTCGTTGTATGCTATTCAAAGTGGCTGTAGCCTTATAGAGACCATATTATGAAGTAATGTCCAGCCTAAGGGCAAAACGTAGTCACAAGCGCGAATGACGGCAAGCTTTTAGCTCTATTGATCTCTATGATTATGTAAGTAGGAGATAAGTGTCTTGGCTCTGACTTCATCAAGAGAAGTTCAGAACAGCTCCCCAAGGCGCAGGGCAAAGCAACACATCGCCGGGATTTCAACGGGCGATCAATCCATTTCGGGATGTGATACTGCCCGAATACATATTTGCTAGTCAATGAAGGCATGGTTCTCTCATTCATCATCGTCCAGAACCGGCAGTAAGTATTATCGGCCATCCGGCGCTTATCAGTTAGAGAGAAGGTCCTGACGCGTTACTTAAGGGGCAAAACACGCCTGGCAAAGTGGTATGCGCCGTATAACGTGAGTGTGCCCTCTCCGAAATGTGCTTATTTTGACTTAGACTAACCCCTTGTAGGATGACGAGAAAGTGAGATTAAAGGGCGAGGTGCGAACTCCTATACTACCATTTTTGGTTCTCTTTGGCCATTTCTAGTCGTTGGCGCCCAGTCAACCGTATACATCATTGCGCTGCGTACCAACAACTCTAATATTGGATCGGACACTCTCCAGGTTCATCGCCTTGTTGCCCCACGAGACCAGAAATATCAATCGAACTTCGTCGAGTTTAAGCGGAGCACCAAGATTGTGTATAGGCGATATGCGGGTTTGTTCTTTTGTGTCTGTGTTGATGCAAACGACAACGAGCTAGCATACCTGGAAGCCATACATTTCTTTGTGGAGGTCCTGGACCAGTTTTTTGGTAACGTTTGTGAGTTGGATTTGGTTTTTAATTTCTACAAGGTGGGTTATATGATGCTACAGAAACTTTTAGTTAATGAATTATGTCTGGCTGCAATAATGGAACTCCAGCATGCAGGGTTGGCTAACTTAATTCTATATTGAATAGGTTTACGCAATTCTCGATGAAGTGTTTCTTGCTGGTGAAATCCAGGAGACCAGCAAGCAAGTAGTGCTCACGAGGTTGGAGCATCTAGACAAGCTTGAATAGGCATCTAGAGCTATAAAATACCCAACGTGCACCGTTTTTGGTACTCACCACCTTATACTGGTTAGGCAGTGTATATTAATTGGGTTGCACAGAGTTTCATAAGCTAAATGAAATACTTATAATTTGTATAGAATAATATCTTTTACGCCAAATAGTAGTACAGACCATTTTTCTCGCGATTTATATAAATGCTAGGTGAGAGAAACGCTATACTAAGAGGCCCCTTCTAGGCCCACGCATCGATATCATCTAGGGTGAGCGTAGGGTGAGTATCAGTACCCAGCTAGATGTTGGGAACACTTTTGTCTCTAATACTATGAACGATAGCTTACACTCCTTTGATGCGCAGATCAATGGAGGCATCTTCGATATTTCATTTTGTTCCTACCTTTTTCCTGCCTCTTCTATCAGCATCCAGATAGAATACAATCCTTGTTCATACACAGCTGGATTTAGCTTTCTGATATTGGGAAGTTTAAGTTTGAAACTATGCTTAATAATAAATATTAAGGGGCGGTTGGTTACATAAGCATTTCTATTTCAACTTCCAGGAACGAACATCTTAAAAAGCGAGCCAACACGCGTGAAGTGAATTGCAATTAGGGCAATTGAACTTAAAATATCTACTATTAGATATCATCGAGGCATTGAGCGTCGATGAAGAATTGCTTATAGGAAAATAAATCCGAATAATAAAGAAACAAAGCAGAACCCATGTCCATATCGCACTCTTGAGCAGTTCAAAGAGCTCAGAGCTAGGAAAGCAAGGCCGCCATTGAAATATTCAACGTTTCATAACAAACCTGTACCGATTAGTCTAGTTAGCCAAAACCGGGGGCACAAAAAGGCCAGTCGCCATTGGCTTTTTCTTCTCGGGAACCATGGCCTTCAGTTTTTTGCGGTCAACCTTGAAGCCAGTCGTTGGGTAGCTCGAAAGCCAGTGAATGCCTCCTGTGAGTCGTCTCAGACCGGTCAATCTTTCGGCTGCAAACTTCTCAACTCTTGTCTTTGCCACCTTGCTGTTATTGGCATATTCGGGCTTTAGAATGACGAAGGCAGATGGCTCGTCCATCTGCGTGTCGTAGTTCCGAGTACCAACTACCACGACACTGGCAACAGCTGGATGTTCAAAGATCACTGATTCAAGCTCACTGGCAGAAACGTGAGATCCATAGCCTTCGCCAACCTTCAGGAGCTCCTTGATACGGTCGATGATGTAAACATTACAGTTCTCGTCGATATAGCCGTAATCTTTGGTATGGAACCAACCCTCACTATCAAAGTCTTGGTTTGCGGCCTCGTTGTCCTTATACCCCTTGTATCTTGCGAGCTTGTTGCGGACAAGAATTTCTCCTTCTTCTCCCATACCGCATTCTGCCCCAGTCGTTGTGTTGATAACCTTAGCCTGGATTCCATTTACTAACGTACCACTTGACCCGGTTTTTTTGGTCGACTCGTCCAACTGGATAGCAAGAAGCATGGTCTCGGATGTTGCCCATTCTAGAGTTAAATGTACACCTCCGAAATTTTTGGAAACTGTACGGCGCAAGTTTTCGTGAATGGGTGCTCCCGCGGTCAACATCCACTTCACACTACTCACATCGACGTTGCTAACATCACACCGAGCTAGCCTAGCAGCAAGTGGAGGCGTGATGAAAAGGAAGGTTATCCCATGACGCTCAACGACTCCAATGTTAGATTCATCAAGGGTACCTTCTGCGAGAACCACCGGGATACCCAACATGATGTTCAAGCCCATCATCAACTTGGCATTAATGAAGAACCCAAGGGATAGAGGAGACAGCCAGACGTCATTATCAGGGTCCGTGTTATCAGGAATCGTCCTCTTTGTAGCTTCCATTGTGGCAATGAAGTGAGCATCGCTTGTGATAACCGACTTCATAGTCCCGGTGGACCCACTAGTTCTGTTGATGAACGCTTCGTGTTCATCTGCCTCCTTCTCGGTATTGATCTCAAAGACGTTTGCATTTGGGTCCCCGATCTTAATTAGATCCTCCATGCATGTCCATCCATTCTTATTTGCGTCCATTGTCATCAGAGGAATGACGCCGGCCAACACGGATGCCACCTCGGCCAGGAATAAAACCTCTGAGTCCGTGATCAGAAGTTTGGCCTTCGCCTGCTCAAGCCTGGCTGCCACATCTGTTTCTGACATTTCCTTTTGAATTGGAATCAATGCAATAGTTGCACCGCTAGCTATGGCTCCATAATATGCTATTGGATACTCGATCTATGAGTTGGACCTTTCGCGTTAGAAAACTTCCTGCATATTTAAGTTCTAAGGAAACCGTACCCGGTCCTTGGCCAGGATGCTCACAACATCACCAGGCCTGATATCGTACTCCGTGCGGAGAGCGTGCGCAAATTGCTTGCTTTTCTTTTCCAGGTCTCCTAAAGTCAGGGTGTCTCCTTTTCCATCAACACGATACAGCACACGGCTAGATGGGTATTCTCTGCGGCCATGGCGAAAGACGTAATTGAATACGTCGGAATTAGGAACTGGGGGGAGCTCAAGCTTTGAATCAAAGATCATTTTTGCGGTAGTATATGGCTGGCTTAGAATATACGACACTAAAATTATCGAAGAATAAAAAATATGAGTGCTAAATAAGTTATATTCGAATTATCTGGTTTTTATCTCTGAGTGCTATGCTGCCGATTTCGCCGGATATGGCAGATATTTATATCATTTTCGCTCACCTACACAGGTACAATTTGCTCCTTGTCTGTATTCCATCATGGAGATGGAAGTGGCCCCAAACTCCTCGAAGGCAAGATAGATCCGGGTAAGTGTTGGGAGCATCCAATTCTGTGTCGGCACCTAGCGGTTGATGATTCCTGACTCCTAAATACCCACATGGCCTGAGGTGTATGAAGGGGTAAAGATATCGGAGATCCAGCTTCTCAAGGAAGATCCGACAATAATAAGGATTCGATTTATTAAAAGATGGTATTTTCCCGGTACGCGTTCGTCAATATGCTAGATACTGGCCACCCAGGCAGCCGCATACTGACAGTGTGCCTATAGCTCTCCTGCGGGCGGCAATACTTGGATTGTTGTAGGAGAAAGTGGCGTAATCTAGCTTCCATGCATAAAACGGATATACGGCATGTGAGAGCCTTGCATGGATAGGAATTATCTGGGCGTTTGATTAGGTATTCATGCAATTATGCGATGCAGCACCCTCAAAATAACAAGGTAGGAGAGCTAACATAGAGCAGATTTGTTAGGAACAAAACCCGGTTGATTATTATCCGGACAATTCAAGGGAACATCTACCTGGGTAGATTGGAATGACCTCCTTCATCAAATTTGAATGTGATCTGGAATATACCTTGGAATGCCCTGCATCCTCCACGGTACTGCATGTCGGCAAAAGAAGAAAATAACCGTTGTTCGGAGTTCGGGGAAGCCTGTCAATGTGGCATTTAACATATTAATCTACCTTGCTCCAGAGTTCCTTTTCCAGGCCGTTCCGAAAGGATCTTACTTTCTGTTGGATTTTGCCGGCAATTTTGGCCCCATCACTTTTTCTTTTCGGGGGTGTACTTTATTTGGGATACTCAAGAAGTAGGGCTAGTGGAAGATCTACCTCGAAGGCACCAAAGTTCTGAAGTTGACTTCCTTCAAATAGGTGATATATTTGTTTCTAGATGGATAAGTACCAGGTAGGTAATGGGTAGCCACAGCAGCCTCGTCATACCCCCGGTTAACAGCCACACATCAGACTCTTAAGCTGTTAGTCACTGCGTATTGTTACGAACGAAATTGTATACAATTTTATTTCATAGCCGCCCAACGTGGCCTGACTTAAATACTCCTTACAAAGAAGAATAAAATGATGAAGAAGAAGAAGAAGAAGGAGAAGAAGAAGAAAGATGGTTGGCGCTCGCAATGTTTATCATCGTTGCTATGTACGTTGCACTTTGTACTGCTGGCTACCTTCCACAGCCCTATAGTCCGCCAAATCCCCAAGCATAAGCCAAGATCAAACCGTCATAGCAATAGAACTAACCAGATGTATAAGAAATGCGTTGTTTCCCATCTAGTAAATCGATGCAAAAAGTGGGCACTCTTAAGCAAGGGGTATAAGCCGGCCATTGTGTTGACCGTTTTCCAGTGAATGACCATGATCTCACTCATCATTGTGCGGGAAGGTTGGGGCTTAGGAGAGACCAAATACGTAGGTTTGGTCTTGTTCAAATTCAAAATCCCTCGCAGTTATTCCTCCACTAATGGCAATGCAAGTGAAGGATAGTCAGTTGTGGTAAAGAAGGGGGACAGGTACTGTGTTTGCTGAACTGCAAGAGTCCGACGGTCAACCCTCAGAATAGAAACCAGACACTGGTGTAAACGCCCCTACCCACGACTTCTTCCCATCATGGATCGTTGCCTTGCTTTATGTATTGTGTCATCTAATAACTTCAACGGGGTCCAGCCGGCAGCTCTAGGAAAACACGAGCTCTCACATGGCAGAGACCAACTTCAACTCTAAGATTTTCAATGTCTCCCCGGGTATCCTTAAGAATAACCATATCATTCACCTAAAATGATGTTCGAAGAATTCATACAAAGTTCCAAATCTAACGACGTCAACGAGATCGAGATTGCAATGAAATGAACGAACCAAATCGACTGGCTGCGATGCGCTTGAGATGTCGGCGAAATACGGTCCGAAAGCTACCGAAAGTTTGCTTACCTAAATTCAATATAAGCACATTACATCAGCGCTTGTATAAGTCACCTGACCTCAAAATTCGGGAATAATTTCTTATATAATCTACGCCAAAACCTCAACCTCTTTTTCATGACTTTGGGCAGTTACCTTGCAGTTGACTACTTATTTACCGAATAGGTCTGGCAAGCCCATCACGGAGTTAGTAAGTCAATCGTCTGGGCATGAACTGCAGCTCTATCTTTTGCTTAGTATTTAGTGGGTGTGACGAGGACGTTATATTCTAAAAGATGAGTGGAGAGTCCGCTGCATACATACTCCATACTCCGTTTCAGCCATTTGCCTGCTCAGGGGAATGGCAGCAATCAGGTAACTAACATTCCTGAACGACCAAACGGGGGGATGCAAAGAAGAGAAGCAAAGAGAAGAAAAACCAAAGAAGATTGAAAAACAAGCTGCTGCGAAACAGACAGCTCACTTTCCATTTTGTCGCTTTGGTGTTAAAACAGGCCCGGCCCGAAATCCCATTCAGCCTGGGCCCCGTGTCGCGTTCCCAGCCGTCAATCAACGTCATCTCATCTCAGCCAACTGATCTGTGCATCCCTGGGGTCAAGAATTGCTTACTGCATAGCCCTGCGTGGGATGTTGTGCCACTGACTAGATCTAGTTTGTGAGACTGGGCGGGCCTCCTGTTTTGGTGTCTGGTGCTCTGCTGCGAGGCTTGAAGTCAATTTGCGCATGCGGGCATCGTACGTACGGAGTACTTTGATACAATAACTAGCTATTCAAAAAGACACGAAATATTTTATTGAAGGCCATACTGAAACGCAACCCATGCTAACGTGATGGGCATACCAGGGTACATAGGAACATTCCTCAGGCCCATACCGAAAACGCAAGCTGAACATCATTACAACAAAAATAAAAGTCAAGCCAAATGGTATAAGACGAAAGAAATAAACGAATGGACACGGATATCGATCCTCCAGATGGAGCTATACATCTCTCCAATCAGCCTCTAGATTTACCCTTGCGCAAGCCAGGATAATTCTGGTCAGTGGTGTAAGGGTGGCACGATCCAACCTGCCTGCATCGTCTATCTCCATGAGCTTCTGCAGCGTGGGGGCTGGGCGTACGAGCTGGGTATCATCCCGGCATATCTGCCACTGGATCTCATTACTCGCCTTCCACGCCTGCTCTGTGGCGGGGAGGGGCATCTGGAGGATGAGGGCGTCGTCTAATGGTTCAAAATAATCGAAGTGAAATCTGCGGCATCTTGCTGCTAGAACATTGATTAAGTTGACGAAAAAGATACATCGTCGCAGTGATTCAGCGAACCTCCACCGACTCCAGTCAGTCTCTGTGTCCGAGGTGACGGCTTGTTTGTATAAGCTACACAGTCGACGGGTCATCTATCAAAGAAAAAATTATTGTGAGTGGCCTTGGACGCCATGGAAAATGATTCCTTGAGTTTCAATGAATGGGGGCGTGCGGGATTTACCTTTAATAAAAATGAAATATGAAACTCGGCGGCCAGCCCTGATTCCGTCCGTGGCCTATCGGTCTCAGCGGGACCGATTGTTGTTGTTGTGCTCCTATCGTCTAAGGAACTGAGGATTTGGTAAACGCTAACGGCGTGGAGAGCAGCGAGACATGTTTCCGGCTGGTCCACATACAGGTGGAACTCTCGGATCAGCTTCTCCCGCTGGGTATTTATCATGGTGTCAATGAAGCTTGAACTTGACTCGACGCAGCTGTTGTACGCTGAGGCGCAAGCCAGTGCTATACCCAAAGGCTCAGCCATGCCTCCCTGTGCGCAGCGATACAGGCTATGGTGGATAAACGGCGACCAAAAATCCCGCTGAAGAATCTTCTTAGGATAATCACGAACCCTCTGAGACAATTCCTCGAACAGTTCTGTGATGTTATCGGCGACTGTGCTGGGGCCGGGAAGGAAGTTGTTTGCAAAGAAATCATCATCGCAGCTAAAGTCACCATTCGGAGACAGCTCTATGGACGATGGCGCCCCAGATAAAGGAGGCAGCGGCGGCATTTGTGAAAGAGATAGTGGCTCACCGGGGCCTGACATATGAGGAGCAGGCGGTTTCGACATATTATGCTGCTCCTGTGTTTGGGCAAAAAAGGAGAGCAGCTCGCTGGGAAATTCTGAGGGGTAGTCCCCTGTGAGAAAGTTGTCGTTCCATCCCAACGATGATGATAGACCAAAGGTCGGAAGTCCTCCATTATTGATATTCTGGAGTGTGAGGTCTGCATTGCCAACCTCTGGACTCCATGGGAATGCGGCTACACTGCTACTATCCTGAGAATCGGAAGAGGTGGTAATACTACCACCGCCAAAGGGCATACTTGGAACGGGTACAACGGTATCGTGAGCTCCGCTGGCCGAAGCTGAAGCTGTTGCTGTTACTGTGGTATCATTCTAGCCCACACCGAAACCAGAACGGACCTTGATTAACGACTGCTTCGACTCATAAGGCCGTTTTTGCACCCTACGCAAATTTAAAAAAGGAACGGGGTTACATACTTGGTTCACCCGAGCAGTAGGTGGATAGAGACACGCTGTCTGTGCCTGAACACAGCGACTACATGCTGGACGAGTCAAGCAACACCGCAGCTTCTTCTGAGCGCAAGTTTCGCAAGACTTTCTCTTCGAGACTCGCTCATGGTTAGCTGACTTGAGGCAACGACGTCGATGACGGTCTCGAAGATCACCTAAATGTTGGAGTTAGCACTCTGGACCCGATAGTAAGGATAAACGGAGAAAGGAAAAGGCCTGTATACGCCGGCGGTAGGACTTGTTGCATTGGTGGCATCGGAAGTCTTCATCGGCTACAGCAGACTCCATGTCTCCAGGGCAGTCTATGTTCCAACAAGAGAAGTAAAATAATGGACCTGGATGTCACGACAGCTAGTTCAACTATGGTCGATGGGGTCTATCTATTTTGTCTCGGATAGTTACGAGCTTTGACTCTTCGGGTCTTTCAGTATCTCGAGTCACCTTTATTCTCAACAACTTTGGTGCTTCTAACTTACGTAAACCAGGGTGCTGCGTCGAGGATCAAGGTATATTCGAGAATCTGCGACTCCTTTATCCTATGAGAGCGAAAGTGGTAACTGTTGGTGAGCTCGGCCGGATGTCCGAGCCTCCCTTCCTGCCTTTCTGAATACCACGTCACAATAGGAAGATGATACTCACGTCGATCGGGACTTGGGATGCAGTGGACTCGCATAAAGACCACTGGAGGAGTGCTATATTCCTTTTTACGCGTGTGCACTTGTTGTGCTGATCTATTCTGGTATGTAAATGCCTGCCCCAACCCGCCACTCGTCCTTCACGCTTCCACTAACCAGAATGTTAAGTTGTCTTACTCGCATGTCGGCTCGACCGCGTCTGGGATATTTTTGACGCATGCTTGGTTCACTATCGAAAGGTTTCTCGTATATGCACGGAGAATAGTACAGAGCCATATCCCTGGGCCAGTCATATATATCAACAAAACGTGTCTATGTCGTCATCAATATGATGTATGGAGTACATCATGTACATGGCATGATGCACGATGCAAGATGCGAGAATATATATCCCGCCTACGTTACATTACTTATCCCTGCAACACGGCATGGCCGGAAATGAGATTGTAATTCAGCGGTAGTGAAGTCAAGATGACTGTACGGAGCAGGAATTTTATGGTTATGCTCTATTCATAAGTTCGAGAATAAGAATAAACGCCTGAAGAACCGCCCATATCAACGGAAGATTAAAAAATGGATCCAGCTTCGGTCCGAGGACCTTAAAAAGAGTTTTTCCCTTTTTTCCTTTTCTTTTCCTCTGATATATATCTAGTTACTACGTCGATGCCAGCCACCTCGTTGGGTACAGGGGTTGAGTTTTAGTCTCATCCAGTCTGGGAATGTCACTTCTATTTAGTTATGCGGTTATAATACGGAAGATTGTAATCTTGGTCTATATGGAATGATCTCGATTGCAGGTATTTCTATTAGGTGAGGATTCTATATGGTCCAAATTGCTTAAGAATCTATAAAAACAGTGACTGAAAGATTGTTCATCAATTAAGGTAAGACATTATTAATTATCCCTCCTAGATCTTTGAAAAGGGATTCAAGACTAACTCGCGGTTAGACACCATTTCCTGCAGTTTATTGATACTTTGCATCAATGTGTGCTGCGAAGTCAACAAATCCACGAACAACAGTCAAACCCTGCAGGTATGACAGTCTCGGATCACAGAGACTCCGATAATTCGTACCGAGTTTCTCTTCTGAGCCCATGTCCGAGCCGTCAACACATTCAGTGACAAACTCTCCGGTTTGTTCGAGATGGAGACCTCCGAGAGTAGAGTCGTTCTCCCTATGAACACGATAGCATGTCGTTGCCTCCCGCAGGATAGAACTAACATGGCGTGTCTTATGTCCGGAGCTGGCAGTGCAAGTATTGCCGTGGCATGGATCGCACATCCAAAGGGGTCTGTGACCAGACTTGCGAACGGCCTGGATAAGGGGCGGGAGAACCGTCTCAACCTTGTCCGCTCCAAACCGAGTGATGATAGTGATGCGCCCAATATGCTCTTCGTCTTGAGCATTGGGGCAGATGCTGTTCAGCAATTCCACCAATGTTTCTCCAGTCATAGTAGGCCCAACCTTTATACCGATGGGGTTTCGAAGACCACGCACATATTCGACATGGCCGCCGTCAAGCTGTCGAGTTCTCTCACCGATCCAAATGAATGAGGCCGAAGTGTTGTAGCGGCCATCAGTGGAGGCGCTCTCAAGGGGCAGATGAAGAGCCTCGTGCGACGTATAGATTGTTCCTCCATTTGCTCTTTGAATCGCTCCCTCCTCACCATCAGCAGGAGTAGATGGGAAAGACCCCGTTGGTGGTGTGGAGAGCGCGTCTGGCCCGCGCATGAGGTTTAGAGTAGCCTGGGAATGGAAGTATCCAAGCAAGAGTCTATGAGGGTCAGGCTGACGTTCAGACAGCTCGGGTCCGTTGACATTGTGGCCTCTGAATGTAGGCACCTCAGTCCCATCCGCTAGCGTTTCCCATAGAGAAGACCGTGGCTTAGCGTACTGGCCAGCGATTCTTCCAACGGTGGCCACGGGTCGGTTCAGTCCTTGAGCCAGGATATGAGATTGCTCCTCCAGGAGTCTGACCTTCTGGTTGACGACATGAGGACGCACGTCATGGAAGCTCTCGGCACAGTCACCTCCCTGCAAAACGAATGCCTTTCCGAGAGCTGCATCAGCGAATTGACTTCGAGCAGCTTCGACTTCCTCTGGAGTGATCAGAGGCGGCAAATTTGCGATTGTATTGCAGACGTCGTGCAGAGCCTTGGGGTCCTTGTACTGGACTTCTTGAATGATTGTTTTCTTGGTAGTCCATGAGGTTGGACTCCAGGTATCGCTGGACTTAGATGAATTGACAGTCGCTTTCTCCATCGTCGGAAGGCTGCCAAACTTGATGGTTGACTTCTGGGTTGATGCAATCATTGTGATATGCGGATACGATGCTTGATTAGCCTATTTCTAGTGCCTTGACGCCTGATCCCCGGTGCTTGATGTTTGATATTTGTTGTTTGCCGCTTGTTGATCGTGCTTGGTGGTTAGCAATGTCCTTTGGTCGTTGCTCACACTTGACGCTTTATATACCCAAAACTGGCCTCACCTTTGGCATTCCTCAGCCAACTCATCAGTTCGGAGATCATCTGGCACGGTGGTTAACTGTCAACTTGCATGGCTCTGTTAATCCTGTCCTTTCAGAATCTTTGAGATGGCCTAGAATGCTACAACCACAAGGCAAGCTCCATCTGAGCCCGTATATCGCAATTGCCCATCCCTTATGGTCGTCAGATAGCACTAAGGAACCGATCGATTGAGCTCTAGGCTTTTTCCCCTACTACTACAGCCATACTATCGGGAGGAACTGGATATCCTGCATCGACAATATACCCTTCTACCTTTCGGAAGATGTCCGGGTATTTACACCTGATCCTGATACCGTTGAAAAGGAATACATTCCTTTGCTCCTGAGGCACAGATCGTTGAAAGGAATACAGAGGAAGTATAAGGAATGCTTCAATGCCGTATGGATGCGCTGAGATGCACTTGTACATGCCATATTCATCGAGGAGTGCTTCGAGATATGGCTTTTAAAGCTATAATTGGAATGTTATAGCAAGGCCTTACTGTTACCCCTCATCCTCACAGCATATTTATTCCCCGATGCATGTATTGCATCAGAGGAGGATTATTGACTCTTTCAATCCTATCAGAGATTATATTCATCCATTAAAGGCTATGCCTTGTTAGGGAATCTTTCCGCAGTTTTCAGCCAGGCAAAAAGGTGCCTGTCTCACTTTCTCCAGCCAAAGAGAAATGGAAGCGAAGCATTAACTTCGAAAAGTGCTATAACATTAATATTAATTAGTTTTTGAGATGTTTGTCGCAGGAGAATTTGATATGTTGTCTTATAACGGAGTAGCTAAACGTCATTTCGCCGTTCCCCAATTATTTAGCGGATAACTTGACCGTCATAACCCTTCATCTCGCATCATGGCACTAGAGTTAGCTCGCAAGACCAAAGACTTGAAGTATAGTACATCGTCGTTAATATTATGTAGCACCCTTCGTAATAAATATATCGTCGTGTTTGCTTCATCCAAGTCTCGTGCAAAAGGGAGGATGAAAAGACGGATGATATGCCGATTCTCCGTTCATGTCCTCTAAGCCCAGCACCGAGTAACTTGAGAGCAATAAGTAAACGGCCGGAAAGCATGCCATCACTCATCATGACCTAACGATAGTTCTGGAAGGTCGAGTTGAAGGTTTCTCGGGTGGCTATTCGGCACCCCTGGCGATATTATATCTCGCCTATTATCTCGCCCGAGCCAGGCGACCCAGGGACAAGGGGTTTGGCCATGGACAGGGTTCAGGGGCAAACCAACCACGCAGCAAACCTGGTGCCAGCCAACATGCATGGAAGGGGCCAGTGATGGGATCTTATTCCCCGCGGGGAAGCAAGCAGACTCGAGCAGAAGCAGGCAAGGCAAGCAAGCTGGTCCGGCATTCTTGGAGTCTCCCTCGGGCCCGCCGTATCTATCCCGGACAGCCACCACCTTTGCTCACAGCACGACATCGTCGTCCTCGCCTGTCTGTCCCTAGTGCATCCATGGATTCACCCGCTGGCAGACGAGCAATCGACTCCATATAATAAGGACACGGAGGACCCATGTCGTGTTTGCTATAACTGCTGTAAGTGTTTATGTCCGGCCAAACGCAATAATAATATCCGCGGGCGAGTCAAGCAACTCTAGACAGTGGGCCGGCTTCTGGAAGCTCCATTATCCAGAAGATCAGCGTCCCCGGCCTCTAAAACGAGAAACTGTTATCTTTTCGCCATCTCTCTTGCCTTTCTTTCCCCCTTGCAATTCAAGCTGTCACGCTAAAAGCTTGGTTTGCCTGTCGACAGACGGGGATTGGGTGGCTCGTATAGATAGTCAACTTTAGCTGGCTGAGTTGGCTCCCCATGCCCAGCCCAAGCCAGGCTCTTGAACAGCAAACAAGACGCCAAAGGGCAGATCATTTCTTGCGGTTAGTTACATACCAGGAGGACAGCAGCTCGTGCGACCTTCTCGCCCATGATCTGTACTCCGTATGAATGACATGGAGAGCCTCGTGGTGGGTGATACGCCAGCGCCTGAGAGATCGATCCCCTTTCCCCCCAAAACAGCCCGAGGATAGAAGGACGGTCCCCCTCTTCGTGTCCGGCCCCTGACCATGCGATGCCTGGGGTCATTCTCGTTAGCTTCAGCAGTCGACCCCAGGGGCGGGTAGCAAAGGAGGAGGTAACCTTGGTGGAATTGGTGGTCGTTAGTTAATAATGAGAAACCCATAGTGGACAGACGGCCCTGGCATCGGGCAGCCTGCCGTTTTGTTTCTCTGCTTCCGTCTTCCGGCTGCAGCAGCTGAAATTGCCATTCGATATCCTCCGGATATGAATGATTGCGCCTGCAAGGTCGAGGGTCGGACGGGGATAAGCCTTATACACCATTCGTATTATTATTCTGCTCGCTGCCGATATCAGTCCAGTCGCATGGGCCATTGGCAGCGAGGAGGATGGATCTGCCCTTCTTCCCTCCTTCTCCCCACCGGGGACGGGGCAGGGACACGAAGACAACGGCTGGCGAGGTCGAGCAGCAAAAGATATAAAAGCCGACGGCCTGCTGCCCCGAGATGGCTCCAGAGTCCTGCTGTGACAAGTAGCGGATTTTGACCTCGTTGACTGAACGCCTCGTAGCAGCATGAAGTTCGCCAGCTGCTTCATCCAGGGCTCTGCCCTCGCCCTCCTCGCGGGCCTGGGTTCGACCTTTGGCATCGCCGGCTCCAAGTTGAGCAAAGACATGCACGATGCTGCCATGATGGGCTTCGACGAGGAGCTTGCCCTGCGTCCAGAGCAGTTCAAGGCCCTGATGGCCGACAGCAACTTTGCCGGCCCAGTGGCAGAGACCGTTGATGTAGAGTCCCCCCCTTTGCTATGCATATATACGGAAGAAAGACGTCAGACTGACAGGCCGATTAGATGCCAATTGACCACAAGAGCAACAAGACCGGTACCTACAAGCACCGGTTCTGGATCAACGAGCAAGACTACAAGCCAGGCGGCCCCGTCTTCGTGTTTGACTGTGGTGAAGCTGCCGGCCAGAGATACGCAGACAGATATCTCTTCAACGAGACCAACTTCTTCAGACAGCTGACCCAGAAGTTCCACGGCATCGGTATCATCTTTGAGCACCGGTACGTTTCCGTCTACTCTATCAACTACATCTACATGTGCATTGTGCGGGCGGGCGTGGACATATAAAACTAACAGGCGTCAAGATACTACGGAGAGTCGACTCCGTACCCGATCACCGTCAAGACTCCCCCAGAGCACTTCAAGTACCTCGACAACGACCAGGCTCTGGCTGATCTGCCCTACTTTGCAAAGGACTTCAAGCGGGCTGCATTCCCCAAGAACGACCTGAGGCCCAATGCCACTCCATGGGTGATGGTTGGCGGCTCGTACCCCGGCATGCGAGCTGCTTTCACCCGTGACAGATACCCAGAGACCATCTACGCCTCCTGGGCCTCGTCGGCTCCAGTGCAGGCCAAGATCGACATGGCCGTCTACTACGAGCAGGTCTACAGAGGCCTCGTCGCCTACGGCTGGGGCAACTGCACCAAGGACATCCATGCCGCCTACAGATACATCGACCGCCAGCTCTCCCGCAAGGACTCCGCTGCTGCCATCAAGAAGCTCTTCCTCGGCGAGGGAGCAGACAAGGCCAGCAACGGAGACTTCACTGCTGCCCTCATCGTCGCCTACGCCGGCTGGCAGTCCTCCGGCGCTGACGGTCAGGTCGGCAAGTTCTGCAACTGGCTCGAGGTCGACCCCAAGACCAACAAGACCGCCCCTGCTGAGGGCTGGGCTCCTAAGCTCGGAGACAAGGCCATGGCCGAACGATTTGCTGCCTGGCCTACGCTCGCTGAGATGGTCAATGCCAATGCCATGACCAACTGCAAGCAGACCGACAAGTCGAAGCCGCTCGAGTGCAAGCTCGACAAGCCCAGCGAAGACCCAGACTTCATCAGCTGGATCTGGCAGTACTGCAGTGAATGGGGCTACTACCAGGGCGTCAACTTCCCCCAGCACGCCATTCTCTCCAGATACCAGACCAACCAGTACAACCAGGAGTTCTGCTACCGCCAGTTCCCTACCGGCGTCAAGAGCGGATATCTGCCCATCGCGCCGCAGACACACAAGACCAACCGCGCCACCAAGGGCTGGCATATGCGCCCATCCAATGTCTACTGGAGCGGTGGCCAGTACGACCCCTGGAACACCCTTTCTCCCCTGTCCCAAGAGGACTTTGCTCCTCGCGTCGAGGTCTCCAAGGAGATCCCGAAGTGCAACGTCTCCACCGGCCCCAAGAAGATCTTCGGCTACTTAATCCCCAATGCTCAGCACGTTTATGACTTCCGAACCTACTTCGGTCCCGGTCAGGTGTCCAGAGATCTCTTCCATGCTGCCTTGGAGGCATGGCTTCCTTGCTTCAAGAAGCACTAGATGATGATACGTATGAAAATTGGAATGAAAGAATGATTATTATCATGGATGAGTTATCCTAGCGGATTAAAACTCTGTATATATCTCCATTATAGCATTATATATATATATATATATATATATGTATATATATAACCATATGCATGTCTTCTCCCAGGGCAGCTCTCGAGTCCTCTTTGTAAAACAAGGTCTTTTACCCAGCGCAGATACAAGCTTGGTGCGAACTCACTACCTCAATGCGGAAATAGCAAGGGAGATGATGTGTAGCACCATTTTCCCGAACAAAGGCACAATGGCCTGCGCTATTGAGATAGAAAGATAGGGCAAGGCAGAGACGTCTTCGGGGTAATATCATAAAACTATACTAACAGCCTTGAATACCCAAAGGAATCAGTTGTATTCCGGTTTTAGGAAAGTCGACTCCAAAGCATCAATTTGATACGCAACGCAATTTAACCATATCACAGCGAAACTGGTTGATATCACTGCAATCACTCGCACTTGGGTATCTAAATATACTTACCTGCCATTTGGCTACCCGCAAGTCGTAAGCCCGCAATCTGTGCTCCCTAGTTTTGGGCTACCTACAAATGAGAAATCAATCCACCGGACGGCAACCAGCACAACCGACAAAGGAAGGCCAGGGAATAAAAACACCAGCTGCATGTAATATCCTCATGAATGCCGGCTTCTCCGTGACAAATCATGCCACGTGTGTGCGGCCTTGTGAGATTCAGGGGGCCAAATATAGGATATATATCACTGCTTGTAAGGGACGATGTACCGCGGGAAGGCTCTTTCGCCTAACCAGCCATCTTTCATCCAATATCCCCAGCGTAATATTGAGTACGGTCAGCTCACTTGCTGGTCCTTTCACGGCAGATGCCGTGCAATGCTGTGTTGTACATGCATAAGGGTGAAGAATGGTCTGTCCTTGCTGGTTCGCCCGACCCTGCACAAAGACCATCACACCGGCACATCCTAGGCTTCACAAATGCAGCGAAAGAACATACCCAGAGATCAGTGTCGAGGCTTCCTTAACCCATTGACGACAGATAAGGGTGGCCGGCCTTCAAGATGCCCTCGAGAAAAGGTGGGAAGGCAGAAGAAAAAGGAACCAATGCCTACCATCTGATCAGCAATGCCGCAGGTTTCACAGCATCTCGGCACTTACAAGCAGAAAGGCCGAATCCTTCCCATCTCACCAGAGCGGTTAAAGCATTTTCTTGTCAACCATAAAGGAAGTTCGGGGCGAATGTCGGGCTGGAAGAGCAATGATTGGGTATATGGCGTCCAGAGGCCTGTATGCCATGCTCTTTCGGTACCTAACGCTTGCATATATCCGCGTGATACAGTCGCTATGATGAAACGCGGTATAGCACAGGACATACGCTATGGGCCGAATGTCTATTGACCTGGATGTCCTGGATTCAGCGGAGGAGAGCAAATCCCCACGGTCATGGCTTTGGATTTGTCTTGGACTTCGAGACCGTCTATGCTGGAGCCGCGAAAGTTGCCGCTGATATAGCCATGCATTGCACAGGCGGCTTTCAATGCTCACTTTTGTATAATTATCCGAAGTTCTGCTCGAGTAGATGTTGGTTGATAGTTGTCCAAGCTGGCCTGGTGCCTGTAGACTAAACTGTTTCATCCTCCTGTATAAGTAGTTAAACAATCTCAACATGCCGTATACAGTAAAAGGTATCTCGACAGAGTGTACCTTGACGAAGTATTTATGAGTCGTTGTTTATTTGGCTGAATATTTCGTCCACTGATCGCCAGTTCCACTACTTAACGTCTTTTTACTTCCGCCAGCGACCGGTAGCTCTTTCGATTGACTCGTTGGTTACCTTGCACAAGCCTTGAGACTGCCTGTATCACACCAAGATGGCACCCAGGCTGCAACCCTCAGAGATCTAGAAGACAATATACGAAGCCATCGACAGTCACTGAGATGTCAGACAGTTAGGCGAGAAAAATGGCCATGGATCGTGGATATCAACTGAGCATCAACCGAAAAAAAGGGGGGACCGGCGTCAGCAAAGAGAAAACACGCCTTGACTGAGCCTCGATGACAGCAGATACCTAAGTTGGTTAACGAGTTACCGCGACTTCGACTGTGATGGCTATTAATAGCGAAATGGGCGGCTGGTGACACGCAGACCGTCAGCATGTAGCCCGAATCCGAAGAAAGCAGCCAATGTGTGGACGCTGCCAGAGCCCTTCGGCCGATGTTGCGCAGGACAGCCACCACGGACTCTGCTCTGCTCGAGACTTCTTCTAAACGGGGCTGGCGAAGGATATCGTCTGCTTGAAGCCATGCCCTTCTCTCGCCGTCTTCCAAGGGGGCTCTGCGTTTTTCTACGTGGGACGGGCTTTCATGGGCTACCAAAGAGGCCAACGGAGAACTCTTCGTTATGTCTTTGGCCGGGTCTATGGAACGGCGCCTAATCGCTTCCCACCAGGCCCAGTACTCTTCATCTAGGGATAGACAGAGGTAAAGCCGTTATGAGACGGTACGGAGGGATACATGATACATAGCATTTTTCTTTTTGCAGACGCGAGGTTGTACGAGCTGCTTCGCTGTATAGTCATGTCGTGGGTACTTTCGTACGCCATTCTGACCCGGGATACCCTGCTCCCTGCTCACCTCCACGAGCTGATGACAGGATGACGGGAGGGTCGGACAAGCCCCAGGGACAGAGCCCGGAGCCTCTACTATGCCATGATGCTGCCGGATATAAGAAAAATGCAGCGCCCACATAGAGATCAGCATCAGCATCTGGCAGCCTTTCCTCTCTTCTGGCCCCGAATGCCATCTTCACTGAAATAGACGAGCCAGGACAAGGCTGAGAGACAAAAAAGATATCCCATAAGAGAATCACTTCTTGCTTCTTCCAGCTTTCCTTTCCCTCATATACAGATGCTACGAGGCGCAATCTTCTCTACACAAACATCTTCATGATCATGTTGCCGGTCTTTTCAATATTCAATGATATGGACCTCGGAAGAAACGCAGATCGTGATTGCGGCCGCGATCTGTACCCTTCAGGTTCTCATCCGCTCCTTTGTGCGTATTGGCGGGACGTTGAAATGGTTCTCTACTACGCAGCAGCAGAGGTGGCATGCCGATGATACCTGGATGGCCGTCTCTCTCCTCCCGTTATTTCTTAGAACCATATGCATGTGCAAGAACTTTTCTTTCGAGCAACCGCTCTCAAAGGAGGATGAAGAATCATTTCAAAAACTTGTCATGGCGGCCCGCGTGACTTATGCAATGTTGTAAGTGTGCTATCTATGCTGTATATATGTGAATCTGGGGGCTGACTATACCACCTAGTCTATGGTGCATGAAACTATGCCTTCTCCAGTTCTATACTCGACTGGAAACCGGGTCAATCCGAGTCCATCGGGCTATTCAGCTTCTACGGGCGTTTATATTCCTAACATTCATCATTATCATCCTTGCGACATTACTTGAATGCCGACCTATATATGTGTAAGCAGTACCCCCCTATTTACTGGATGTCAATCCATGGACTATATTAATACTAACATGAAACGCCCTCTTTTAGTGCTTGGAGACCAGAGTATACCCATCGTGAGTCTAAGCTACATTATCTTCGTAGCACGGAAGAGTCTGTGAAGCTAAACTATTTGGCCTATGTAGATTCGTGTCGAAAGGGAACCGTGAACCTCCTTTGCATGGCATCATTGAACATAATAACTGACCTTGCGCTTATTCTATTTCCAATACCACTTCTCTGGAGGATGAGTGCTCTTAAATTTCAGACGTAAGTCTACAACATTCCTCTCTATTTGCCTAGGTTCACTTCTAACAATTGCATAGCAAGGTCCAATTAACCCTCCTTTTCCTTGTTGGCACGCTGGTTGTAGCAATTACCATCACCAGAATACCTCTGATTCTCAGTCATTCGGTCTCCCAGCAGTCTCGAACTCTGGTAGGTCCTGTTTCTACCTATACACCCCCTTTTTTCTTCCTCTATACCAGTAGCTAACTTAGTTCATATAACTAGTGGGCCTCAGTTGAGATTGTCTGTTCGGCAGTCACAGCCAACGCGGCATTCTACTACGCTCTATGGAAAGAAAGTCATCAATTCTTCCATCGCTTTGCGCGTCCAGCAGATCAACTCACTTCACAGCTCCAAACTCCGGAAATCTCATCTAGGGGCCTCGGAACTCCTCGTATCTGGGTTTCGAGAATTAGTGAATCCACAACAGGATGTAGAGACAGCTTCGACATCGCGGAATACCACCTACAGCTGACTACACCTAACAGCTCCTTCTTCTCCCACCTGGATAGATTGGAAGCAGGAGAACAACTAGTGGGCAAGGGGTGAAGAGCTTGTTTCAGCCTTCTCTATGTCCTTGATCCAGAAAATTGAGCTCGTTACACTGACTGTTCCTGACAACTAATACCTCTCAATAAAACATGGGAGCTCACTCAGGGGTCAATATCAAGATAACGACGCTGGCACCAGGTGATTCCCTGTATCCGTGGTCACCCAGGACTTGTACTGTTTCCGGGGACTACGCCTGGTGTCTCTGTATACCCAAGGTCTGGATTAAGCCAACTGTCAGGTTTCAGTTGGAGGCAATGTAACAACCCGTCCCGATCATGACGGTTTGTTGGCTGCTAGTGGGTGTCAAACTAGCCTTATTATATTAGAAGGAGGACTCAACTCCCCAGGTTTCCTTTAATGATTAATGACTGTAGAATAGATGTGTTTGTCAAATGATTTCTGCTTGGGGCGACGCTGTACAATCAATGATTTGTGAACTATTTACACTGATGCTTAAAAAATAGGACCACGTAATGATCTTATAACGAAGACATAGAGGACCACAGCACATGCTTCTGGGTGACTATAGGCTGGTATATACATGGGTGGTGCACGGACGTAAAGGAGGCCCAGTTCACTTCTTCAAAGCCGCAAACCTCCGTGCAAGCTCATCCACTTCAGGTATACCTCCAAGTTTACTCGCAGTATCCTTTACGCCGGCAGCATTGCTCGCCTCAGAGCCTACAGATGGCCTTTGTGTAGGCTGTCCTTCGCCCTGCTTCGTTTCTGCAGGGCAAGCACCATTTGTTGATGTCCCTTCCTGCTCGGTTTCTTGTTGTTCAGCTATATCTACATCACCGTATGGAATCCCATGGCTCCTTGCAATCTCGGTCAGATAACTCTCTACTAGAGACTCCGGGGCTTTTCGAACTCGTAGTCTATCCAGTAGAACCTCCGGTAGTTCCACTGGCAGGTCATCATCATCCTGTGCTCTACTGACAAAATCAGCTCCCCATCGTAGAGCTAGTTTATTCTTCACTTCTAATAGACCCGGAATATCACGAGGTATTCGCGCGTAGGAATAGAAAACCACCGCTGCAGAGCGGTCAAGCTCGGGGTCTATATAAACTTCGTATTGCTGTTCTGTGCCATCCTCATCGTAGCCCTCAGCGTGGGGCGCTGGTTCATCCGAGGACTGGCCCGGTTGGCTATCGGCGACGTGTTGTGAGGAAGCGGCAGATGTCGAAGAGAACCCGAAGAGGTTCCAAATTCCCCAACCGCCCCCAGAAGCAGGTTTAGATCCCTCGCCAGCAGGGTGTGAACCAGCTCTACCTCCGCCAGCGGAGTTTCTCGGTCGGGTATCCTGTTTCCCCTTGCCCCTGTGCCGCGCTGGTGTTTTGTTCTTCTTCTGCCCAAAAGCGAGGTGGTCCAGAATATTGGCCCGAACTTGCAGCTGCTCGCAATGCAGCTCGAGCACCTCAAGTGCGGCAATCAGGTTATCGTTCGAAATGACATCTTCCGTCTTGATACGAGCGAAGTCTTCCCGGCCTTCTTTTAGCAGTTTCGCAAGCTCTCGATGCTTTGCCTTAGAGTAGCCTTGCCGTTCTTTTTTGAGCTGACGGAGTCGAAAGACGAGCGCTTGAAGTGCGAATATTAGGTCTTGCTGTTCGACATGAAGAACAAAATATTAGCCTATATCTATAGCTGTAAAGAAACACAGAGATTCAGTGGGTGAACGATGCACTCATGCGATAGAGATGCCGTGGTGCTGGTTGTAAATACAACGACGTCATCGAGAGACTTTGGCGCAATAGTTACTCGTGCAGATAGGAAGTTGAGAAGACGACTTACGGTTTGCTTGGGCAACGGCATCTCTGCTAGAACCAGAAAACCATTTCGTAACACAGTATCGTGTCTCTGGCGTCGTTGTTGTCTGGGCTATGCGCGGTCAGGGAAGAAACGGTGATTGTAAGTTGGTTTGTTGGTCGACGTTGACCGCGGGAAACGCTTTTTGGTTGGAGTTTCAACTCTGCAACCTCAACTTCAACGACTTCATGTCGCATCCAAGTGCAACCAACGTCTTGATACTCCACGAAATAAGACACCTGCTCGTTAATACTACATTGGTAACATACGATGAGGACTGATGGCCAGAGATATTTTTTTTCACGCTTCTTGATACCCTTGCCTGACGAACCAAGGCTATGTACGCTTTACCGATTGGAAGCTGATTCTACTCACCACGGCTGGTAGATGATTTCATGCCAGGAAGCGCGGGTTGATGCAGCAGATCTCGAAGAACAAGCTGTGATAGTAGAGGTCGATATAGTTGCTGCCATGGTAGGAGCAAAAATACGCGGGACGATCAGCCATAGAGATGGAAAATACAGCCGGGTTTGGACTCGTCTCATATCGCCGGCGGGATGGAGGCAAGACGGTGATACCGATCCGCGTCATCTGCCTTATTCTCTTCCTCCCGCCCTGTATCCGTATCTGCATCGAGCAAGATGGACCGTTCCCTGAGAGATTCCACGACCCTAACCTGGCCAAGGCTGATGTCCAAGTCCACCGGGATTCGCGCAGACTTGGTAGGAAGCGGCAGATATCAAGGTACAACTCGCCACTGATGAACAGCGCAATCCGGCCATGCCCTTGAACATATCCCGAACGCCAGCTGTCTATGCAACAATCACAAACTGGCCTCACTTTGGGAGGGGAAACAAGTCAACAGGAAATTACCTATGAGTATTGCTAACTTATGAAAAGCCCTCATTGACTGCCTATCGTAATTGCGGGAACACATGGATGTATCCCAAAAAAACATCATTACAACGCCTCTTCAAAGGTGGAACTCTGGACAGGTGCTGTGCCTTGGAAGGCAACGAAGTGATGATAAATATTAAGGAAAATTAGGCGTCCATAAAATAATGCATATTTGTTAAGCTAGCACCATTGCGCGAAAATCCCAATATATATGATTACAATCCAAATACGGAAGTAAACGCTACCCCAAAACACCTTAGGCCCTTAGAAACGGAATGGACTGAAGACTGAGGAATGATAGTAGAAAGCTCAAAATGAGCATCCAGTTGTCATACAAAAATATTTTCAGACACGCCAATTAGGCAGTGAAAAGGATTCTAGATCAGTAGAAGAAGATTCATCAAAATCGGGACGAGATATGGGCCAAGCTTCTAGTTCAGGTGGTGGGGAGGTAGATAGATAGGAATAGTCGAACTCTCGCCGTGATACACCCATCAAAAGGACCTCATTTAGAATATTCTGTAGTCGGCGTTGGTTCTCGCGCCGTAACCGCTTTCTGTGCATCTCCGCGATGAGCGCGGCATCAAAGATGTATGGCTCTCCGGTCTGGGGATCGATGTGGGCATAATGGCACTTGTTTTCAAAGTAGCATCCTGGCCGAAATGGGGGCTCTGCTGCCCCCTTTTCCGTTGCTTCTTTCACTTTTTGTTCCCAGTTTTTTATGGCAGTCTGGAAGTAACGGCAGGGTATCTTCTTCATACTTCGATTATATTCTTTGATGATTGATGCCTTCAGTGGGTTAAGTGTAGTTCCATTGGGGATGGGTTTACTGGAAGCTGCTGTCTCGCTTTCTACTATACCTTTTGACGCATCCTGTGTGACTGGCGATGGAGTGGGAAATATCGCAGAGGGTATTATGTATTTGCTGGGTTTACGGCATAGGGGACAAGACTTGGTCGTGGTTGGGCCCCATATCGCATATGGGTCGTCAGAGCGGGAGCCACGACCAATATTCCGACTGTTTTGGTCTCCTTGCCGGGAGTGCCTCCAACGTCGAATGCATTCTGCTCATTAATATTAGTGGAAGCCTCCTGCTATAAAACAGCGGCTGAATGGAGGGGTCTAACCTAGGCAAAAGACATGATCGCAATCAGTCAATAGGCCGCAAACTTTCGGAACTTCTAAGCAAATAGAGCACTGCTCGGGCTCTTTGGCCGAGTCGTTGGGTTGACCTGGCTGCGATGGCTCTTCTTTATATCATATAAAGTGTCCGTTAGTTAGATATCTATAACTATCCCCAAACTCCGCAGCCTCACGTCCAGACAGCAATAACACGAGGCTTCATCGATAACCTGGCTGCTGCTGCACTTACGAGCATCCTGAGTTGTGACTCCGTTCTCGTCACCTGCAGCCGCAGCCACAGCCGCAGCTGCAGCTACATCAGCCCGACGGTCAACGCCCTGTAGGCAGGGATCATGTCGGAAGTAGCAGGTGTCTCCCCTCCGGCAGTGGCCTTTCTTCCACCACCTGCAGTTGACAAGCCCGGGCTCATCTCGAGGACGGCGTCTCATGGTGATTTCTTGTGCTCCGTGGTTCCTGTTATATGTATTCTTCTTCTCATTACTCATTATTCTGTGTTAATGTAGATGATTCCACGTTAACGAAAGGCTGAAGCTTCTTATTTTATTTAGTTTAGCAACTCCAAAGTTGGCGCTAGTGCAGCTGACTAGCTAGGCTACGTATTCTTATTAGATGATACGACGTTAAATAGTTGAACATGATTGGCCTATTATTGGATAACGGTTCCGATAGTAACTGATGTTTGCATCTAAGTGTTACTTGATGCGTTGTAGACGCTGAACGAAAGGGAAAGAGGCAAAGGGCGTTGAAGTCGCGAACACGTATACTAGTGTGGGCATGTTCGAAGCCGTGATTATCAATAAAGATTATGTACAAGAAGGTAAATAATCTGTAAGAGGGGATATCAGAAGGGTATAAATAAGTTAGAAAAATCATAGGGGGTTCCAGAAGATGTCATAAAAAAGCCCCGGCCTACGCGTAAATCTCATCGTAAAGGGTGTATTAAGAAATAAAAGGGTAGAAAATGGGCAGCAAGTGTAAGGGGGCAGGTATATAGGCTGGATATTCTTGCGGTAAAGAGCAAAGAATATATAAAAGGGGAGATCGGGTGAAGTGAGAAGTCAAGGGTAAAAAAGAAAATTAGTAAAGTAACGCGCTTCCAATCCCAGTGAATTACTCCGTATTTTCCGCTTTTTCCTTGTTTTTTTGTTTTGTTGTCTTGTTTAAAAGTTGACGAAGATCGAGACGATTAGGAAGCTGAGTGTGAGACTCATAACGGAGATAGCGGTAGCCGAAGCAGCGCCTTCATGAGTTGGAGTGGGCGCATTTCCGGAGCCGGTAGGCGTTGGCATGATAATTGATGAGCCATTGGTAGGCTGGTGAATTGACGAGCTAGGGCTCTCGATAAATACATGGGGTGATGGCATGTAGGCGTCTGCAGATGTCGAGGTGGTTGAGTAAGCCGCAATCGAAGAAGATGAGGTGGCAGAGCTAGACTTACTCGGATAAGAACTAGTTGGTGTCGGGGAGTATTCGGAAGTGGACGATTCAGACGTGGAGGTAACGGACGGCGCTTGCTTAGAGGACGAGCTTGAGGGAGTGGGCGAAGGGGTGGATGAGGAAGAGCTTGAAGATGGCTTGGGCTCATCTTTCTTGTCGTCATCCTTTGGCTTGTCATCTTTATAGCCACCCCCCTTACCACCAGAGCCACCGCTGTTACCGGCCTCGAAGACTACGATAGTAGCCTGAGTACCCTTGGGAACAGTAACGACGCAGAAGGCGGCACCACCAGCACCGTCAGTGCCACTACCAGTGATTTCATTGACCTTGTTCTTGGCTGGGTCGATTTCACAAGGGAGTCCGTTACATCCGTCACACTCAACCTTGACACCGAAGGTTGGGCTCTCGTCCCTGAAGGGAGTTTCGGTTTCGAGGTAGATAGGATTCCAGCCGAGCTTCAGGAAGGTCTGTCCACTGCCGTCGGTGTTTGCACCACCAACAAATGGCGACCAGTTACCCCATGGGTTAGACTTGGTTCCCCATACACAGGCAGTGTCCGTGTCAGTGCCTGGAGGGTTGATATAGTAGCTGTATCAATGAAAGTTAGCAAATAGAAACAGAAAAAACAACGGCGCTTCCCTTTTTGATACATACTGAGCAGCAGTCGAGCACCAGTAGGATGGATCGGGGACTGCGAGATCTGCGGTATCCTGGACACTGGTAGGGATCAACATAGCCTCATTTCCTGGAAGGACAGTTTGGCAGAAAGAAACCACCCCTCCACAGCTGTTCTTCACCTTAACGGGACCAGAGGCATCAACACAGTACGGCTTCTCAGGGAAAGGCTTTTGAATCTTTCCGCTTTTGTCACAGTAAAGACCACCGTTCTATCAAGACAAATTAGTCGAATTGGCAGAGATGGCAGGAAACAACTTGGACGTACCATCGAGGCGGGATAGGTATAAGAAGTCGCCTCTGGATCCCATTGTGCCATGACTTGGCCAGGGGGGCAAGCATAGGGACAGTAGCTACCAGGCTTGCAAGGCTGGTCGGGGCTCATGGCCCAGCCAGCATTCATCGCGTTCGGGGTAACAGATACCAGTCCAGCATCCGTAGGGAACTGGCATTGACCGCCTCGCTTCTCGACATAGGATATCCCATGGCCCTCCAGAGCAGGCGCGGACCGATGGAATCTTTGATGGCCTCCTCCATGATGGCGGCTCAAACCAGGAGTATAACCGTGGAAATCGGCATGTCCAGCCTGAGATGCGCCTGCAAGGAAGGAAAGGACGGCCGTCGCCCAGATTGGTATGCGCAACATGTCGACTTTCAATAACAGAATTTGTCGCACGGCTGGTGCGCAAATGCTGACCGTTCTGTGTTTATTTTTTTGCGCAGTAGCCCCTTTTGCGACACGTTTTTTTTCTCTCTTGTTATCTTTCCAACGGTGATAAAGGAATGGCGGATTAAACAAGCAAAGGAGAGTATTGTTTCCAGGCAGTTATTCAAACGACCGTGAGCAAAAAGATATAACAGAAAGGAATGGAACGCGGGGAACGGTCTCAACAGTCGTACTAAAGGAGTGACAGACAGGTTTCGCAAAAGAGTGTATGAAGTGAGGTGCAAAAACACTTTTTGAAGATTAAAGACAGACAGCAGAGCGCAAAAAGGAGGTCGACCGCGAGATTTGAACTAACTGGCGAAGGCGGGCGTATTTAGTGGGACGCCATCTGGGGCAGGGTGATGGCTGCCAGGGGGCCATGCAATTCCCCTAAGTAAGTTGTGTGGCATCGGCGACCATGGTTAAGCCTAGCCTAGTCAGCCAGGCACGGCGCTGGGCCAGGAACGCGGACTGTGCCTTGCATCACGCTGGTATCCATCCAATCCAAGTCGCTCCTTGGTAGAGAAGAGGCGCTTCTGTACGCCATCACCAACTAATCAGATAACTGGTCACGATTCGTATGCCCTTGTCCATCTATATGTAAGTACTCCGTAAATATGCACGGCTCCAGCGCAGTCCGTCCCGCCCATTCTTCCTCCAGCCCGGGCTTCCCTCCATGTCATATCAAATGAACGGAGGACAAGACACTCCAGGACAACCGAAGCTCTAGCGCTGCGGAGAGCCTCTGTTGGTTCAACCAAACTAGTTATCGTATCCAGAAAAAGATTTGGTAGCGTGGTGCAGGGGTTAAATTGAGATCGCCAACGTACTCCAATAGAATCCACCACACGGTCGAGGTGGCTCCCAGGCCCTGTCGAATCACTCCTTGGCCGTCGCACTTTGCTCGATCCATGGCTGGTTAGAAAGAGTTGCAAAGATGACTGCTCGCGTTCAAACAAAGGCAAAATTCGCTAGTTTACCTGCGGATTGAAGATCGAGCTTAAGCCTCAGATGTCCACGTGATGCTATATATTCCAATCCAACTTGTTTAGACTTGTTGGAAAGGGGGTCCGGAGATGGAAAACCTTCAGGAAGAGGAAGGGAGGCTTCATTTCCTTGAGTTATATCCATGAAGAGCTTGCTGCATGGTTGTATATGGCGGAGACAGAGTCGCGGGCCATTACTCCGTATTGTAGTTTGAAAAAGCGACTGTGTGTCGTCCTGGAAGAGGAGGGATCAATATGAGGACTCCTGGAATACTCCGAGGATGGCCGATCTTCTGTCAAAAGTAAGATAACTCCTTGTTCTTTGACAGTGCAAATCGCTCAGTCTATTGGGGTCATTTATTGTGATGGAAACTCTCGCCAGCCATGAAAGGACTCGCCAGTCGGAAGCGTTTCTTCCTCTCCGGCTGATGGCGTGCCGTCTCGCCATCCCCAAGCAACGCAGTAATGCCTTGCGAGCAGCTGCCACTCCTCGACCTCGTCCAGCATCTCAACTCCCGCAACTCGGTTTTTCTCGTCCTCTCCGATCCATCTCTCCCATATGAAATCGATATCAGCGGCCCCCTGGCCGCTCGAGAAGCCATGACCCTGCAATCGCTCTCTCTGAGCTTCCAATGTCGCATAACGATGGAGCGTCTGCAGCTGAATCCCGCGAGCAGCCAGATTGCTCACCATTGTCTTGCCAAACGGATCGTCCGGTCTGATGGGCTCATATATTATCAGTGCAAGGGGCGTGGTTGGCCTGCCTTCGCAGGAGAACACATGCTCCGTGAAATATGAAACGGTGTTCGCAGCGTCAGCGGGAGATAGATATACGAGACAACACTCTGAGATCAACAACGTTGGGGCGGCTGGATCGATATCTCGCAGTTTCAGGCGGTTCGGGCCGTTGGACGATGCTGTGAGCGTCCGCAGATCTATGGGGTGAAGGTGGTAGTATTTCGAGTGGAATTCATCACCATTGGGAGACGTAGTCACCTCTTCTCGGTCTGTTATGCGAAGCGCGTCCAGAAGAGGTGGAGAGGAGAGGATCTTCGCGATCTTCGGGGCTGTGTTTTCCGCAAAGTCGAGTTCATGGTACGTTAGGTCCAGCGCTGGATTCTCGGACAACAGCCTGAATACTCGAGTATCCGACCCAGCTCCGAGTGAAATTATCTGCTTCTTCTCCTTCCTCTTTCCGTCCGTTTGGAGGAACCGGGCAACCAGTGCATCAATCGAGGTCGTCCGCACATACGTTCCTGGGCGTCTCTGGTTAGTGCGACCGTCGCTTGCCCAGCGCGATACAACCGTCACGTACCTCTGTTAATGATGGGATATCTTCGTATCTCAGCTGTCTCTGGCGCAAGGATAGAGGCGAAAGGATCGCGAAGATAGCCCAGCTCGACGGCGCTGAGTCTCGAGACGCTGGCATCGCTGTCTGTTTGCCGCACCACCTTGTCCCTTGAGCTGCTGTCCCCAGCGCCCGCGGTGCCGAGATAGCCAGCCCTTCCTCGTCCGCGGCCTCTTCCACCACCTCGCCGCAGAGTATTGAGGTTGGGGATATGCGCAGCCGACATCGTAGAGAGTATCTTGACGTTGTTTTGTGTCGTAGTTGTCGTTGGTTGTCGTAATCCTCCTGGTGGGTTGGCCGTCTGGAGTTCTGATAAGATAAATAAATAGTTAGCCAGTTGTACTTTGGCTGCTGCCCCACGGCGTTTTCCCCCTGTCAACACTGACATCATAACTACGACGATCAGCGAGACAAGCCTGGAGACGCAGAGTGGATGGAAGCTTCCGCAAAGGCGTACATGATGGAGGTCGAATGACTTATTGGTAAGCTCTATACAGGTCTATATACTGCTCTACATGACATGGCTGGCGAGGAATCAAGAATACAAAAAGCTGTTGCGACACAGCGGACAGCTGCTCGAGTTGCTGCTCCTAAACCACCTGAACAAGCAGTCCGAATGGAACGTATTCTTGCAAGTTCCACATCTCTTGTTTGGCGTCTGCATGTTGGCGGAGATTATGGAGCAGCAGATGGGACACTCGCCTTGTCCCTTCAGAGCTCCCTGGACGTTCCTTCTGAACGCCATCAGGCCGTCCATGAGGTTTCCGTTGGAGAACAATATCACGCCCTGGATCACCAACAGCCAGCTCTTCCATTTCTTCTCGTCAACGGCTACGCGAGAGCGCCCAGTAACAGTGGCTTGATGCAACGGATAGGTTTGGGGGAGCGAAATAGCAATAGAGGTCGGCGGCGATTCCTCGTCTATTTCAATACTGCCTATGATCTCGGCTGCTCTAGAGGATACTTTGACTTCGAGAGCATGGTCCTCGCCGCCCCAGTCCTGACCGGAGTACCAGTCGCTTACGCTCTGCAGCGAGTCCTCTATTATAAGGGGAGAAATCTGGCAGCAGTTAGAAATATGGATCGACTACTTCCTCCTCAAGGTAAAATACTCACATATTTCTGCGTCCAGGTTTCCACAGGCGTCTTCAGCCGCTTCTTGCAGTCAACCCACCAAGCTCGGGTGAGGTTTGGCAGGTACCTCAAGGCTAGGTAATAAGTATGGACTAAAAGCCACTGCATCTCTTTTTTTGACGACTCGGCAGTATCGAGTTCGAATGAGCGGATTTCGAATTTCGAAGCATCAGTTAGTTGACCCTGGGGTGATTCCAGGCAATCAAATACAAAATCCAATAGTGGACTCAAGCAGTCTTTCTGCTTTATATCAGAGCTGTAGCTCTCTTGAACCGGGATTGACTGATGCTAAGTTAGAGCTGAGTGACTTATCCATGCGGGGGTTCGAATAACAAGTTATCTCACCGAAGATGCGAAATGATCAAACGCTACTTTCCAGCCAAGGAGATACGAACGAGCACCGAGCCAGAGATCCTCGTCTATGGTAGCTTCTCTAAGCGGTGCTATTGGTGGTACTTCTGAGAGAAGGGCCAAGAGCTGATCTGGTAGATTGACGGCAGTTTTGGATAATGCAACGTCGAAAGACAGCGCCTCCTGGATTTTGGGTATCACTCGATGAATTATTCCATACGTTGCACGCTGTACACCCTTATTTTCGATTGAAAGGCTAGAAAATAATTCACTGATATCAGATATTGAGTCGGCATTGATGGCAGACAGCTCTCGCGAAAGAAGATCGGTAGTGATGTCCCAAGGCTGATCAGAGCGAAAGGAGGGGCCTATTGTTATATGTCAGTAAGGTAATAACATATGCCAGGGAATAAAATCGGGCTTTACCAAACTGCTTCAACATGTTAACCATGTTCTCTGTGTGCGACTTTCGGGCTTCCTTCCATGCATCCTCTAGGTCCTCATTGCTGTCATCGGTAGCCAGTTTCCTTAAGCAACTGAACAAACGCAATGAGGAATGTAGAACAGGAAGGTATTCGCTGGATAGGTCACCCGTTTGCCATAATGAGTTCAGCACATCAAATAATTCCGGCCAGTGCGATCCATAAACCTCCTTCATCAAGGGTAAAACTGCTGATAAAAGCTTCAGTATTTCTGAGATTATCCCAGCACCAGATTTCCCAGACTGCAAGCACACGATTAAATGTTTTACTAAGAATACCAGTCTTTGCGTGGGGATATTTTTCGCTGGATTCCTTTCTCCGTGCATTAGAGAATTGAGGACTACCAATTTTCGTAGATCTGTGATCGAGGTGTCAGCCAGGAGGAAACAGATTGGGCCTGTGAATTCAAAACTTACCTCCAACATTATCTGTGTCCTTCAAACCTGTGATATCTGCAACTAGCTGGTTACAGAGCTTTGTAGCGGTTTGCGTTTCGATGATCGAATCCCTATACCCAACAACGTTTGCAATAAGGACAAAGGGGTTAGAAAGCGCGGGAATTTCCATCGCCGTTTGCAATTTGCTGTCAGCAGACGGCATCTGCCTAATTGCATCCCTTTCGGCTACAATGCGGGCAAAGCTCTCTGCAAACCGGTACGCCCTAGGGCCGTTGCCTTCAAAGTTGTATAAATTCCTCTCCCAAAATGATACAAATGACCTGCTCCCGGACTTGTAAGCTGCGTCTGCTGTACATGACTTCTGGATCCAACCATTCATGAGAATGCGAGCCTCTGAAACAAGTTCAATCGCAATGGCTCGGGTTTCAGGGGTGAGAGGATATAGGATTGTCGTAGATTCGTCAATGCTCAATTCTTCATCAACAAGCTGGATGACCAATGGAAAGTACGTGAATACATTTTCTAGAGATGGCAAAGGCACGTTGTCGATACCAGCAGACTTTAGGAGCTTTGTGACATAGTATGCAATCCGAAATGCTAACGGAAAGCTGTCCCTATCTCTTGGAAGAGATCGTAACACTTCCAAGCTCCGTGGCGCATTCATGATATGCACGGCTCCCCCTAGATGGCTCATTATTGAACATGATTGCTTTGGTGGCACTTCAAAGAAAGGCTCCAAAGCAACCTTCCATGAACTCTCTCGAGGTAGAAGTGACAGTAATAGCTTAGCGCGACTGTCTTCAGATGATTGACCAAGGACTTCTTGCACAATAGCTACTAACGATTCGACACTATTGAAAGAATTAGCAGGATTTCTTATACCCTAATTAATTTTACTCACGATAGTGATTCATCATCCACCGTTGTAAAGTTCCTTTCCAAAACTTGAAGAGTTGGCCTTAGGGAATTGCTTTCACCCGCAATGCTGGTAATTTGTTCTTTCAACGATGCTGCGAGTAATGCTACCTCCTCATTGGAAGATTCGGTAAGATATAACAGCTTGGAAATCAATTTCGAGCCATTTGAGCTCGCAACATAAGATTGGATTGGTGCAGAACTTTCTGTGGAAAGTAGCAGTAGTCCACGGAGAACCTCCATTATTGAATCTTCATTGGACAACATTTCAATTAAAGATCAAGAACAGTGTTGGAAATCTCAGGTCCTAGTTTCTTGTTCTGAAGACCGTTGCAATATCCAGCCACGTATGATGACTCCCATGAACACCGTTCTGGAGCACACCTAAAACCAAAGGTTTGAAGACTGGATTGTTTTCTGCGTCAAAATCTGTCATCGAGGAAAATAATTTGCCCATTGATGGTAGTTGAGAGGAGGATAGCAGAGTATTGTGGTATGTACCAATAACTTTCGCTAGGGCATTATTAAATCCCTTCCTGCCCCGGCAGGCAAACAGAATGGAGACCAGGCGATCTGCTGAGGGTGACAAAATGAGCTGAGGGAGGACATCACTAACAAACGGGCCCAAAACTTCCATTTCACCCGTTAGTGATGGTATCTTGGTAAGAGCCTCATCAACAACTGCTGCAGCACCATAGGGTTTCCCATTTCTAGATTGAAGAGTCTGAAGAGACGTCTCTATCAAAGAAAACGAGCTCTTCTTGATAGATTCCACAATAGCGCCATAGTCATTGCTTCCAGAAGCTTTTGTAATAACCCCGCTGCAAATAGTGAAAAACCGGTTTCCTTTAGAGCAAATCGAGTCCTGAGAAGCTCGGTACTTTTGGGATTGTTCTGGCTCGGAGATTAGTATACAATCTTTCAGTATTGCTGCCAAGTTTGTACATAAACCACGTGTGGTATCGTCTCCTAGCATCTGGTTTAGAGCGATAAACAGCTCAACACAAATCTTGGAGGCATTGGGATCGTCTATTGTCCATGCAGCCTGTGATTGATCCGCAGCAATGAACTGCACAAGGATTGGAAATAGATGGTCCTCCAGAAATTTGAAACGCTTTTCGCCTACGGGAATCTTACTGGTCATCCAAATGCTCGTTTTGATGTAAGCAGACCAGGCAGCTAATAAGTTTGTCCTTGCCTCCTCTCTCTTCTTCAGCGAACAGTGGATTGCCTCAACGATGGATGCTATGGATTGTATGGCAACCTCGTCACCACCACCAATTTCTAGCACCTCTGTGGGGAGTAATTGCAAGATAAGCTGTAACTCCGACCAGTATGAAGGGCCTGCTCCCTCTGAGCCAGCTTTAATATATCGCATTAATTGCTTCTTAACTGGGGATTTTGCGGAGTAGTCTGTAGTCCATAGTTGAGGGGATTTCTTGGTCAGTGCCAATAAAAGTCCCGAAAATCTGGATGAGGATATATCTCTCCCTTTTGATCTTTCTTTTCTTGAACACCCCTGAAGTATCGTCTTTCAGTACTGGCATTGTAGCCGATGTTAGGAGAGACAAGTTTCTAGGAGTTCGTACAAGGATCGTCGGACAAAGGCATCCTCATGGTAGGAAAACTTCCACAGATTTCGACTTTGAAGTATTTTCTCTACAGAGTCTGCATCTTTGGAGAGCTTTTCTGCCGAGGTCGTGGCTGCTTGAATTAGCAAATCTTACACTCGAAACAAAGGTTAATGATTAATACCTAAAAGCCTGTTAAGTTCCAGTAACGCCGTGGCTACCACCCGCGCATATTTTGCTTCAGCATCATCCGGCCGTACGGTTCTTTCGTCACTCAAAGTCAGCGGAGTTTGCTGGAGTGTAGCATCCGCTATGAACTCTAGTATGGACGTTTGGTACACAGTCCATATGCCCTGTTGCTTCTCCTCCGTAGGGAAGGACTTTATGAGTGAGTCCTGCGCAGACTTCTTAACAAGCTTATCGTTTTCGTATAAGCCTGCCAGCCATGCACCTATGGTACCGCTGATATACCGCACAATTCGTTTTCCAGCTGTAGATACGATATATCCCTGTAGGCTGTGGGCAAGCTGCCGGACTCGGCGAGAGGAATCTATTGAGGTACGTGGATAAACCTTAGACTGGAAAGGGATCCAAAGTAAACATTACTGTTCAATAATATCTCTTTATTGCGACATCAAGGGGAACGCACCCATGCTTCTAACAATCCATCGTCAAGAAAAGAGCCACTTGACACTGTATTAGATATATGACCCTGCAAATCTTCAAGCGCTCTGGCTTTCGTAGTGCTATCCTTTTTTAAAAGATTCTTAAACGTAACCACAACCTGAGGGTCGGATATCTGTGACAAGTCCGGAGGCTCATAGACATATGATAGAGAAGATGCCGGAGTTTCCTGGTCAAGCCCAGGCGTAGAGAAACCGCCGAATGGGCTGAAGGAACCTCCTCCAAAGCCACCGGCAGCCGCTCTGCTGCTTGAAGCCTGCGATTTGAACTTCTTCCCGCTCATGGCCGGCGGGGCAACTAATCGTAGAGGTATAGAGAAATTGATGCAAAGATGGAACAATTAAATAAAAGAAATAGAATATCAGGAGGCGAATTCAGCCAAATCCAGTCATCGTCTGTTCTTTATGCTCGCCTGTGGTGTCAACTCGATAAGATCCACCCGTGCTCGGGGTTGAGAAGCTGTTGTTCGTTATCCAAAAGCAGCTCTCCGACAATTATTATTATCAGTGGGGGCCGAAGATCGCTCACGTGAGATGTGCTGACTAAAATGCGGCTCTGCGGACTTTCTTTTGATGTTGAAGAAGTTCGAAGCTTGACGTCGATATCAATTATCACTTGATACTTTGATACCTAGGGAAGAAGCGCCCCGAGCAGGCGAGCTAACCGTCGTCTCCCCAATTCTAGGGCCGGCCGTGGAGATTACAAGATGGAGTTCCTCATAGAGTAAGCCTTGTCCGTTTCCCATGGACTATTTCTCGGTGCTAACTACTTTGATTCAATGAAGTGACCTTCCAATTCTTTTCCCCTACCCTCGGATTTATCCCGAACAATATGCATATATGTGTGATCTCAAGAAGGTCCTGGATGCAGGTGGCCACTGTGTCTTAGAGATGCCCTCCGGGACAGGGAAAACGATTACTCTACTCGCCCTGATTGTCGCCTACCAACAACATTACCCGGAGCATAGAAAGTTGATTTACTGTTCTCGAACCATGTCTGAGATCGAAAAGGCATTGAACGAGTTACGCGCGCTAATGAAATATCGTTCTCAGAAACTCGGGGTTGTAGAAGACTTTCGAGCCTTGGGTCTCACCAGCAGAAAGAATTTGTGTCTGCATCCTTCTGTGAAGCGTGAAAAGAGTGGAGCAGTAGTTGATGCTCGATGCCGAAGCCTTACAGCAGGTTTTATTAAGGAAAAGAAGGAGAAAGGGGAAGACGTTGAGCTTTGCATATACCATGAGGTCCGCTCTAGCAGTCCAATCCGAAGGGCCAAACTAACTTGTTGCAGAATTTAGACCTTTTAGAACCCAGTAACTTAGTCCCACCGGGGGTATTCACACTTGATGGGCTTATTAAATACGGAGAACAGCACAAACAGTGTCCTTATTTCTCTGCCCGGCGAATGGTAAGCTTGACGGCAATCTCACTTAAAGTTGCCCTCGATCACATAGTACTAAAGGTGTTTTATAGATGCCGTACTGCAACGTCATAATATACTCCTATCATTATCTTCTCGACCCAAAAATTGCTGAGAGAGTATCCAAAGAGCTATCACGCGATAGTATAATAGTCTTTGACGAGGCCCATAATATCGATAACGTCTGTATCGAATCTCTCAGCATTGATCTCACGGAGGACTCATTGCGGAAAGCGGGTCGCGGCGCCAGCAACTTGGAACGTAAAATAGACGAAATGAAGAGCTCAGATGCTGACAAACTGCAAAATGAATACCAAAAGCTTGTGGAAGGCTTGCGGGAAGCAGACGAAGCCCGGGAGGAGGAACAGCTAATGGCAAATCCTGTTCTTCCGGACGATCTTCTGAAGGAGTCTGTACCTGGAAACATTCGTCGAGCCGAACATTTTGTGGCTTTTTTGAAACGTTTCATTGAGTATCTGAAAACGCGGATGAAAGTTACTCATACGATCTCGGAAACACCGCTATCCTTCCTTTCGCATCTCAAAGATCTGACTTTTATAGAACGAAAACCTCTACGGTTTTGCGCAGAACGACTTACATCCTTGGTTCGTACGCTAGAACTTGTGAACATCGAAGACTACCAACCTCTCCAGGAGGTTGCAACATTCGCTACGCTTGCCGCAACGTACGAAAAGGGCTTTCTGCTTATTCTTGAACCCTTTGAATCTGACACGGCAACTGTTCCTAATCCCATTTTACATTTCACCTGCCTGGATGCAGCTATTGCCATAAAACCTGTATTCGACAGGTTTAGTTCGGTCATCATAACGTCTGGAACTCTTTCCCCGTTGGAGATGTATCCGAAGATGCTAGGATTCGATGCTGCCTTACAGGAATCGTATAGTATGACTCTTGCACGCCGCTCCTTTTTACCAATGATTGTTACTCGAGGTTCCGACCAAGCACAAATCTCATCATCATTCCAAATACGCAACGACCCAGGAGTTGTTAGAAATTATGGCAATATGCTCCTCGAGTTTTGTCGTATTACTCCTGATGGGGTTGTTGTGTTTTTCCCATCATACCTTTACATGGAGTCTATAATCAGTATGTGGCAGGGAATGGGGATTCTTGATTCTGTCTGGAACTATAAGTTGATTCTCGTGGAAACGCCTGATTCCCAAGAATCATCCCTGGCTCTTGAAACTTACCGTACTGCATGCTGCAATGGCCGCGGTGCGGTACTACTATGCGTGGCCCGAGGAAAGGTTTCTGAAGGAATCGATTTTGATCACCATTATGGGCGTACTGTCCTTTGTATTGGAGTTCCGTTTCAATATACAGAATCGCGGATCTTAAAGGCTCGTCTTGAGTTCTTGCGAGAAAACTACCGCATTCGTGAGAACGATTTTCTCTCTTTTGATGCTCTACGACATGCGGCGCAGTGTCTTGGACGTGTCCTTCGTGGCAAGGATGATTACGGAGTAATGGTACTTGCTGACCGTAGATTCCAGAAAAAAAGAAACCAACTGCCCAAATGGATAAGCCAGGCCATGCTTGAGAGTGAAACGAATTTAAGTACTGATATGGCCGTTGCAACTGCTAAAAGCTTCTTGAAGTCAATGGCACAGCCCTTTAAAGCAAAGGATCAGGAAGGTATTTCAACGTGGAGTTTGGAAGACCTAAAGCGTCATTTGGAAAAACAGAAGCAAGAGTCAGAAAAGGAACAGGGGAATAAAATGGCGTTGACTGCAACCAACACAGGGGTAGCTGATACTGCAATGGGTGATGATGAAGATTTTAACGAAGACCTCCTCGCGGAACTTGAGTCATAAACAAGTTTTAAATGATACTAGGCGGGTTTGGGAGGTTTCAAAACATATCCGTTTAGTTATGCTGTTAAAGCATGCAGAGTATTAGAAACGCTAATCACCAGGGGTGATATTGTTAATCAATACCTTTTTATCCTCCAGTATATGTTTAATGTGCGTGCTCTGGCTACCAATGAACTACCTAAGTAGTCATGGCTTATTTTATTTAGACCAACTCTCTGAACTTGAACTTGAGTTTGATATTGACATGAACTATGTGGCTAAAACCCCAATAGTATTTAGAAAATGAAGAAACGCCTTACTGTTCCCCCCCATTTTTTTATATCTATCCAACAGGAGCAAGTACATCAAAAGCGCCTGTTCCAACAGTTCCGACTCTACCTACAACAATTCTGCTGCTAGGGCCGTTGAGGTTATCCCAATCTCTTTCTAAAACTGCATCACGAAGGAAGCGGACTGTTGTTTCGAAACTCATCTTCATCAGCGGAGATGTGCTATCTTTAACAATACCCATACGGTTGAATGGGCGGTAACCACCAGTTTGAGTCATGACATCAGCAATGAGGGTGAGATGTCGATTATCAACCTTGATACCGTGGCCTTCGAAAACAGCTCCAACTTCGCTGACTATGGTGGCTCTGGCTGCCTCAACACCATATAGGCTAAGCATGTGAGACACAGAGTTGGAATATATGGAGTGCGGGTTAATGATATCCTGATAATCACGCATTGCCAGCAAATTAACACCTTCCGTTATAACATGTTCGGGCTCACCCTTGTCAGCCGGTATATACGCACAACTTCCAAGTCCAGGGATGAACTGTATGACGGAAGTGCGAGCTGCGTTTTCGACCAAGGGAAGAAGCAAAAGCTTTGGTGTAGAGATGTCGTATTGCAATTGAATGGTACACAGGCTTCCGTCGTCTGGGTTAAATCTAAACTGTGTGAGGGAAGGATACTTGCCCCTGAGAGCCTCCGCCCGATCTTTGTTGGCCAATTTCTTAGCTTTAAAGGTACCGGAATCTTCCATATCAGTATCACTGTCACTGTTATCCACTGGTGCGGCCTTTGGCTTATCATCAGTGCCCTCATCATCAGATTCGGGTTCAGGTGTGTCCTGTCTTCGAATGATCTCTTGCTCTCCTTCGTCAGGGGCTTCATACGAAGCTTGACCAGCATTGTTCCGTGACGAGCTAGCACGCTTGGCATCATCCAAATCTTCGTCATCATCGTCATCATCATCTCCTCCTTCACGCCTAGCTTCTTCTATGACACCAACAGAAGCTCCAATCTCTGGCTGGGCAGCGGAAGGGCTAGACAAGGACTTCTCAGAGGTTCTCTTCTTCAATTCAGCCTCAGTAAGCTTGACAAGACGGGGTATAAACTTCTCCTCGAGCGTTCGGAGAACATCATTCACTTGAATAGCGTACTCGGCACAATACGCTTCAGATGGGAAAAGGTCGATTTGAATATCATAGACCTTAGCCTTCGCACTCCCTTGAGATGTGACACGTTCTCTAACTTTTAGTTTATCAACGACTTCAGCGAGGGTCAACTTGGTGATGGTTTTAGCAAAGAGTCTCGCAGTCTCCTCGTCCGTTTGCTTATTCAGTTTCAAGGTCATGGTTGGTGTCATTATATGGTTGCTGGCCGTCATTACGATTTCCCTAAGTCTAGGAATACCGAGTGTGACGTTTTTGGCGGCGTGACCAGCCAAATGGAAAGTATTTAGAGTCATCTGGGTCGATGGCTCACCAACGGACTGGCCAGCAACGATACCAATGGCCTCACCAGGGTCAATGACAGATTTCATATACTTCATGTTCATCATAGTGGTAAAAGCCTTCTTAGTGATTTCACCCTCACCTGTGCTTTTGTCCTTGAGTAGGTTGTCGGGGTTGGATTTAAGATACTAGGTGTCGGATTAGCTTCAGTATAAGTAAAAGCTGATGGGATATTTTGCCATACCTTTTTGAGGGCAGAAGAAAACTTCTCGGAGGTGCTGCCATAATTGGCACCAGGGGGGAAATGAGCCAATGCAGGGTCTTTAGCTTCAATTTTCCCTGTCTTTTTAATCTTCTTCATGGCAGCCTTTGTCCAATTACTTGCTTCCTCATTGTGTACCTTGCTCGAATCGTTCACCCCGTTGACCTGAGACACTATTGACATGTAATTTTGTGCCAAAAAGGTGAAACTGTCCAAGTGCTTCTGTTTCGTAATATCGAGTCCATCTTCTCCATACAAAAACTGTACAATAGACCCGTCAGAGGTGTCACGTACTGAGGTGTCATATTCCGCCTTCAAGCCTTCCATTCCCTTGATTAAACAACGCTGGAGGTAGCCTGATCGTGAGGTCTTGACAGCAGTATCGATAAGGCCTTCTCTACCAGCCATGGCATGGAAATAATACTCGTGCGGTTTGATTCCAGTTAAGAAACGACCGAACACATATCCACCAGCCCCAATTTTAGTCTCGAATGGTTGGAATGACGGAAGGGTCTTCCCGCTTATCATGACAGGAACTCGGCGACCTTCCAAGACTTGCTGGCCTAGGTTGCAAGAAATTAGGTTGGCGTTAACCATGGAACCCTTGGCTCCCGAAACAGTCATGGTCTGCATGTTATTCAAAGGGAACGGCTTTTCGAGGCCACTGGGCAAGCAAGCCTTGGTTATTTCAGATGAAAGTTCACCCGCACGCGATTTGTACATCGCATCAAGTCCGGCATGCTTGTCATCATCACGTAGAACTTCCTCGAGACGACGTTTCAGCTCAACTTCCTCGTTCTCGACCTTGTTCTCATCCAAAGTGACATATTTTAGGGATATTTCGTTACCAAGGCCTTCCGCTCGTTGGATTAACTCCTTTCGTTTGGCATTTCCTTCTTCAGTCAGTCGAAGATCGTCCATGCCACAGGTGAATGCACGCATGTGTAGGACCTTAGTCAAAAGACGTCCCAGGATACCGATTAATTTGCCAGCAACAATGTGACCATAGACCTCATGAATAGAATGGATAAGGCCGCCAACAGTAGGCCCGAGTTGACTTTTATCGAGAATCCCCGATATCAGCTCTCCATCCCTGAAAGTAACTTCAGCCTCGGCTTTGTCACCCCAGCGGTCTCCAGGGGTGGACGATTTGCTGTCCAAGTTGAGGCCAGCCCGGTTATCTGGAGTGATGTTCTTCAAAACTGTACTTATTATCTGCTTTCCAGTCCAGAGGGGTTGAGGTTTAAAGATAGCGGGAGGCATGAGCCATATTTTGTCAGATACGGTATGCGAATTTTCAGGTCGTAGACAGCTGTAGAGCAGTTGATGGTAGTCACTCTCGTCGAAGAAGCTGTCTCTGCAGGTGAGCCATACTCCCATAGATAAATGGTCCTGAATTAAACCACGAAGCGGCTTTCCAGATGTGGCAACGAGATATTGATGGTCGGTATCTGCCAGCTGCATGGCTTCCGCACGGGCAATCTCGTTCTGTGGGAAATGCATGTTCATTTCGTCACCATCGAAATCGGCGTTGTATGTATTACAGTTCGCATAGTGCATGCGAATTGTTCTCTCGCCAGTCAGGACTCTTGCACGATGACCCATGATAGACGGTTTATGAAGTGTTGGCTGCCGATTCATCAGAACCACATCTCCTGTCGTAAGATGGCGATACACTCGCTTGTTGCGTGATCGCTTAAGCTTCCAATTCGATGGTGAGAGAAGCAAGTTGGCAATTGCTATTCTTTCGTCCACAGTCTTGAATTTCAAGCTGACTACCTGTCCAAGCTCGTTTTCAACGGCAGCTGCACCGGGGTATACATCCGGGCCATTGATAACAGCCTGTTTAAGCTCCCAGTAGTTATGGTTCGTCACCGGTTCGGGGTATGTTAATTTCTTCGCAAATACAAGAGGGATTCCGATTTCGTTCGTTTCAATGTTTGGATCTGGGGAAATGACACTTCTAGCAGCAAAATTGACTCGTTTTCCCATCATATTTTTTCGAAAGAGACCATCTTTCTTTTCCAGCCGTTGTTTTATACCATCTTCGTTCTGAGCGCCTGCCCCCTGAGAGGGATTTCTATCCCTGTCGATAAGACTATTTACGGCATCTTGCAGATTGACAATTGCTTGAAGCAGATCACGATAGTCACGAATCCTTCTCGAAGTGCCTGTCGAATCACCCTGCCTTTCTCTGCTGATTTGATTGATTTGGTCGCATAGCTTGATGATCCTGCCAAAAGAAGTGTTTTGCTGGGCCTCCATAATCTCATTTGGGCCTTGCTGTGCTGCTGGCCGAAACTTGTTCGGCGGCACGAGAATATTTTTGATGAAAAACATGTTGGGACTGATATGGGAGCGTTTCTTGACAAACGGCCGGGAGTCATATATCAAATCGAGAATTTCTTGTTCTTTGTTGAAAAGGAAGTGAAGGGAAGCATGAATTTCCGAAGAAGGCACATATTGCTGAGAGTCAGAATCGCCTACTTGAGTCACTGCAGCCTCTTCGACGTCCATTAACATCACATTGCCTACCGAGATTTGCTGCTCTGCATTGATCTGGTTGTCACTGTCAAGCGGTTCTGCCAGCTTTGCAGGCTTTTTCCCTTCCTTTTGTCTTTGAGACAGCCTGTTCGCCTCTTCCATCAAAACAAGAGGGTTAGGTACCTGGAACCCAGCCTCCATCATGGCAATTCTGGCCTTCTGGGGAAGGGATTTTCGGAAAATTTTAGAGTACTTATCCCGACGATAAGCTGGAGAAATTCTAAAGCAAGTAAAATCAATATGGGTCTCACAACGCATCATTAGGGTGATTAAATAGTGGAATGCTAACCCTGAGCAAGATGTGCACTTTTTGACAGCACACGCCTCCTTCAAGAAATCCCGTACCAAGTTCCGCCGCATTTCCGCTGCGGTGGGGTCCTTAACGATTTCCATATGGCTTCTACTCCTCTTCTGAACAGGGAGGCTCGCAATGCAACGCTTGACATAATTGTTCCTTCGATGTATCAAATCGACGTCATCCTCGTCGTCGCTATCATCATCACTCGAGTCATCCTTTCCTCGGGCACCTTTCCGCAATTCCATGTTCCCAACGGTATGCGCCTCTTCAATTAAACCATACTGTAGCAGACGTAATTTGCAGGAATAGTTATTAACTTGCGCGCGTGACATCCTGAACCGGTGACAGTATATACACTGAGATCTAAGTAGTCGGTATAGCTGGTCAAAGAATGTAACATTGTAGACGTGGACGGGTAATTCGATATGACCAGAGTGCCCGGCGCAGGACCAAGAGTTCTGGCGACATGTTGAACATCTAAACGGGCGAATCTGTTAGCCTTCCAGGTAATCCAGTGCTTCAATGCGGAGCTGTTAGGCCAGACATACATATGATCACCCCATGCGCCGAGAGCAGCATCGTATAGACCGCCTGGTACTGGGTTATTGAACGAGTCCAAGCTGGGTGTGTTGTAGATTCGCTTGACCGAAACCGCCTTGATCTCCTCATCGGACATGACTCCAAAGTCAATTCCGCCGATGGACGACGAGACAGGAATTGCGAAACTCGACATGACTGCGAACTCCTTCCAACCTGCCCGCCTGCGTGGAAGAGATAGCTGTGCAGCCGGCGTTCGCGGTGGTTGTTGATTACTTTCTTGATAACTTTTTTTTTTTTTACACTTTTTGGATGTAGCTCAAATAAACTTTTTCTGCCGCCTGGCACCGACACTGAGCTGCTGCCTTATGTAAGCACGGCTAAACATTAAGTGCCAGTTAAGGCTCATTTAAAAGGATCAGCCAAAGGCCCAGCAGTGGTTGAGAGTTTGCTCAGGCATGATAGACAAGTTATAGGAGATGGACTCTTTGTGCAACAGCCGTAAACTACTCATTTGCTCGAGTTACACTATTTGTCGAGTAAACTTAAAGTTAACCTATTTGCTCGTCAGCGATAATTGTGATTATATAATCAGACGCTATGCTGACATAAGCATCTTTGGTCCATCGCGACTTTTATGGGCAGTCTATCAATCTCTAGGGGATGTTTTCTTCACGCTTCAGTACTAAGCTACATACTAACACTAACTCCCATGGCGGGCACCTCTACCGGCGGGTCTCTCAAGAGGCCACACCAGCTTGACGATGAGGGTACCTCACAGAAGAGATCGCGCTCGAACAATGGGTCTCCAGCACCCACAACACCTCCCCCTAAGGTCGATATGGCGAAGGCTATTGCAGAAGCAAAGGCAAAGGCAGAAGCTGTTCGTGCTAGGCTAAATGCTCAGGGTGCAGGAGGAGCTGCTTCGCGCCTTTCGGCAGCCCCTCAGGCTCCTCAGTCAACAGGAGCGTCGCCCGCTCTGTCCAGGCTCGAACAAATGAAAGCAAGAGTTGCGGCAGCTACGGGGAAGATAAATACATCTACTGCAGCTAAACCATCTCAGCCGACCCCCAGCTTCGCCCCTATTCCTCCCCCTTCAGCCAATGACGATACTATGATGAGGGCAAGAGGTGGACTGGATGTCGGCTTACACCCTGCACTCCTTGGAGACAGCGGGCAAGACAGCCGAACTACAAAAGGAAAACAGGCCATGCAGCCGAAATTTGCGACAACTATGGCGAACTTTCGGTCTGAGTCGTCTACGCCGCCTAGTCGAGGGAAAACACCTCTTGATTTGTCTGGCCCATCCATAGAAGAAACCAGGAATAACCCCTACTTCGACCCGAGCTTTGGCTCTAAGTCCGTAGCGGCACGGCCTCGTCACACACGCCAGCTTATCTTTAATCAAAAAGGAAAATATATCCAACAAGCTGCAGCACTGAGAAGGCAGGCACAACTCGAAGCTATGAAAAAACGGATTGCAGAGCGAGCTCGACAGGCTGGTATAGATGAAGACCTCGATGTTGAAAAATCTTATCTTGTGGCTGCACCCCCAGCAATTGAATGGTGGGATGAAGGGCTAGTAAATGGAACGGATTACACCGCAACTGAAGATCCAAGTAACCTAAAGGTTGATACCCCAGATTCAGTTATAACCATCTATATACAGCATCCGGTCCTTCTGGAACCCCCACAGGACAAGAATATACCCGCTCCCAAACCCATGTACCTAACCCCCAAGGAACAAGCAAAGATCCGCCGACAACGCCGCATGGCAGATCTCAAGGAGCAACAGGCTAAGATTCGTCTTGGACTTGAACCCGTGCCTGCCCCGAAAGTTAAAAAGTCAAACCTGATGAGAGTACTTGGTGAAGATGCAGTTAAGGATCCTACGGCTGTCGAGGCCAGAGTCAACCGTGAAATTGCTGAGCGTGCACAAAAGCATCAAGATGCCAACGAAGCTCGAAAACTCACAAAGGAACAACGTCATGAGAAATTGGCGTCAAAACAAGAATTGGATGCCGCCAAGGGAGTGTGTGTATCAGTCTACCGCATTGACAGTCTGGCAAACGGCCGCCATCGATTTAAGATTAACAAGAATGCAGAGCAACATGCACTTACCGGCATTTGCATTATGCATCCCAAACTCAACATCGTGATTGTAGAGGGAGGTGCTCACTCTATTAACGCGTATAAAAAACTTATGCTAAACCGCATTGACTGGACTGAAAATTCAGGCGCCAACTCCGTTAGAGAAGGTAACCGTGAAGCACTGACTTCTTGGCTAGCCGCTGAAGATGAGAAGGGAGAGCTTAAAGACTTGAGCCTCAATTCCTGTACATTAGTCTGGGAGGGAGAGGAGAAAAATCGAGCATTTAGGAAATGGGTTGGAGCTCGAGTATGCGAGACGGATGGCGCAGCAAAGGACCAGCTAGCTAGGGCGAAGATGGAAAACTTCTGGGCTCTAGCAAAAAGCATGAAGCCTGCAACTACATAAATAGTACTGGGGAAATTCTGACATCTGCAACCCTACCATACCCCTCTTCCAGCATACCCAGAGCTTAGTAGATGGTCGGCAAGGATTGCTTATTCATTGCATCTTCTATTTAAGTGACTAGCTAGAGTATATAGGCTATAGAATTCATCAAATATTTAGTATATGTACCTGCTAATAGATAAAATCCAAAATGGGGGGGCCATCAGTAGCCTGTACTCCAATAAACAAATATAAACACATGGCCTCGCGAAAGAGACAGTTACCACCATTCGGAACTTACAACATGAAAGTCGGAGAAATTAAAAGTATAGGCAAAAGGGGGAATATTTATATAGAAAGAAGATTGGGAGCGTTGAGTGAATATGGCGAAGATACTTGAACCCTTGATAAAGGGACCATGTGTTCCAAGACCTGGCATATCGTGTTAAGCCGTGTCATATGCCTTTAGAGAACGCCAGTAACACCGTATATAGAGTGGATATATCATGGCAGATCGCTTGAGTGTCATTATGTAAAGTGGTTAGAACTTATGCGCAACATTCCACAAATGCCAATCAAGTGGCATAAAACCCATAGCTAGGCATATATGGGTCAAGAAAATGTTCGTCGAGATTAAACCCATATGCGCCCACCATGTCAGATATTAACATGTTAGAAGGCGTAAAGCTAGTACTACTGTCCGTCCCACTGTCCATAATAGGATTGGTCATGCTGGTGCTATCGGGAGAGGTGTTTGTCGTAGATCGGTTCCATGCCTTGAAACGTTCAAGCATTTTGCCAAGTCCCCTTGAAATATGGCGAGTTAAATGTTTCTCTCCTGCGCTTGCGCGGGTGATCAAATCGATAACTCGCTCCACCAAATGTTGCACCTGGCCGGCATCCACATTCAGATATCCTGTATTCCAAATGACAGCAACTTTGAGCAAAAAGACGGCAGAGAATGTGATCATAGTATGTGTGAAGATTGGCACACCCACGACGGCGTCACGTAAGTCTACCTCCTCTAAAACGAGGTTGAGGGTAGCCATAGCCGAAGATATGGCTACATTTGCGGCTTCCTTACGCTCTGGTGAAAATTGCATATTTGGCGAAATGGCACGGAGCGCCAGAGAATTGAGCTGGAATCTGGCAAAGTGATAATGCAGTACAACACCCTTTGAAGGGTATGTTCGAACATATGGATTATCAACTATGAATCAGTTAGTTCCGACCTAACGAGCTTGGTTCATAAGGAGGAAATGAAACGGGTTGGCACGTACGAGACCGGGGCTGCCACAGCATTCTCCATTGCTCAATGGCCCTGTTAAAAGATCGCAGTTGACCGAAGTCAGACTCTGTTAATGCTTGCTCGGTGTCTGACCCATAAATCCGATAGGCTTCAGTCAAAATGACGAACAATGCAACCTGAGCAATAAGTCGAACATCCCCCGGGACAGCAGACGGGGATTGTAAAAAAGTTTCATAATTTTTGATAGCAGCATCTTCGTGGATTGAAGGGGGCCTTCCGTATGCGATGCTAAAATGATGTTCACAGACATAGATCAAGTACCAGAGCTTGGCGCGTTCAAACTGATCAGTCTGTCCCCTCGTCATCTTTAAGAAACTGTGATGTAAGTTGATCTCAGTCGCTATTCGCACTGCTTGCCCAGAGAGCTTCCAGCTAAGATCCGGCAGCCAGAACGCACCAATGCACCTGGCTCGGATGTCGTCCAGTGTGTGATAGCGTGACAAGGTGGCAGCCCCAATCAATGAGACAAATTCATTGTAGCACTTGTTAAGGGTATCTGTCCGGTTGGGAATATGAAGCGCAGACACTGTTAAAATTGCAGTGGCTAGGAGGGATGATGACCTTCTAACAGATGATAAATCAGGATGTAACAAAATTATCCCGCCCCAGAGAAGCTGGTTTAAAGTACGACGAAAGTACGCAAATAATTCTTCAGCCTCGCGGAGTGAGATGCAACCTCTCGAAATGAAATCCTCTTCCATCAATGTTGACTTCGGCTTTCCAACTTGGTTACTTCTTAGATTGCGGAGCTTTGTGACTTCGTATAGAGTCCCCATAGGAGCAGGTACAAGGTCGGGCTCTTCGGGCATTGGCTCCTGAGAATTCTCCCTGGTCATGTCCAACGACTTGGCAACATTCATATCATTAACATGAACTTCACTGGGCGCATGGTTCGGAGTAGAGCTCAGGTCGGAAGGCGCTCTAGGCGAGTGAGCCAAATCGAAGGCTGAGAGCGAAGGGAACTTGTTCTCACGGAGAAGATAGGATACAGCAGCTTCCAGGCGCTGCATTCTATTGGTGGCCTGAGCCTTCCAGCTATAGGGAGGGAAAGGGACGTAAGTCAGTCAAGTATCTCCGCGAAAACCCCAAGAAAAGGAATAACACAGGCTGCAAAACCCACTTAACATCGTCATCAACAAATCTCTGAGAGAAGTCATTGGCCACGCATTTGGCACCACTTTTGAGGCACTTGGTGCAGCTGGTTTCCCCAGGCTTCACCTCGCACTTAATCTTATGCCGTTTGCATTCCGCACCTGTAAGAAACACTTAGTATCGACGCCCAAGGAGGATACAGGCTTGAGGCACGGGGAAACTAACACGCGCGAGCTTTCGAGATCTTAGGTGCAACAATCGTGTGAGTCGACTCTTCTCCGTTGATCCTTGGAGGGCTAACCGCCTCGTGGGACCGCTTCATCCCTGTCGGTTGTGGAAGACTCGAGAATGATGGCGACACCAGGGCGTGAGTCGCATGAAATCCATGTACTCGCGAGGGCCAGTCAGGCTGGAAATGGTGTATCGTGTCTCTTAAGGCACATCGGGTGCTGGCTTAGGTATCTTAGCGACCTTCTGCTCCCTTGCGCCAGGAGAATAAGCAGGGAGGCAAACTCTTGCTCCACCCCCACAGCTCGTGCAGCGTCGTAAGTTAGTGTTAGTTTTTCCGTCCCGATCTCGTCTTGTATTCTCCAAGCGACCCTAGGGCATCATGTCAAAGGCCGGCGCCTCCCTTGTTGGCCCTGGGCGAGCGTCTTGTCGGTCTCTTGAAGTGCCTGTGGGTGACACAGCAAAGCGACGTCGTCCTGGATGCCGAATCAGGAAAGTGGTCATGTGATCCCGCGTTTTGTTCGCGTTTGAAAAAGCCAGGAAGAAACAAACAACGCAGAGGGCGAAGTAACGCAATCTGATATTCATATCTAACCAGTTAAGGAACGGTATATGGCCGTTAGGGAGACGAGGCGACAATGGAAATCGATACTCACGAGATGGCAGAAGGCACCTGCGCGAATCCCTTGCTACTGGGCTGGCTCAAGGAGTGGTATGATGAAGCCATGGACAAGAACATGAAGGGGCCATGCGCGGTGTATGTAACTCTGGCCGTATATATTTGCCTTACGGTGGACAATTCCTAGGTCTAATATCCATCTTTTTTAGGTATAAGAAGGCCTATAATTCCATGAAAGCGTGTCCGTTAAAATTTAAGCACCCGTCAGAGGCGCAGCAGCTCAGTGGAGTTGGGCCAAAAATGTGTGAACGCTTGACTGCAAAGCTCAAGGAATACTATGAGAAGCGTGGGCTTCCCATGCCAGAACCTCAGCAACAGGGTGAGCTACTTGATAAATTAGCTGGACTGTAGGAAAGCGGTACTAACAACATGAAATAGCCAAGAAAAGGCCATCCACAGATGTTTTGCAGCAGAACGATGACCAGCCAACTAAACGACCAAAGAAGGTAAAACCATATGTGCCAACGCTGCGTTCAGGGCCTTATGCACTCCTATTAGGACTTGCTTCTCTAGATAAGAGCTCATCAGTAGGCTTGACCAAAGATCAACTCATAGAAGTTGCGCAGCCGCATGCTGATGCCTCCTTTACTGCACCTCCGGATCCCAACAAGTTCCACACTGCCTGGGATTCAATGAAAACTCTCATTAGAAAGGACCTCGTCTATGAACGTGGTAGACCGCTGAGGAGATATCTCCTCACAGACGAGGGATGGGAAATTGCCTCGCAAATACAGAAGACTGTTAGAGGAAGCTCACATATTTCTTCAGACGCCCGGACTAGCATGGTTAGTATTTTTGTCACTCTCACAAAATGATTGGAAGTTAACACACTATAGGATAACTTCATACATTCTGGAAGCACAAAACCATCTTCATCTCGGCAATTGAATTCTGTCGAAGAAACGATTTTAGTTGATGTGCCGCATATGTCGCGAGGAACTGCGCATGGATCCAGATTCACTCTTCCACACGACAGCTTTACTATTGAAATGGTGCTTGATTACCGAGAAATACGTTCAAGACAGGATCGAGACTATATCTCAAACGAATTAGTCAAGCGAGGTATTTCACCCATAGTCCGTCCCCTGGAGGTTGGGGACATTCAATGGGTTGCAAAATGCAAAGATCCTCATTTTCTTGCGCAGTATGGCGAACTAGGAGACGAAGTAGCTCTAGACTGGATTGTTGAAAGAAAGCGGCTGTCTGATTTACTCAGCAGTATAAAGGATGGTCGCTTCTATGAACAAAAGTTCCGTCTTCGCCGTTCCGGGATAAAGAATGTCATATACCTAGTGGAAATTATGACCCTTACGAGCGCAAACCCAGTAACTGCAAGTCGTGATATGTCTGCTATCGCATCTGCCATAGCGTCGACACAGGTAGTCAATGGCTATTTCGTCAAACAAACCAATAGCGTTGACGAGTCAATTCGATACCTCGCCAAAATGACCAAGCTGCTCCGAGAGATGTATATTGGCTCAGAATCTACCACCCCAGTGAGGCGCATAGAAGTTACGCCAACATCTTGCATCGAGTCACAAAATGCATATCTATTACATCTCGAACAACTCCGTGCTGAGGAGCAGAAAAGACTGGACACGTCGCCTACATCTAGCACCGTGGAAACTACCTATACCTTAACGTATAACACATTCTCAGCTTTATCTTCTAAGTCAGACATGCTTACCTTACGTGATATCTTCCTAAAGATGCTTATGTGCACACGAGGAGTTACAGGAGATAAAGCTCTCGAAATCCAGAGACGATGGAGCACCCCCCGTGAATTTGTCAAGGCTTTTGAACAGGCTGGCCCCCGAGGACAGGATGGAAAACCCTCCCTGGCGCAGGATGATCTAGTTGCGTCTGAGTTAGGGGGGTTTGTTGGGCGAAAGAAGATTGGTAAGGCATTAAGCAAAAAGATTGCAGAGATTTGGGCCCCCTGAACCTCAGTATGATTTTAGTTGTTGTTTATATCCTTTATTTACAAGGCAGGTCATATGCCTTTAGACTATTTTGTTTAGCTTGGTGTTTGGTGTTATATACCCTGGGGTTCGGTGGCTGCATCTCATCGAAACGATCTTCTATTTAAAGGCTTCTATTGTCCTTTTTTGTTAACTCGTTAATGAGATATACTTTTTAATCATCAAAAGCAAAGAGAGAGCGAAGAAAGAAAATCCCGCTTTGCATCTTCTCAGGCCAACACCTGTTCAGGCTCTGAATATTATAATTGTACATTTGCTATCTATTTCATTTTATATTGAACGCACCATTGATAAGAAGAAAAGAACCGAACCGATTAACTAAATATTCTAGAGGACCTCTTCAGTTCCCAAAGCATTTGCAACTATACGCTTGCCAATCCCTCTATCGTTTTGCCCGTTTAAATAGCCGACCAATGCCAGCTGTAAATTCCACCCTGAGAGCTAAGCTACTACAAACCACCGACACACTACTCAAAGCCATAGCAAGCGCAGCCCAAACGGGATCCAGCCTCCAATGGTTGTTCACAATAACTCCATCACGTACGCTATGTCCACTCACAATTGGATAAAAGACACCAGCGGCAACCGGGATAAGGGAAACATTGTATATTGCAGCCCAGAGGAAATTCCACCTCACACGGTTGAAAACACGGCGGCTTAGCTTGCAGAGATCAAGAATGGTGTTTAGGTCTGAATTGAGAAGAATGAAGCCTGCAGTATTTACAGCAACATCAGAGCCCGACGCCATGGCGATGCTAACATCTGCTGCTGCGAGGGCCGGGGAATCGTTGGTACCATCACCAACAAAAGCAACAATATTTCTCTTGCCTTTGGTCTTGGAGTTCGCGGAAGAAGCCTGGGCCCTGCTTCCTAGCTCATTGTTCTGCACCTTTTTGATATATTCTGCTTTTTGGGATGGAAGAACATTAGCCATGACGTTCGACCTGGGAATTCGAAGCACGGAGGCTACAGCATGAGCCGTGATAGCGTTATCTCCTGTGCACATGTGGACATCAATGTTTCTGGCCTGGAGCTGGGAGACCACCTGCGCAGCTTCATGACGGAGGGGATCTGAGGTTGCGAATATAATGGCCGGAACAAACTTTGTAGTATCACTTGTTTTGCGGATGGAAAGAATTGCAGATGATTTGCCAGTGGAATGATATCGAGAGAGTATGCCAGGCAAGAAATATAAGTCCGGATCTTCTCCACACAAAAGGCTGACAAGGCGCTGGTTGCCAATAGATGCTTCGTACTCGAGTGCATGACCACTGCCATCTACGTGAACTGTAAAGGCCCCTTTCATTCCATGGCCTGGTATCTCTTCAACGGAAGTTTGTTTAACCATAATGGCCGTTTTGTCTGCACAAAATTCGACTATGGCTCTAGCAATCGGGTGAGTACTGCTTTCTTCTAGTGCTCTGCCCAATGCCCATGCGATTTGGAGATCCATCTCGTCGGAAATGAGAACTTCATGGTCAGACACCTTAAGAGCTCCACCTTCGGTAAGCGTTCCGGTCTTGTCAAAGACGATGGAGTCTAGTCGACTGGCTTCTTGGAATGCCTCTCCTCCACCTCTTACAAGGATACCTCGTTTTGCGGCCAAACCCCCGCCGACAAACAGGGCTGTTGGCGCAGCAAGGGCAAGACCGCAAGGGCACGCAACGACGAAGACTGCAATTGCAAACTGCAAGCTCCAGAATGGCCAGCCGCCTTGTTTCGAGTCTAGATAATCAGGAGGAAGAACACCCGATTGTCCTAAACTAAGCCAAATGATGAATGTTGATATAGCGATCAGGGTAATCATAGGAACGAAGTATCCAGTTATTGCATCAGCAACTCGTTCCACTGGGGCTCTTTTTGCCTGGCCTTCCCGTACCACTGCCACTATCTGATCCAGCATGGACGTACTCCCCAGGTCTGTGATCTCGATTGATACCGGTCGTCCAACATTGACTGAGCCGGAGAAAACTTTGTCACCCTTTGATTTTGTGACCGCCATTGATTCTCCAGTGAGAGAACTTTCATCGAACTTGTAAGACTCAGTTCCAGTTATAATGCCATCAGCAGGAGGGGATCCCCCATGAGGAATTACAACAATGTCACCAAGATCTAGCAGATCAACAGGAACACGTTGTATAGAGCTGTTGTTTGGGTCAACCTGGTCAGAAGGGGTATGGTCAAGGACCAGGATTGCATCAGAAGGTCGAAGTTTTCCGAGCATAGCGACTGCATCACCGGTCTTTGCTTTGCTATATGCTTCAAGAGAACGACCGACGAGGATAAAGAAGGTTAGGAAGACGACTGTATCAAAATATGTAACTACTTCTCCTAATTCATGTCCGCTGGCAGGTATGCGAGCTTTTAAAATCAGGACAGCCAAAGAGGCGAAATATGCAACCATTGTTCCAGCGGAGATGAGCATGTTCATACTCCCGAATCGGTAGAACCGTCTAAATATAGGCACGCGGCTCCCTGGCCTCCATAAAGCGCGGATCTCTTTAAAAGCACGAGCGTGGAACACATCCGTACCGAAGAACATGACAGGGGTGGTGAGGATGAAAAGAGCCCATTCAGCACGAGAAACCGAACCAATCCACATAGGCTCCTCAAGATACTTTCGAATATCGTTTGACTTTGGAACTATTGACATCCATAGTATGCCAATCAGGAATTCTGGGATAGAAACAACGAAAGTGAATAGAAGACGGATGAGGAGTCGCTTTTGTTCATGCATTTGCATCGCTCGAGAGCGATCCTCGATAGTAGGTGGGTGATACACGCTCGCCCTGAATACCTCATTTGCACCATCTATGGTAGCAATGATATTCCGTATGGTAATGATTGGAGAGTTTGGGGTATATGAAAGAGTGAGAATCGGCTCTTCTAATGTGAGACTCTCGATAATTGTCACCTCTCCGTCCGAAATTTCCCTGACAGCATCTAGTACCTTTTGAGGGCAGTGTGGACAGAACATGCCCTCGACTTTGATCTGGATAGTTCTCCTTTTAACTTCCTCTTCAACGGCGGAAGAGTTGTTGCGTAGCGGTTTGCAATCCACTATGGCAGCCTCAAAACCGAGGTCATCGATTCTGGAGATGATATCCTCTAGATTCTCCTTCCCTTGAAATTCTATCCTCCCTGAGTTTCCCAGTAGATGTATAGTAGCATTGCTAATGTAAGGGCAAGCGTCAAGTGCTCTAGTAACGGACCCTACACAAGAGCTACAGGTCATACCTTTGATGCTGATATTTGCGACGTAAGCGCCCTCGGCCTGACTGCTTTTAACAGAAACCTTCTCTACCGAAGCCTCGAATCCGATATCTTTGACCTGGGTTGCGATTTTCTCGATATTTTCTCTCGGCCCGTGGAATGATACTTCAGCACTATTTGTAAGAAGGCTGACGGTAACCGAAACAACGTGGTTTGAAGATTTAATTTCAGTTGTAACTGCATTGGCACAGGAAGCGCATGTCATTCCACCAATGCTCAACTGTGCCTCGAATATTTCGTCGCCAACACCCTGCGAGGTCGCGACTACATCGTTTGTGGATGGCGGTACTGCCGGAGTAACTGCTGATCGAGATATAGGGCTGAATAAACGAGGGTTTGAAGTATGGCCGGGCGGGTCCGAATGGGGTACTTCTAATTGATCTCCCTTATGTGCCTGGCTAGTACCGGCACCAAATTCCTCTCTGCAAGCCAGGCAGTTCTCAATATGGCGTGTCTTCCTAGTATCGGGAGAAACGGGTCGTAACCTTCCTAGTATCTTTCTTGGTTGAGGAGAGTTGAGGATACCAGACTCTAACCATGTACTACCGACTGACGAAGATGTATCCAGATCCCCGACCTTGACCCCAGACTCATTGTAGGTATCGGCATGATATACTTCAAACGCAGCATCTGAGAGAGCCTTGACGAGGTCTGAAGTGTTTGTCCCGGAGCCGTGGATGACGGCGACCTCGTGTGCAAGGATAGTGATCTCGACAGCTTTGATATCAGGGAGGCCATACAGGACTTCCTTTGCATAGGCCACACAGGAGGCACAGTGTATGTTATTGACAAGCAGCGTGGTCTTCAGGTCCTCTGAGGGTATATTTATCTTAGGAATGGGCATCTTTGGAGAGCCAGAGCGGCAGCATGAAGGTGTGGCTTTGCTGGTGTCTGCCATGTTGAGAAGACGCCCAGTGGTAGCGGCAGCTGCAACCCGGTGAGCGTCAAACAACGCTCTCTGTACTTGATGGGAGATAGATAGTATAGTATATCAAAGTATCCGGCTATTTGATTGAAAACTAGAGTGATAAAGCAGTAGTCTCCCCGGCAGATATATAACTAGCCGGTGTCGGTCTGGTGGAATGGAAGAGAAGATGTTCGAAGAGAAAAGGCCACCACCAGCTCGATGTCGAGCGGTTTTTGCAGTATTTAACCCCATTTTCGACGACTGTGGTTTGAAATCAGCACTATCATTTCTATTTCATCATCGTTTGCTGACCAGTTAACTAGCTAAACGAGACAAACTCGAGAGATACGGAGACTGCCATGAGGCGACTGGATACGATGCAGAGATTTGCCGGATGCACAAATCGCGCGGTGTTGAATGGAGCGGATGAAGGGCCGAGGGTTTGGCACAGCAAACGAGACCCATCGTGGACCCAATGGAGCCCTAGAAAAGCCGTTTAGCAGACGCGAGAGAGGTCTGCAGGACCAGGATGTCTCTTCTGACTCGCATCTGGTCCAGGAAGACAACGGTGTTGGTACAGAGTAATCGTTATGATCCGAGCGGTTGGAGCAAAACGTCAAGTCTCGCAGGCGTACCTTGCGGCGGGCGAATACGCAGAAAGATACAACGAAAGAACTTTTCAGCCGCGGATCTTATTATCCATCTGGACGGCTGGCGGGTGGCCTTCAACGTCAAGCCAGAGATGGGATACGAGCTTGCCTACAGATGAAGAACAACGCATCATACGGCCTATATCCTGCAAGCCATACCCAGCGCGCCGTCCGAGCTGCTTCTACTCCGTACGCACCAAGGATGAAGGATTCGATCTTCTGCACAGGAATTGAACCATTGTCTACTATCTTCTTAGCGTGGCCTGAGTAGTTCGTTTACGACGATATATGTAGACGGTGATATTAACTAGTCCACCGGCAGGAATCGAGACCAGCTATCACTTATTATTGTCCGTGTACTTGACGCCCTCCAATGCCATAATTCATACTTCCGGGGAATCGGGATAGAGATATTCAGCTGCATTGTCATCACCCGCATCGACGGCTATAGTTGAATGAACAAATCATACATTCTCTCTATGCGATGACACCCTCAATCCTGGCAGTCAAAGACCTTTTCTCTGCCTTTACCGCTTAAGGCTGGTCCCGTTGTGTTTCCTCCCTCTCTTGTCGCTTAGGTGTCTTCACTCTCGGGATATGAAAGAACGAGTTCGGCGTGATACCGCTGCCTTAAGGCCCATCCCGCGGATCAGTTAGCCTGTGCTTTCTTTTCCTATCGAACGTGTCCAATTGGTCTCAAGCACGAGTATCCTATTCCGTCTTGCATATGCCTTCGAGGGAGAGCAAGATGGAATTTTGATAATATCCCTTCCGTACAGTAGCGTCTTGCCACTAGGATGACCTCGGGCTTCCCGGCATTCACCTAATAAAAAAATGCGTCGTCTTTTCGGCATCCTGCATTTGGACGGCCTTGCTGACACCGAGTTCTGATTTCTTATCCTGTACTCCGCTGCAGGCCTGGCGGCATGACCATCCCTGGAGAGGAGACAATGTAACACCGCTGCTGTCCACGAATTGCGTCCTTGGGATCGCCCAGCGTGATCAAGACAAATTGTGACATGTTGATCTTGTAGCTTCCTTGCTGAGAGCTTCTCTGTCAGGGCCAAGTTGTACGGAGGAGATATCGCCAGAATGACCCCGTCCAGCGCTGCACGGCTGCGGCAGGACGTTCCCCGTTGAGATATTTAAATATATCAACTTGATAATATGGTTGGCAGTCTCGTCCTACAGCTTCCGTCAACCAAGATTAACAACACTCTATCTGCGACGCCATCCTAGTAACTCTCCTTTCGTCCTCCAAATAAAGCCGCTCTTCGATGGACAAATTATATCTAACAAACGTACCATCGAGGAAGAAAATAATAGAAAAAAAAAAAGAATAAGAAAAAAGGGCAGGCTTGTCGCGGGATCGAACTTGGGTGGCCATGACTTCCCAATCAGGCTTAGCGTCACTCCTTTCCTCCGCCACCAAAAGGCGCAAAAACAAGGAACCACGTGACTGCGTGACTCAAGCGACTGCACCACAAGGAGCGAAGCGGGCCAGAAGCGGCGAGGCGAGAGACGCTCCGCCGGCCTTGCGCATTCCTGCCGACTCTGACATCAGCGGACGGTAGCTAAGGCCGTTGGTTGATATAGACCGTTTGCATAGGGCGAGATATTGGATCCTGCGATTTACGGCGTATTTAGCAGCCCTGCTGGAAGACCTCGCTCCCCTGTTAACTACCTACGGGTGGGGTCCTCTTTTCGGTGAGTTCAACACAACAGATACTTCTGCTTCTAGCTCTCAGATCTCCTTTCCTTAGCTATCAGAGCATGGACTGATATATCCTCTAGACTGCCGAATCAAACTAAAAGCTCCTACAAAGAAGCAACCAGGCAGCTATATAGTGTTCAACCATTGTCAGTTCCTCATGGTTGGTGTCAAGCCAACTCCCCGTCTCCCTCCGCCAGGGAAAGCCGGGATTCGACGGCCTCCAGTCGAGCGCCTGGCGAGCTTGAAAAGGCCCAATCCTACTCCCATACGACGCCCGCAGTCTATCCACGTCCCTCAGAATCACCAGCAACAGCAACAGCAACAACAAGCGCAAAAGTCGGGTGCGACCGTACCGCCTAAAACATCGAAATGTCCGAATCCAAGCTGTCCGGATCCGAATATTGTAGAGGATGACGGACAGAAAGTTTGTGCCGGGTGCGGTACTGTCATCAGCGAGTCCAATATCGTCTCAGAAGTTACATTTGGTGAAGCTTCGTCGGGAGCTGCTATCGTTCAAGGTACCTTTGTTGGTGCAGACCAGAGTCACGGACGCAGTTTTGGTCCGGGATTTCAACGTGGTGGTGGCATAGAAAGTAGAGAAATCACCGAGCAGAATGGTAAGTTTCATTCTTTTTAGATATATATGCCAATGTCGCGGGATCTAACATGCTATAGGAAATCGGTATATCGCACAGCTCTCACGGGCCTTGAACATCCCAGAGAGTGCCTCGAAAGCCGGGGGGCAAGTGTTCAAGCTTGCGGTAGGGCTGAACTTTATCCAGGGACGTCGAACAAAGACTGTTGCAGCAGTAGCTCTTTATATTGCCTGCCGACGTCAGGATGGAAACACGGTCATGTTAATTGACTTTGCGGATGTACTTATGGTGAGCAAGACTATCCCATCTTCTGTGTTCTTTCAATATCTAACAATGCCGCAGATCAATGTATTCAAACTCGGCAGAGCCTACAAAGCACTTCTTGACGAGCTGAAACTAGGGGGGAACCATTTTATCATGAATCCAATCGACCCGGAGAGCTTGATATACCGATTCTCAAAGCAATTAGAATTTGGCCCTGCCATGATGCAGGTCGCCAGTGAGGCTGTCCGAATCGTTCAGAGAATGAACCGTGACTGGATGATTACTGGTAGACGACCGGCAGGTATATGTGGCGCTGCTCTCATCCTTGCCGCACGAATGAACAACTTCCGCCGTACTGTCCGTGAAGTAGTCTATGTCGTTAAGGTGACAGAGTTGACCATTCATCAGCGACTAAATGAGTTTAAGGCTACAGAAAGCGGTGGTCTGACCGTTGACGAGTTTCGATCCGTGCAGTTAGAAACGTGTCATGACCCACCCTCTTTCTCGCACTCCAAGGACAAGAAGGCAACGGCGCAAGGCAAAAAAAGAAAAGCTGCCGAAGTTGAAGCCGGGGTTGATGCTGAGCAGAGTGAAGCATCTCTTAGTGCAACCCAGAGTAAAGCTCCTCGAGTTGACGCAGATGGATTTGCCATCCCCGAAATTCCCATCGATCCGGCACTACTATCATCCGACAAGCAGCATGAGCCATCCAAAAACGTAGGCACGGTTGGCGAGCCTGGCCTTCAAAGTGACGGGAAACGTACGAGGCCTAAGGGCAGCAGAAATGCACCCTACCCCGAACCTACGGAATCCGAGCTGGCCTCAGAGTCTGCTTTAGAAGACGAGATGACGGCCCTCTTGTCTTCAAGTTCCGATCTTGTCACTAGTACCACGAAACCAGCAACGGAAACCACCAATGCCGAAGTAACGACACAACATACAAGTACCACTAACGGCGATAACGGCACCGACCACCAGAATGCCGAAACAAATACAGCTGCCGATGACTCTACAACACCACCTCAAACTCAACAACCAGTATCTTCAGATATCGAAATTAACCCCTTGGAATTTGAGGATGATCCAGAAGTCCAATTCTGCCTACTTTCTCCCGCTGAGGTTGAAATCAAAGAGCGGATCTGGGTCCATGAAAACAAAGACTACCTTCGTACCCAACAAGCAAAAGCACTCCGAAAAGCCCTTGCTGAAGCTGGCTCAGATCCATCAAGATCAGGCGCCCATCGACCGCGAAAACGCCGGAAGGGTCGTATAGGAGATGTCACATATCTATCGGGAGAATCAAAGAATGCAGACGGCGAGTCTGTGGCTGGATCACGAGCTTCAACTCCAGCAGAAGCAACGAGGCTCATGCTTGAAAGACGCGGATTCAGCAAGAAGATCAACTACCAACTTTTCGAGCAGATGTACGGCGACAATGACGAGGCAGCCAATGAAGAAGGTGGAAACATCATCACAGTCAAGAGGAAAGACAGCGAAAGCGACGGCAGCCGCCGAAGCAGAAGCCGAAGCGTTAGCGTCAGCCGAAGTGTTCGCGGCTCGAGCATCGCCTCTGAAGGAGGAGGCATATTCGGTGGACGGGCGTCAGGTAACAGGTCGAAGTTACTCAAACCGATCCGAACACCCGTGAAATCCACCATGAAGAAACCTGCTGTTCCGGCAGTGGCGCCAGCATCAACCAGCTCAAGTAAACCAGCCATTGAACCTACCTCCAAGGAAACCTTACAGCCATCAGCGACGCCTACAGCTGCGTCTAATAAGGTATCTACCGCGGCGAAGGCGGCTCCGGCTCCGGCTCCGGCACCAGCGAAACAGCAGCCACAGTCTACGGACCCCAACGAGGAGATCCTAGGCTATTTGCCCGATGCTGAAGAGGATGAGCTACCTGCTGGAGCAGAGGATGTCGATGAAGACGACGAAGAGGAAGAGGACGAGGAAGAGGAGGACGATGGTGTCGAGGCTGCGTTTGCTGGGAATTATTACGATGAAGGCAGCGACGGAGGGTATGATGATGATTATTTCTAGCTGGATTAATCGATTCACCGACGGGTACTAGCGCGTTAAAGCCGTTGATCGGCTTCTTGCATGCCCTTAAGTAAGGACTAATACGCTTATAATCCATCCACTTCCTCAGTGGAAGCAATAAATATATAATAACAAGGAGCTAGATGCCGGAATGAAGAGCGTAATGTTTGTTTTGAGTATTTCATTGGTTAACTTGTACAGCTCCTTTGTTGTGAGCTGGCTGGATAGATAACGGCGGGCAGAGAGCCGATGATGGAACTGGACAATAAGACTTGAATAAGATGTACGAAATAAAGAAAATATAGAAACCATGTGAGACGGGCGGGGAAAATATAGAATAAGATAGAATGAATAGATAGAAGACCGAAATGTGCGAAAATATAGAAAGAAAAGAACAGTAAGTGACAAAAGAAACCAGCTTCATCACCTTAAATACGTTCCGCACGCCGATCCGGGTTAGTTGGTGTGGGCTGATCCGCAACATCGTCCGATCGTTAGTCGTTCGAATGGCGTCCATCTCTGTACGGTTGTGGCTGAAGGCGACTAGTCGATTTCCATCTGGATGTCCGTTCCGGTTGAGGCTCCCGCGATTCCCATCATACATCCGTTCATGCCTCCGGCAGCAATCGGAACTCCCTTGTCTTCCACTTGCCGCTCGGGCAACTTTTCAGCTGCCTTTAGTACTACTGAGCCAGCTTCGAAGGCAATGGGAGAAGACTGAAGATTTCGAATAGAGGACTGCCAGTCCCTGCCGACCAGCTGGCCTTCGGTGAGATTGTCGTCGAAAAGATAGAAGTGTCGTTGTGAGGCATTGTCATTCTGCTGTTGGTCTTTTGGAAGGGCAGAGACGAGGTAGACATTCAGGCCACGATGCTTGAGCATAATCTGTGCATCGTGTAGGTGTGTAGAGAAGTGGTTGTTGATGTATTTCTCCCATCCACGAATGGCAGCAACCATATCCTTGTCGTCGTTCGCCATGCGTTGCCAGCTGATACCGAGCAGGCGAGTGGCATCATCAACATGTGGCATTTCAGGCCCCTTGAGGGAAGATCCGGATCCGCAAACATCATTGGTATTAGACTGGAGTTTGTTGGAAATTGACAAGGCGGTTATGTCGTCGTATGCGGAGGCGGTGGCGTCGAGTCGTTGTGTCTTCCGGCTAGGCAGAGAGTTGGTATGGTCATGGTTGACTTTTGTGGTGACGGGAGCGGAGATCCGGCTGCTGACTGCTTTCTCCTCTGCTTTTTCCTCATACCAGGTTCCTGTCTGGCTGGATGCTGAGACTGCCAATCCATTTTTGGGGTTGATGAGGACCATTCCTTCGCCGTAGATGGGCTCTTCTTCAGGAACGGTTGGTGGAGTTGGCACCTTTTGGATAACAGAAAAGCCAGTGTGGTTGTCATTGTTGCCTAGGTCGAATTCGTCTCTTGATCGTTTGCGTGATGGTGCAGCAGTATATGGAGCAGTATTGAAAGATACCTGGCGGCCTGTGAAGGACTTGGGAGGTCCAGACTGGATGCCGTCTGCATGGACAGAAGCATGATGGGGAAAGCGGGAAGCGCCGGAATGGGCAAACGAATGGTTCATCGAGTCGGTAGATGCGAGCTGATTAGCCTGGTGAAGCTGAGATGGCGGAGGTAGAGCGACGGTTGGTCCGTTGAAGTAGTTGTTGAAGAGAGATGGACCCATGGCTGATCTAAATAGAGAAGAGGAGAGGACTGTTAAAAAAGGTGAATGTCGGAAAGAGCAAACTGCTAGACAATGCTAATAAGTAATTCTGTGAGATGATATATGAAAAAAAGGTATGTTGTTTGTCTTTTTCTTTATGGTATCTGCCGGAACAATAGACCCAGTGTGTAGAGGAAGAGAATAGTGCTGGACGCCGAGGAGAGCAGCGACGGTAACAAGAGCAGGTAATATATAGAAAAAGAATACGCCGTGGTATAGGAGGCCACGCAAAAGAGGTAATGAGGTGAGCAGCCGTCGAGACGTTGGAGGCGTGCTGGCTGGTAGTTGTAGTTGGTACGTTGGAAGCTGAGGTTGTAGTTGGAGAGAAAGAAGAAGAGGAAGAAGTTGAAAGTTGGGAGGAGGACGAAGAAGAAGGGAAGGTCGGGCTTAGTCAACGCTAGCCTTGCAAGGACCACCCCGGATATGGAAAGGAGCTACCTCGGTGGTACCTTCCATGCGCGGCATCAGACCCGCAGGAGGCAGGTACCGCCCCTGTTGCCTGGACTAGCCAATAGGAAGCGACGCTCGTGAGCTTATACGATGCCAAGGCCGGAGGTATGGCCAATAAGAGCTGTGACTCTGGCCAGCCAAGGCGTTGCAGCCGGGAAACGCTAGGCCAAAAGGAGAAACACGATAGATCATTGTCTGAGTCAGCATGGTGGATCTTGGGGCAAAGTTACACGCTTAGTCATTTGATTAGTCATGAAGAAACTCTTTCTCTGTTGGTGACAGAAGGAGGTTGTTTGCATTGTTTGTTTCATGTGTTTAGTGCGAGAAGGAAAGAAGAGAAAAGGGAGAGAGAGATAAAGGCAGAAAGAAAACAGCGTCTAGTGTTTGAAGGAGGAAAATTGAGAAAGAAAGGAGAAAAGCAAGAAAGTGGTGAAGACTGTCTGTCGCCTTGTCCGGATGAAAGGAGACATGATTACAAGGCGTTGTTGTAAAGTTGTACAAGTAAGAATGAAAGAAGCAAGAGAGGTAGTTAAGGAGACGAAAAGAAAGAAAAATAATGAGTAGAAAAGGGGCAAAAAACGAAAAGAAAAAAGTTTTATCTCCCTTCTCAGTTTCTAGAAGCCTCAGTTTCCTTCATTCCCTTTTTGTGCATATCATACCATAAATAAAGCAGTGAAAGTAAAGTAAACAGCAAGCGGTGTCCTGTAATGCGGTGAAATTAGTTCGTAAATGGATCTTGAAACAAAGGGAGTCGATGTATCCATCCACTCCTTTCCACTTTTTGGTCCAAAATGCGGAGAGAAGACGAGACTTTACTGTCCGGAGACTTTGCCTGGAAGCATGCCCTTGACGACGCCGGGATCGACGGAGCCTCCGAACTGGAACATGAGGATGATGAGGACGATGACGCCCATTCCGATTAGGATGAGGCGACTTCTGGCCGGGTGAGTGGAGGAGTATTCTGCCCATTGGCGGAGACCCTGGTTGGTGTACTCTCTCATCTTCTCGACGCCCAGCTTGTAGTAGATCAGACCACCGAGGGCAATGGCGTAGCCAAAGAGTTGGAGGGGCGTGACAGGGGTGTTCCACCAGAAAGCAGAGATAGTGACGAGAAGGATATCCTTGAGAACACCACAGAGGGTCAAAACAAGGGAAGAAGTTTTGCCGATCTATATGGGGTACGTTAGCATTAATTAAGTCAGGGGAACATTGAACTTTGTGTCTACAGATACTTACCAGGAAAACGACAGAGACGTTGAGGAGGAAGGCAACCATTGCGTTGGCAAGGAGGGTGATGACACCAGCCTTGTGGATATGGTCCATAGTCAAGTCAGGCACCTCCATGAACAATGCAACCACACCGTTCATGACAGCACAGACGGGCGCAAAGTAGTACAGGGAGACTAAGGGATCCATCTTGTACTCCGCGGCGCTAAGAAGTTGCTGCACCATGACGAGACGTGTAGCTTCGAAGACAATACCCGCAATCTGGAAAATGAATCCGACCATGACGAAATGAATCTCACCAAATGAGGCAATGATAACGCCAATGACGATGAAGGAGACATTCATGAGGACTTTCATGTTCGGTGGGGCGATGCCGAGGGCCCAGGTGACGAGCAGCACGGCAACGGGGGTAGTGGCCTATGAACAACAAAAGTTAACATACTATATTCTTTATAGTTGCTGTTGCTGGTGCAATCGGAGGAACCTACCTTGAGCATTTGAATGAAGGCAACGCTGAGGTAGAGGTACGTCTTGTTTCCGCAGATCAAGCTTAGACTGAAGAAGAAGCCAATTGGCACAATAGCACGAAGGTAGACACGGCCAGTCATCTTCACCTTCTTCCGTCCATCAAGGAGGTTGGTTGTTCGTGCTAGGACCTGGGTCATGAAGGCCGCAAATGCAAGATGCCATGTTGTAAGGATGACGGCTGTAGATAGGGGGTCAGGATAACTATTTCACCAGCGAAGAATCAAGAGACGTACGGAATGCTATAGGTAAATCACAATGTCAGCAGACTGATATAAACCCAGTAAAAAAACCAGAGAAAGAACAGGTGGATAGATGACTTACGGAACTTGTTCTGCTTCTTATCGAGCAGGTCCTTGTTAAACAGAATAACGGCTGAACTCATTGTGATCCAAGCACTGCGCATTCACACCATCAGCAACTCAACCACCACAACACTACCAACGATAGATCCGAAGGCCGCAAGCAAAGCGGAAGTAACTCACATAACGTAGAACGCTGGGTGTAGCGAAGGCTTGGGGGGCTCGCTCTTCGCTGCCGGGTTGACCGTCGGTAGCGTCTGGCTATCATCCTTTCTATCATCGATCTCCATCGCCATGACCGGTCCAGCGGCAGCACTGGGCTGTATCTCGCCGGAGGTCCTGGCCTTCTCTTGCTCGCCCATCTTCTGCACGGCACTGGACAGTGAATGAGCCTGTAAAGCGACGAAGCGATGGAAGTCGAACGGCCGGGACCGTAGCAAGTTGCTCTGACCAAACGCGTTGGACGCCAGGGCAGTAGTAGGTCCGGAGGTTCCTTTGGTTTGCCTGTCACAGAAGGGAGATGGCCAATTAATGAAACGAGACTGTTTTCTGATCCCCTGGGTAGCTGTACTCTTATTAAGGGGGTCGAGGTCAGGGCTTTGTCTTGCTGTCCTATATTATCACGATCGAGCAAAGGAGAAAAAAAAAGGTACGGAGTACGCTGGCGGAGGCTTGGAAAAAGGAATTACTTACTCCGTAACTACTTAGCTTAGTGATGCGCGAAGGGCCACGCAAGACGCTTATTAAGGTGGAAACGACAAGACCGTATATAAATAGAAGGCCACTTTTATCTCGACTTCACACGGGCGAGAGAACATGCATACGAGATGGCGGATGGAAGATATCCCAGTGCCTTAGTTATCCGTTTTAATATTCGATTTCGAGGGCAGCAGGAGGGAGCTCTCCTACTAAAAACTATACACTCAAATTACATTACCTAGACACATTCTTTCGATTAACTATATCCAACTTGCAACCTATTTATTATAAACAAGAGCGAAACCCATTTTGTAAGGATGGCAAACACTTCAATAAGTCAGGTTCCGGATAACACTGTCGTGAAACCCATCGACCAGGATAGCCGGCATCTCATCAATAAAAGCACGCTGGTGTATCAGCTCTGACTGGCCAATGGTGAGGCACTGGTTAACGGTTGCCTGAAACGCGTCTGTACATATGTGTTCCAATCGTCCATACCCCGAGTTTTCACATTGTCCAACGCTTTCCCACATAGTACTTCGAAGAACTGCATACCCAGGCTTCGCTGGCAAGTGTGAAATAGAGTACTGTCTCTCTGCACCGCACATCTCGCACCGGTAGCATGACGGAAGCATTTCCTCTACTAGCTCCTCCTCTTTCAAGTATGACCAAAGATGGCGGCTTCTACAGCGGCAAGCGATGATTGCTTCCTGTCTCGAATTCCGATTGGTATACTTATATTCCACATACGAATTTCTCCTGATGATCAATTCAAAGTTCCCAGCGTTATTGATACCCTTCACACTGATATGTACAGCATGTGTGATATTATTTTCTGCGTCTCGGTTGAAATATGGCTTCTGGGGTAAAATGAGAATCTCGCTGCGTCCATAGCGAGGCCCTAGTCTATAGTGATTGGAAATCTCTTTTATCTGTCTATAATACAGATACCGAAAGCCTGGTGCATATTCTAGTTGATTGGTATTACGGTCACAGGACGTTAGCCCTAAAAGGCCCTCCCGTAACCGGCCATGAAATTTACCACACACATAGCAAAGGACGTGGTCCGGGAAATCCAGCTCCAGGCGCTCGAGGAATCTAGCACGATACAAGGCTGACCTGTCTTCTAGCCTCTGCAAAACTCTTCTCCCGTTGGTGGCCCTATAGGTTGCTCGACAGGTAAGTGCAAAGGCAGCCGCATCGTCAAGGGGCAGGATGGAATTAGCAAGATAGTAGAGAACATCATCGTTAATTTGGTGAATAGGTGGTCTCGATGATTCTTTCTCCTGGAGCTGATCATCAGATGAAAGGTAGACTTCGTCTTTATACTCACTAACCGTATCCCATTCAGGATCACGGTCTGACGGCTCCGGGAGTTGTTCACTTGTATCATTCATGCTCCCCGCTTCTTTGTCTTTTATTCTATGCGCCAAGTGGCCGAAGAATACCAAAATGCGATATAAATGAAATATAATAGTCTTCATTCTGTGTAAGACTAGATTGATGGAATTGACGTACGAAGTTGGGATTGAATGATCATTATTCAATATCAGATATATCTCATTATGCATAAGAATAGCAGGTGGCTGATTCAATATTTATCTGCAGTGAAGTTATCCTGACGTCATTGATTCTATTTAATTACCTGCGTGGTTATGTTTGCCCTTTAATTGCAATGTTTGATGTCTTTTGCCACTATCACCAAATAAGCGCCCGACACCAAGTATTGAACCTCGTATTAGCAGTTGAGCGTGGACTGCTTTGTCTAATATCTAATGATAAACAGGGGTAATATATTCGATATAACTAATGCTATAAGATGAATTTTCGTTTGGTAAATTCCCTACATAAGGCGGCGCACCTTTCCCATATCTCGAAAACACGGGACGGGGAGGTTGTGACAACCCGGAGTGGGAATTGATCATTTGATAGCAATATAACCGCTGTGGTATTATTTGGCTGGTACCCTTTACCCTTACCCATCATGCTAGTAACCATCATCATAGGAATCGTAAGAATCACCGTACGAATCGCCGGATACATCTTCGTTAAGGTAGTCATCATGGCAATAATTATTAAAATCATCATCATAACATCCTGGAACGTCGTTCGAATCAGTGCACGGCTCTAGTGAGGTGTAATGGTCTTCAAAATCTTCGTCGTTGTTAAATTCATGTTGATACTCTAAGAATTCATCGTTGCTAAAAACTCACAAGAATGATCAGTACAGGATCTAAATGATACCATATAAGAGCATTTGCCGGCCCCCCCACCAAATGGGGTTGATGTAAACGTGTTTTGACCTCAATGCTAGGGCAATCTCCCCGTACACGTATGGTTCATTCACGGTATTGAGCATGCTGAACTTGCCTGTCTTGGTCCATGGTAGCCGCCATTCTGGCCCTAGTTGGATGGTTCTCAAATGCCTTGTTGGCCCAGCGATCCGCGTCGCGGTTTTGCTCTCTCGGCACATGTTGAAAATCAACCTCTATGCCCGATTGTTCCAAAGATTTCTTTGCCGAGTTAAGTTCCTGGAAGAGTTCCCTGTTGGCAACCGGTTGACCATGGACTGTCTTATATCCATTCGACTCCCACTTACGGCTCCATTCGTTGACGCCCTTGACCATATACTGAGAGTCGGATTTGATGACTACATGACGAGAGGGGCCTCCGTCCATTTCTCGAGCCTTGCTAAGGCCATGAATGCCGGCCAGTATTTCTGCTTTCTGGTTGGTGGGTCTGTCCAGGTTCAGAGGAATGCTTTCGTTGAACCTTGACCCGTGGTCGACAAAAACACCTGCAGCAGCATCACTGTGTTCTCTCCCGTTGCCTCTGCATGCTCCATCGACAGATATAACGACTGGCTGCGAGTTACCGCGGGGCTGGCCGTGGGGATGTCCTCCTGGTCCGTGGTATGCTGGCTTGTTCAGAGTCATACTGTCGCGCGGGTATACGTGTACGATATGTCTCTTGTCGTCTTGGTAGTGCTTGGAGGTAGAGAAACCGACAAGTTGACAATCTAACAGGATTTTGGGGTTGGAGTTTCAAGTCGAAGTGTCTTCGCGACGTTGAAATAACCTTCAGACAACCATTTCCCAAAAGGGTAGGTGTGGAGATGGGCAATTTGTCATTGCCGCCAAATAAAAACGACCTTGGGATTTGATATCAAAGTATCAAATGATTATACCGAGGTGCCTTTTGTTGCAAGCAGGAAGATATCACGGTCCACCAAATGGTATTTGAGAAAGTCCAGAAACCAAAGGGATAATGCTGTCAATGCACCACACTCACGATGGCAGGATAAAACGCCACCTTTGTTTCAGATGCAAACTGCACGATGAACAACGCAAGAGGTAGTCACTTTTTTGTATCATGAAGCTGTAATAGCACTATTTAAACGGGTAATTAACCTCATTCCTGGGTATAAAATGCTAGTAATGACTGGTTGACTAGATGGTTTTGTTCAGGATAGCAGCAGTTATGAAAAAACTCGTTTGATATCGTTAACTTCGTAGTAATAGATAACTAGTAATAATTAGTTACATAACGCGTAATAGAGCAGGTCTGGAAAAGATAGAGGGCCTCCATGTGTTGATCGCTGTAAATACGGAGCATTGTGCAAAAAACCTCCCGGCTGTGAAACTGAGAAAAGGGGTAAAAATATAAAGTAGTCTGGGTTCAAATAAAGCCATGGTTGTTGTTGTTATCATTGGCTGATCGTCCGCAGGTCACATGCATGTGCGTGGGCTTTGCGCGATGACTCGCAGCTCGAGGAAATTTAACTAGCTAGCGTGCCAGTGCAGCCCGGGCCAATTGGTCTGCTTCGTGGTTGTGTTCCCTGCGGACATGCCAGAAGTAAACATTGACGCGGGAAGACGCAAGATCACGAATGCGCCATGCCAGCTCCTTGAACAGGTAATGATTGGTGACCGGCTGGCCGTCCGCGTTAATGTAACCGTTCGCTTCCCACCTATCAACCCATTGGGTCAAACCATTGACCATGTATGCTGAGTCCGTTTTGATAATCACTTCGGTTAATGATTCTCCATCGACACCATAATCATTGATCTCCCTGGCAGCATCAAGGCCGTAAATGCCTGCCGCCAACTCCGCTTTTTGGTTCGTCGCCCATGACGAGTCGAGCCGCATGGAAGCGTTGTAGTCGGATTTCTTGCCCACATAGACTCCGATAGCAGCTCGGGAGGTTTCCATTCCATTCTCACTGCATGCTCCGTCAACAGCGATAATTATCGATCTTAGATTAGGCTCCAGCTTCGAGTAACGTCGGGAGATTGAAGTCGCATGGGTGGTGAAGACCATGTCTTCTACCGGGAACTCTATCAGAGATGGTTGAACATCCTGTCCGTACATTCTCTGTGGCTCGAACTTCCAGCATGGGATGGGTTTGCGTTCAGCGTCCCGAGTATCGCCTCGACGTGCAGCGGGCATCTTGTCTGATCGGTGCTAACTAAAAGAAACAAGCTTTGTACTCCGTATGCCGGTGTTAGAAGAGCGACAATATATTAACAAAATGAAGTGTCGTAAACAGGTAGTCAAAGCTGAATTGAAGCTGAATCGAATCTGGGTTGAAGCTGGGTTGACGATGTTACTCTCAAGAACTTTCTTGTCGTCGAATCTACAAAAACCTGCTTCCCCAATATGGAAATGCGACCTTATTGTATCACGTGATATAAAATATGACGGGTCTCAAATGATCATTTCTATAAATAAAGAACTGGTAGATGCACGTGGAATTGTACGAAGTACGAGGGATAAAGGATATTAGTGAGAAGAGTAGAAGAGGGGGCAGTAGACGCTGATAGAAGGGTAACACTAAAGATCTTTCCCTATAATGTTAATGCTTCCGCTCGGTATAATTCCCGCAGGAAGAAAGAACCGAAAGGAGGAATATGATCAAAAATGTTGCTTTAGACCAAAGCCGTATATGGGGAAGACCCGGAAAGCGGGCAGTACTGGCGAGCCGGGTGGCAAAACCGTGATTCCATTGAAGATGAGAAAACCGATTGAAGGAATAGATCGATAGCCATTTGGTTACTGGGGGCTTTAAATGATGAATCATTGATCATGCCCTCTGTCTCGAAGGAAAGTTAATTTCTTTTTCCTTTCGTACGTATGTCAAGCAACGTGAAGAATCCTTCGTTCACTGTCATTTGCAATTCCTGCATCCGTTTGTTTTCCATTTGGGCATCCACTCCGTCGCCGCTCTCACTAAGTATTCCAAGTCTGACTTGATAGTCACATTGGAAAGAGGTTCGGAATAGGCCCCTTGAGAGATTGTGGCTTTTACCATACGAAGTGCTCTAATAGCGGCCATGAGCTCCGCCTTCTGGTTCGTAGGCGCCATAATATCAATCGCCTTGCTCATGTTCACTAAGGACTGGGAGCCAAAGTGTATATATGTCTATTCCAGCACGGGTATACGGTTCCCCATTGTTAGAACACGCTCCGTCAACGGCGATGGATGATGATGCAGTCACGATGTGAGACTGGTCTGCCGCAATTACCACAGCACTTTTCGACACCGTACCAAGGCAGCACCCATTAACCTTCGTCAATGCCCAACATGCTAATATCGACGACATTGCTACCAATTTTTCATGGGGTTGATTCGGCCGCATCTTGGAAGCTCCTTCTCATAACTTCCTTGGGTATAGCTACAGAAGGACAAACATCTTGTAGGGTATGAAAAGAAAGTACAAGGACACAAGGGGTTGTGAGATAGCAAGCTCTTATTGGTTGACACTTCAGACAACCCAATAATTACGGGATATGAACGTCATCGAAACGGTAATGAAGAGCGGGTGTTCCTGGTCCAGCTATACATATTCTGAAGACACAAAGCGGGAAGAATGCCTGTACAAACGTAGCAGGAGAAATAACGCTCGAAGAAGTACGCTCCATCATCCCTGGCAAAAAAAAAGGGGCAGAAAGAGGCAAACTAGCAGAGTTGATGACTAATCCAACGTTTTCCTCTATTTCGCTGGTAACTTTGGCTGACATAAGCAAAACTGCGTAATCTCTGCTGACATAATGTGGGCTGGTGCCTCCGCGCGCCTTTTCGAGGCGTCAGGGGAAGTTTTTTTGGATGGACGGTGAGCAGAACTTTGAGCATCTCCTCCTCTTCCTCCTCCTTTTTCTCCTTCTTGTCCTTCTTGTCCTTGTTGTTTCGTCTCTTGTTCTGCTATTCCTTGCTGCTTCGTTGCGCTCTTCTGTGTATTTGTCTCTTTGTCTAGCACCGGTTTCTTCCCTCTAGCGGAGACCGTTGAGCTTCGTTCGCGCCCCCGCTATCGACAGACAGAGCTCCAGTAGCTTACACCGTCAACTCCAGCCATGCCTCCAACAGACGTGTAAGTTGAAATCCCATATCTTTTGGTCCTAGTTCTCTTCAATTGAGATGTTCTGACCGGTATTGTACGCTCTGCAGTAACGTTGACATCCTCGTCATCGGTGCTGGCCCTACTGGTTTAGGCGCCGCAAAGAGATTGAACCAGATCGTGGGTTTGAACATCAAATAACAAAGACCTAGAGTCTTCTTTTTTTGAATATTGCTTCTGATGCTTCTGTTGCCCGTAGAATGGCCCGTCCTGGATGATAGTTGACTCGAACGAGGTTCCTGGTGGTCTGGCTTCGACCGATGTGACCCCTGAGGGCTTCGTACGCCGGCCCTCCTTTCCACACCGACTTGTCAACCACAAGCTAACTTATCCCACGCTTTCAGTTGTATGATGTCGGTGGCCATGTCATCTTCTCCCACTACAAGTACTTCGACGATTGCATTGATGAGGCCCTGCCGAAGCCTGATGACTGGTACACCCACCAGCGTATCTCCTATGTTCGCTGCAAGGAGGCCTGGGTGCCATATCCTTTCCAAAACAACATCTCCATGCTTCCAAAGGAGGAGCAAGTGAAATGTATTGACGGCATGATTGACGCTGCTATGGAGGCCCGCGTAGCAAACACTAAGCCCAAGGACTTTGATGAGTGGATCGTTCGCATGATGGGTGTTGGAATTGCCGATTTGTTCATGAGACCATACAACTTCAAAGTTTGGGCTGTCCCTACCACAAAGGTGAGAAGAAGAGCAAAAAAGAAAAATCCAGGCTGCTGCTATCTTTTGAGCCTAAATAATGATGTTAACTGGCGTTTAGATGCAATGCGCTTGGCTTGGTGAACGTGTAGCCGCGCCAAACCTCAAAGCTGTTACAACCAACGTCATTCTGCAGAAGACTGCTGGGAACTGGGGACCAAATGCAACTTTCCGTTTCCCGGCCCGTGGTGGTACAGGCGGCATCTGGATTGCCGTTGCCGATACTCTTCCCAAGGAGAAGAAGCGCTTCGGCAAGCAGGGGGCCGTTACCAAGGTCGATGCTGCCAACAAGTCCGTCACTATGGCCGATGGATCCGTTATCAGATACCAGAAACTTGTTTCCACCATGGCTGTCGATGCTTTGGCTGAATCCATGGGCGACAAGGAGTTGATTAGCCTCAGCAAGGGACTCTTCTATTCCTCCACCCACGTCATCGGTGTTGGTATCAGAGGCGAACGCCCAGAGAGAATTGGAGACAAGTGCTGGGTAAGTTCTCCTACACCATTATCTTGTGAAATGTGTAAAAAAAAAGGTTCGCAGTACTAACTTTATGCAATAGCTCTACTTCCCCGAGGACAACTGTCCCTTCTACAGAGCCACCATTTTCTCCAACTACTCTCCCTACAACTGCCCTGAAAATTCTACTTCTCTCCCAACCCAGAAGCTTGCTGATGGCTCTAAACCCACCGACTCCTCCTCTAAGCCCGGTCCCTACTGGTCCATCATGCTTGAAGTCTCTGAGTCCTCTCTCAAGCCAGTAGACAACGATAAATTGCTAGCAGAATGTATCCAGGGTCTCGTGAACACCTCCATGCTCAAGCCCACGGATGAAATCGTCTCCACATACCACCGCCGCTTCGACCACGGCTACCCGACCCCAACCCTTGAGAGAGAAGGTGTGCTCACCAAGCTTCTACCCAAGCTCCTGGATCAAGGAATCTACTCTCGTGGCCGTTTCGGAAGCTGGAGATACGAGGTCGGTAACCAGGACCATTCGTTCATGCTTGGCGTCGAGGCTGTGGATAACATTATCAACGGCGCTGTGGAGATGACCCTGAACTATCCTGATTTTGTCAACGGACGCCAGAACAATGAGCGCAGACTTGTTGATGGTGCTCAGGCTTTTGCCCTTCGAGTCAAGAACTAAGCGAGATTAATGGACTAGCTATCTCAGAAGATTAGAGGATTTTCTGAGTGCTTCAACTCTATTCGGAAAGAAAATATAGACGTCGGGGGAAAGGGACATACATACCGATTGTTGCTGTTATTTGTGGTTTTAATGACTTTACATGGTTGAAAGAATGAGAGGAGGAGAACACAAAGGTAGATAATACAAGGAGTCAGTTAATACATAAAGCTAGATGGATACCTGGAAGGTAGTAAGACAATATTGAAAATAGGTAGGCCAATAGAGCCTAAAGGATGAATCAAAGGCACCTGCTCTCCTCGTATCTACTATCTATGAATTCTCTCGCTCTTTAGGCGCGAACATAGCGAACATAGCTTTAACTGGTTTGATTCGATGAAATATACAATCAACCCATGGGTATCAGTCCTGAAAGTAATGTAGAGATTTTGATCTAGATGAAACCTCTACTCCATCCCTGCTTCCAACTGACCTGCAGAAAAATTAAGACTGTTGTAAACTAACCCGTCATGCTCTATGCTCCCCTCTTGTGGCTCTATTAGTTCATCGGCATTCGGTAGCTCCCTTAACCAGTTTTCTATATCCTCCTATAACCCGTGGGACATGTTAGCAATCTCAACCCAAATATACTAGTTATTATGTACTTGATTCTCAGGCGCACCATCTTTTCTACTTGCTCTTGTTCCCGAAACGCATCACGGATGGGATCCCAGAATGAGCGAGTGACAGACTCAATAGGCGGCAGAGGCCAGCTATTTGTTGCTGTATTGAACTGCAGTGGTTTAAGAGTGAGAGTCTTGGGTGATATTGAGTGACTGACATAGCTTGTTGAAGGAGGCCGGCGAGTATCTTTCTGGAAAAACAGGAACAATGGAAAGGAAGACTGGTTGAGCAGCCATGCATAGGTATAAACAGCAAAGGGGAAAGTATGTAGTGTAAGATGACTTACCAGCTGAGAGTTCACTGACTTCACTTCTTGCGCTGCTGGTTCTGCTTCGTCTACAGGCGCAGGTGGGAATAAGGCGAACCCCTGACCTCCAGGAGGCGAGCGAGGAGGAGTATATACGGGCAAGGAGAGAAGAAACTCTGCTTCTTCCTGCGAAACAGGTGTCTGTAGTAACTGAGCGACAAACTCCTCGCCTATGCGGTTGATTTCACTTGGAGATAGAGACGCTGCTCCAGCAGATGTACAGAGAGTCAGTATTTGACTGCCGTTTGCTGGCTTTGGTGAGAGCTTTCGTCCTGCTGAGGACTGAGATGGAGTAAAAGGGAGAGCAGCTGAAGTTGATAGTACCGGTCTGAGCCAGCGCTGGGTATTTTCACAGCTATCTACAGTCTGCAAAGCTGGATGTTGCTGCTGTTGCTGCAGTCTTTCGGTAAGCTGGTTAGTGACTTGGTCTTCTACTGCAGCAGGCAAGGCTGTATTCTCATCGTGGTCGGCCAACAACTGGAGCTCGGAGTCCAACTTGGTCCTAATATACGAAGTTGGGAACTGTCTGTGGACAAAATAAGGATCCATGTTCAAGGCTTGGATGTAGCAAAGGGGACAACTTGATATTTGAGAAGCAATGTTGTAGAAGAGCAAAAAGGGCAGGATAAATAGCAAAGATTTGGAGTCGCCGAAAATAGAGAAGTCATATAGATACCAAAGAGGAAGAGGAGGCGAGGAAGAAGAAGAGGGAGAAGAAGAGGGAGAAGAAAGGAGAAACCAGTAGTGACATCCTTCATCTTGATATCAAAAAGGATCCATCCGGACAGAGTAGAGACAGTGAGTAGAAGATGTAGTTAAGGGGCATAAAGGTAATAAGGAAGACATCGCTTAGTCGTCGGTACCCTGTGATGATATTTTTATTCAGTGAACCTGGGCTTTTCTCCTTCATTATCATTATCTTCTTCTTCTTCTCTTCATGTTATTATCATCTATTTAAACAGCCAAAGTTGAAGCTGCTTGCTTGAACTTTGCCTATATGTCTTGAAGCCTGATATCAAGGCCCTTATATCACAGCTAGACCATGGCTGTTCTTGTTGCTGTCAAGTCCTCAGTGGTAAAGCCATCCTTATCCTCAGATACTGAAGATAGACTAACATGGATGCTATTAGAAAGGTCTATTAGGAGTGTCTCTCTTTCATAGCCATGGTATATGAATGAAGAATGCATAGGATAAGACATCGTATCATAGAGAGTGTATGACAGAGATGTGTCAACATGGCATCCCTTCATAGGCCTCCAGGAGCAAGCTGGCAGCATGCAGAGAAGACATCGATCCTGATACCCTAGGCAGCCTCCTGGTAAGAGAAAGAGAGAGAGACAAAACTATTATTGGTATCTCAAGGCTCGACAGCTGGTCTCGACATGGGTATATCCCCGGGCATCAAACTGAACCCCATCATGACGCGCCGAGCAAACAAAACGCATCATACCCCGGTTTTGATCTCGACCGGCCAGATAACGCAGACGATAGTCAATATGACCGAGCAACTGGCTATCACAGTGATCACCGAGTCTCTGCATCATTGACATGCGGCAGAGGCTGCAGATGCTTCTGACAGACCCTGCTTTCCCGGTTTCCATGCAGCAGAGAAATCGTCATCTGTGGGACTCAGCCACCGGCGGGATGAGCCAGAGAGCCGCTGACTCGCTTGGTTCTTGCTTGCTCGCTGCGCGACTGCTCTCACAGGCGCACTCTGTGTCTTATCTGACGACAGGGCAAGGGGCGCGCCAGTCACAGTAGCCGACTCTCCATCCTGACTCCTGAGACATGCTGGCTTTAAATAGCTCTTTTCCGTCATACGAAGCTGTTGGATGTTCCGGCGATGCAGCGCCTCTTTGATCGCTGACCAGGGAAGCAGCAAGACAAGCCATCGGAGTACATGGCCGCCCGCTCTCGAGAAGCGTCCAATTGCGGAGAGCGAGAGACAGCGTCTGTTGGCCGTTGGCTCCTCCGAGCCTTCTCATGGCCTTCTCTCCGTCTCTCCCTCTACATCATCATCATCGTCGTCGTCGTCGTCGTCGTCTACTTGTCTTCTTCTTGTTCTATTTTCATGTTGAGCTAGCAAGTGATTACCTAAGCCGACTTTTCCAGAACTTCGAGTCTCTTTGACATCAAAAGAAGCAGAAGCAGAAGAAGAGGAAGAAGTGAAAGGAGAAAAAGAAGCAAAGACAGCGACGAAGCAGAAGAAGACGCTCATTTGACCTCGAAATAGAAGAGCCAGAGAAGCAGCGGCAGCATCACGGAGACGCTGGGAGCTGACCCTGCCTGCTCGTTACTCCCTCGACTCGTCCTCTCGCCACCAGTCTTGCTTGCTCGCAGAAAAACCGACATCCACCACGGACCTGCAGCTCGCTCGCTCACGAGAAGCATCGCCCTGGGACGAGAGACCTTGCTTTGCGCGCCCTTAGGCAGCCTTCTCCAGCTCCTCTCCAGCCTCGCGTTCGTTTCGGCTGGGCACATAAAAGGAAACCGACACCTCCTGGGCTGAGGAAGACGGATCGAAAGAACAGCCCGTCCTCGTCCTCCTCCCCCATTCACCTCATCTCGCCCTGCCATGCACTTGTCAACCTCGCCAGTAACCGGCATAGTCTCGATCCTGTGAGACAGCTTGCCTGGTTACCCTGCCTCTGTGCTTGCCTGCTTGCTCACTTGCATACATACATCCATACACAGGCACGCCTGACAGCTGCCAACAACCAGTCCACCTTGCTTTTACTTCTTGTCTCTCGCTCTTGGGCCGTCATCAGGCTTTCCGCGTTACTCCCACGCTCGCTCTCGTTACCTTTATCCCGCGTCGCGCTCCCGTGAAGATGGACGGAGATCTGAGCCTTTCTCAGTCTCTCGGCGGGCTACGCATTGCCAACCCGGACAATGCGTCTACAAATACCTCAGAGGGCCCCTCGACCTCCTCTATGAAACTGTCCTCCATAGGCCATGATGCCCCTGAAGCTCCCGTCGGCCCTGAACAGCCTCAGCCTAGCAATCCATCAGTAGAGACTGGTCCAAGCCCCGCACAGCAAGCATCGGCTTCGAATACAAATCTCCACGATTACTCGGGAAATTCACCGCCGCAGCTCACCGCCAATATACTGCCCAATATGGGTCACCATGCCTCCCGTCAATCGGTCTGCCTCCCGCCCAACCACCAACCATCTTCGCGGGGTGAACCCTACCGCCTTCGAACGGACTCATCTCTCTCTGCCACAGAGTACCCGTCCAGGATCGACTCTCGCGGTGGCTCTGCAGCTCTCCAGGCTGGTGTACTTCCTCGAGACGAAGGTCACACCGATAGATCTTATGCATCAACAAAGCCTTTTCCCCGCGGCGGGGCTCCTTTACCACCTAGACAGAGCTCCCGTAGAGCTCCCAACACGTCCATACCTCCTGTTCCAGGCTCCTACGGTAACGAAAATGCTCCCCTTCATAGCTCGGAGGAATGGCAGGAGCGCGGAGCTGCTGTGGGCGTGCAGCAAGAGATCGATGCAAATGGGAAACCCGTTGCTAGATATGTGAAAAAAGGTGTCAGAGACTTTGTTTTTGGTCGCACGCTCGGTGAGGGGTCTTACAGTCAGGTTGTTGCCGCCACGGACCGCCAGACTCTCAAGGAATATGCGATCAAGATCCTCGATAAACGGCATATCATAAAGGAGAAAAAGGTCAAATACGTAAATATCGAAAAGGATACGCTGAATCGCCTGACCGATCACCCGGGAGTTGTCCGGCTATACTACACCTTTCAGGACGAGCGGTCGTTGTACTTTGTGCTCGATCTTGCTGGGAGTGGTGAGCTGCTCGGTGTTCTCAAACGGATGGGCACCTTCGATGAAGAATGCACTAAGTTTTATGGAGCTCAGATTTTGGATACAATTGGATACATGCACCGGCGTGGAGTCATCCACAGAGATCTCAAGCCAGAGAATGTCCTGCTGGACAACCAGATGCACGTAAAGATCACCGATTTTGGTACAGCAAAGATCCTCAGTATGCCCTCCCCCAAGGATGGAGGGAACGATAATGGAATCCCTTCAATGGATACGCTGGAGGATGACAGGGCGAGGTCTTTCGTTGGTACTGCAGAATATGTCAGTCCAGAGCTTCTGACAAACAAGAGTGCATGCAAAGCCAGTGACCTCTGGGCGTTTGGCTGCATAATATTCCAGCTCCTTGCGGGTAGACCCCCGTTCAAGGCTGCCAATGAATACCTCACCTTTCAAAAGATTGTTGCCCTCGAATACGAGTTTCCAAAGGGCTTCCCATCTACCGCTAGGGACCTGGTAGAGAGACTACTTGTTCATGATCCCAACACTCGACTACAGATCGAGCACATCAAGAACCACGAGTTCTTTAACGGCATTACCTGGGGACGGGAGCTCTGGAAACAAAAACCACCTAGACTAAAGTCATACTCACCACCAACGGAACCCATCAAACTTAATGGACCTGACGAAGACGACAGTTTTCCTCCCAATATCAACATGAAACCTTCTGCGGGCATGCACCCCCCCTCGATAGCCTCACAGAACAGGTCATACCCTCCCATGATTACTGAGCTTCCTCCGCCTTCGCAGCTTGATATTGAATGGTCCCCTGTCCTGACTCAAACTAACGAGCGTATATTAAAACTGGGAAACTTAACGGTATCCACCTCCTCGGCTCCCCGTTCCCAAAATAAGAATGGCAATGGGGATGGCGATACACCAAAAAAGTTATCCCGTTTCTTCGGCGGGTCTACCACGAAGAAGCGCCAACGATTGGTCCTAGTCACCTCCGCAGGCAGGGTAATCATCGTGCCGGCTGGTGGCGAGGATAAACGGTCGAAAATGGACATCACGCTTCTAAGCCCAGACACCCAGTATCGCAGCATAACTGACTCCAAGGGTTATTCATCCTGGGCAATAGATACGGTTAGTAGCCAGAAACCAACCAAAGCAACTACCGTTTGTAAGAAGGCCTTTACTGACTTTGCTTTCTTTGGCTCTTCGCAGCGCGAGAAGCATCATGTCTTTGAAGAGACTAAACCGAGTAGTGACGCGGCTGCCTCAAAACTTGCCACGCAAGAATGGCTGGAAGTACTAGACCGTGCAAAGGAGTTGGCCTCCGTCTACTCCACCCCTAACTCTTACGCGGGCGACGACGGGTTTAGAGACCTGTCGTCCGGCGTATCGAGCCACGCAAACACCTTAAACCATGCTGATGATTCTCCTACCAGTCAATATCCACAATCAAGCGGGAGAAACGCTCTGTCCAAACCGTCGCCAGAGGGGGACTCCAAGTCAAAGAAACGGTTCAGCAGAAGACACTCCAGGAATGGCCTCTCAGCTGTCTTCTGACCTTACTCACCAGTCTCTTCTCGTTCCTTTTTCTGCCTGCATACATTCCTTCAGCTCTGTCTTTTTTTTTCTGTTCATATGTTCATAATTTTCATCTCCCACCTTCGACACTGCATCACACCACACCACGGACACTTGCCAGCAACCTACCTACCTCCCTACTTCCTCAATTGTCCACCTCCATAAACCATAAACCCTCCCGTCATTCTTGACACTTGCATTTTTTTTTTCCCTTTCCTCTTCTCTACACGAGGTCCAGTTCCAATCCATGCGGCCAATTACTTGTGCTTTTAAATAACTTTTCTTTCTCCTTTCGTCTTTCTCGCATACAATAATTGCCACCCAGGCTATGATTGATGACCTTTTGATACCATTTTACTGTTACCAAGCGT